GGAGGAACCGTCCGGCCGCAGGAGCCCACCCAGCCACACGTTCAGTGCAGCACGAGCGGACAGGAGCTTTCCCCCTGGGCCCCCAGTCAAGGGAGCGGGACCTCCGGAAAAGTGGAAGGGCCGACGCGCCGTGCTCCTCGTCGGCTGAAGCGACTTGGGGTCAGCGTGGAAACTTAAGGGCCTCTTGCTGTGCAACAGGGGATGAGAATGAACGGGAGACGCGCTGCCAGGGCATTCCTTTGGTGGCGAGTTTCCTCAGGCAGATTCAACACCAAGTGGAGTAGCTTCTCAGTTTATTGTTAAGTCTTTTATTTACAGTACAAGTACCCAAAGGTTAAGGTCGTCGTCTTTTAAATAACAAGTTAGCCATATAAAACAGCTGGACCCCAAGTAGAGAAATATATACAATATAATACATTCAGTGCTCTCCGTATTATTGTTTTTCATATTAAATTAAAAGACGCTATGATTTAGAATGGCCTTTCTCCAAAATCCAGCCTGTCAAAAGACATAATGTACATTTTTACAGAACTGACATAGTATCAATAAAACTGCTGATTGTAATTTTTTTTTTTTATGCTACGCTGCATCTGTGTTACAGAAGAAAAAAGGCATTGCACTAGACGGGTTAATACTGAGTAAGCCAGAATGTTAACACTTGAGGAACGATGAGGGGCCTGTCGAGGTCCACCATCCGGCTCATTCACAACAGCTTCCCCTCTGAAAGCTCAGCAAACGTTTTCACAGACAGATCACTTCCCTTGGCAGTTAACTGCAAATGGGCGAAATGCCCCAAGCTGATGCTCACAGACATCACAACAGTTGATGCCAATGTAATCCTACCATCTACATTACCTAAGAGGAGCCAAAGCTAGAAAACCACTCACTGCTAAGTCAGGACAAAAATTAGAAGACCGTTTGCAGAAAATTTTGAATATCTAAATTTAGAGTATTCAGTAGACTACGGAAGCAACAGCTTATCACCATTATTTTTCTTAGGCTAGAATAAGAAAAAAGCAAACCCTCTCTATTTTTGGTAAGTTTTGATGGCGACAAAAGCTCCACACATCAATCAGATTTTTATACCAGTAACATGTTGAAACAGTTTTCTCTTGCTACTATCGATTATTCTCGGGATTCATTCTGTATCCTAACCTATATCCCAATGGCCTGAACAAGTGCAGCAACGGACCTGGCATATCATTATGCCACTCAAAATAAATAGTTAGGCTATTTCTCCATCATTAATACAGCCAGACATTAATTTTGAAAGGACAGATCACCCTTGCGAAGCAGCAACTGTTGCTTCAGAATGTATTTTCCTGGCATTTTTTAACCAACAAAATTAGCTGTGAGGCAGCTGTACTTTAAAACAGTTTTCATGTCATGGGCAAGAAAAACAAAATCATCACGACATTTTTGTGGAACATTCCTGCTGTGCACAAGGTATGAGAGAGAAACAACCTGATTACAGCTAGGGAGAGCCACCTCATACTTCAAGTGTTCATGAGTAGGGAGTACGGAAAATGGACGGAATAAATAGCACTGGAACCCCCCACAAAAAACCTGACAGATATAAAACAGTGCTGGCATTTCAAATCAGACACAAAACCCACTGTTTCTGGACACACAGTTAATCATGCTCCACATTTTCTTTCACCTCTGCATAACTCCTTTACTAGTCTTAGATCTCAAAACTCAAATCATCAGTGCTTTGTGTATCTTCAAAAGGCACATACACGTTTTAAAAAGGGGCTGAGGTGGGGCTTGCATTCAGATCAAACGTAAGTCCTTGGTCAACTTGCTTCCAGCTCAGAACACACCAAACATACTTTTTAATGCACACCCAATACTACGCTACCGCCTTCATTCTCTAAAGTAAACTTTCCAAAATGTTCCTACGTCACACATTTGTAATATTCTGCGTGAGTGAACGTATCTAGATTTCTTACTTACTATATGAAAATTAATGTGCTAATAATAGCATAGGCAGTCTGAGTAATATCCTTAAAACTTTAGAATTTCCCAGATTATCCTTGCTAGAGAAAGAAGCTAAGAGGAAATATTCTGGGACTATAGTATTTCCTCCAAGATAGTTTAGTACTTCTGATCACTTTTTAAAACAAAAATGCTATGTCAAAAGAAATTCCTTATTAAGAATAACGTTATTTCCTAACATCTGTTAGTAGTCAGAACTAGCTAGTATATAGAAAGATGTCCAAAATGAAAATTTTTAACTTTACAGATGTCATTGAAAGTGCTGGCTAGATTGAAATAGACACTTCACTTCTATTTTTAAAAATCACCAAAGTGAGGCCCAAACTTTACCTCAATTCAGTGACCAATTGTGCATCTAATCCTGAATTATACCCCACATGCTTAAAATAAAAAAACAAAAAACAAACCAATGCCGGGCTCGGTGGCTCAGCCTGTAATTCCACGCCTTGGGAGGCTGAGGTGAGTGGATTGCCTGAGCCCGCAGGTTCGAGTCCCGCCTGGGCAACTTGCTGAGACCTCATCTCTACAATAAATCAAAAAAAATTAGCCGGGCGTGGTAGTGCACACTTGTAATCCTGTAATTCCAGCTACTCGGAAGGCTGAGGCGGAAGGATCGCCAGAGCCCAGTAGGTTGAGGCTGCAGTGGCCGGAAGCGGCCACTGCACTCCAGTCTGGGTGACAGAGTGAGACGCCAACTCAAAAAAAAAAAAAAAAAAAACACCAATGAAGTGTTTTCTTCTCATCCAATTTCTTGGATCAGACCTAATTTATTTTTTACCTTAAAAAATTCTTCATTGATAAGTATTCCATTAGAAAGTAAGTAACTCCCAATTCATGTACTAATGGTTACTATGTTTCCCTGAAAATGGAGGGAGGGAACCTAGAACAAGAGCATATTAATTTGCCAGTGAGTGCAGTTTTATATGTTAATTATACAAAAGTTTTACTGAGGTTTAGAAACAGCTCTGAAAAAGGTTTAACAATAATGGCCGCGGCCTCCTGTCGCCCACAGAGAAGACAGAATTTTACAAACATCAAACACACTGGAAGACAAGGCAAGCTGGGAAGACAGAACATGGACAGGATTCCATAAGTCAAATTCCTCAATAAAATAGTAAGGGCCAACCTGCTTAATTGTCCACGAAAGGAATGAATCAGCATTTTTCTAAAGGTCTCAGGAATTCTGATTGTAAGTAACATTATATTATTACATTGAAAAGAACACACAGAACAAAGTCAGCAGCACTACAAATGCTAAGTAAAGAATGTGTCAAATGTGACGGATGCCAGGATCATCACACCTGGCGTTGTTCTCCTCTTAATTAAGTTAGCAAGTACACAGTCCGTTTTCCGCCCTATCTACTCTCTCTAACCTTAGCCCTTGGAATCATTTCTGTATTCAGCTGAAGAGAGAAAACGGTCATGCAGCTTCCCCACATACAGGCAGCTAATCAGGAGCTGCCAAACACCAAAGGGCCAATCCACGGAGTTTTTACCGTTCAGTTATGGAGAGTCGAAGGAGTCACAGAACTGAAGGCCTTTGCAGACCACGCTGAAGATGATGAAGAAAGAACACGTGGCTTCTGTCTGGCCCTTTGCCCTGCCCCCCTTTCCTTCACAGTCAGTTTCAAAATACGTGCTTGACTTCAGCAATTCAGACCCAGGCCTGTCCAGTGGTCGGGTACCATCAGGAAATACTTGTCCATTGCTTCACAAAACCTAGTCCTGTACAGCTCTGGGGAGACCACGGTTGGCATTTTACCTAAGATTATGAAGGAGAAAAGAAGGGAAATGCTGTTACTTGATTGGGCAACTGACTTCAACTGCCTCTGTTCTTTCACCTAGACTGCCGTGGAGACACAAACACCAGAGCAGTCTACATGAGGAGATGGGTTACCTGCTGTGCCACATAGCACAGCACAGGGTCCTCCCCGGCAGGAGTTTCTATTTTAGAAGACTAGCTCTTGCCTAGAGGTGAGTGATGTCTAAAAGCACAAATGAGGATAGCAGTGCTTAGAGAACTTAAAAGACCTCAAGTGTTAATTAAAGACAACTTCTTACTCAGAAATGGTGGTTTAAAAAAAAAGTCTTATTTTTACTTTGAGATCCTCTGGCATGTAACACAAATTTACACCCACTATTTCCCCACCTATATAATTCCTCTTATTATTTGATCATTTTGGAAATGATGATGGAATCAGATAACCGCTTATTTTTTAGAAAAAACAACCAGTATCCACTTTGTAAATTATAACTGATATGAAATACATGAGAACAGTTTAAAGAGTAAACAAAACGAAAATTCTGCTTACCTTGTCCTCCTAAAATTCCTGTTGATTTCACAACCATCTCAAGCTTTTTGTCCCATGTAAATGTTCGAATATAATCTAGCAGATGGAAGAAGCAGAATGAAATTAGCAGTGAAGCTAACTGCTATGTCAACAAATATGAGCAATGACTATTACAATGGCAGTTAACTTTTTTTTTTTTTGAGTTGGAGTCTCACTCTGTCACCCAGACTGGAGTGTAGGGGCCGCTCCCAGCCACCGCAGCCTCAACCTGCTGGGCTCCGGCGATCCTTCCGCCTCAGCCTTCCGAGTAGCCGGAATTACAGACGCGCGCTACCACGCCCGGCTGATTTTTTGATTTATTGTAGAGATGAGGTCTCGCTGCCCAGGTGGGTCTCGAACCCGTGGGCTCAGGCAATCCACTCACCTCAGCCTCCCAAAGGCATGGGATTATAGGCTGAGCCACCGAGCCCGGCAGCAGTTAACTTTTATTTAGTGCTGACAGTATGCCAAGTGGTGTTCTCAGGGTTTTCCCCACACTGGTTTGTTTAATCCTCAAAATAAACACCAAGGGCCTCATTACAACTGACTTTTGGAATTCACATATTTTTGGTAAAGATAATAAAAATAGAAATGAGGAAACTAAATAGAAGGGACTAGAATAAAACATTATTATTTTTGGAATTTCAAATGAAAGTCTTTGTAAAAATACACAAGAAGCTATTATCAGAGCAGCAGGTTCAATAAAAACTTTAAAAGTTTACTCTAAGCCGGGCGCAATGGCTCACACCTATAATCCCAGCACTTTGGGAGGCCAAGGTGAGAGGACTGCCTGAGCCTGCGGGTTCGAGATCAGCTCAGGCAACTTGGCAAGACCTCATCTCTACAACGAATCAAAAAAGTAGCCAGGTGTGGTGGCACGCACCTGTAGTCCCAGGTCCTTGGAAGGCTGAGGCAGAAGGATCACCGGAGCCCAGCAGGTCGAGGCTGCGGTGGCTGTGAGTGTGCCACTGCACTCCAGCCTGGACCACAGAGTGAGACTCCAACTTAGAAAAAAGTTTGCTCTAGCTTCATTCATGAACTGTAAGGAGGGCACATTTACTGACTTACCTATAATCCCAACGACTAGCTCATTGCTAGTATCATCTCGCCCAACTAGCAAAGAGTAATCTATGATGAGGTGGCTGGAAAGGAAATGGGAGTCACTATGGATTGAGGTTCTCAGCACAGCTTTGGAGTGAGAACGAATGTACAGAGGGTTGTCCCGAACCATCTTTAGGAGGTTTTCATCCAGCAGGACCACATCGCAGCTCTCTTTCCCAGTGTCAGTTTTTACATTTCGATTCCTAAGTGAGCCCTTCAAATCAAAAACCTAGCAGAAAGAAAATTCTTTGTCATTTACATGTGAGTTGCTACAGGTAGTCAGTGTGATTAAATAAAAAAGTAGTCACTACTATTGCATACTTTTTTAAATTGAGCACTTAATAAAAATTATTAAAAGAGATATACTTGCGTAATACATAAAATACACAGACATATAATTGTGTCATATGAAATTAGTTTCTAGGTGCTCACTTACTGAAACATCTCAGAAATGAACTAATGTAATAAACTTTGAGATACACAAACAAGCAACTCCAAAAACACATCACTGGATCCTGAAGTGATGTCCCAACTGTCCAATCACTTATGGCAACGTGGAAGCAACAGCACAATTCCAGCAATACTTGGGTGACAGGAAAAGCAAAGCACTCAGACGTCAGGGGACCTGAGTTCCAGCACGGGCTGGAGTGTGTGTGCCACAGACCAGGCAGGCCAGCTGCTCCCGGCTCAGGATGATGGTAGAGAACTCGAGCCAGAATGTAAGTTCATTACATAATTAGGCACGCTGTTTCATCCGGCTGACTTTTTTTCATAGCAAGGTGTTCTCAGTAGAGAAAGCAATGCCTGCATTATATTCCCACAGAAGCTCCTTATCTCACTACAGACTGGAAACAGTTCAAGGAGCAGCACCTGGAGGAGCACTATTCTAGAACCCAGACCAACCTGAGTCTAAGAGCAGCGGAGCAACTTTAATAAAGTACTTAATTTCGAGGGGCCTTGCCTTCTTAATCTTTAAAAGTGAGGTGCTGGGAGCAAATGTGCCTTCTTATTGGACTAATTCAGTGATTTCAGAATACTGACCATGTCAAATTTTAGGACCAGTCCACGATAAACAGTACTTTATTCTTAACCTCCAAGGTTCAACAAGTCAAAAGTCACGCCTGGCCTAGCAGCCAGAGTTAAATATTCACTGTAAAGGAAGATGCTCCTCCCTGGCTTACAGCAGTCAAGAGCCAAAAGCCCCAAGGGCTCCAGGAGCGATGTGCGCCACACAGTCCATATCTCACCTGCGCCATCTTCCTCCCATAGAAAAGGTTTTCCATGACAAGGAGATCTAGCTTCTTCTCGGTGTTGTTCTGGGAGTTCTTATAGCCAATTCTGTAAACGCCAAGGATTTTGGCCAAGGCGGTAGGCCTCTATTCAAGAAGAGAGCAAAGGAAATTCTCACCAAAATGGGTTGTTTGTAACTCAGTGCCTTCTCCTGCATTATCCTCACCACATCCAGACAGGATCTTCTACGGCCAGAAGACTATGAAAGGAACTTAAGCCCTTGAATCTCAGAAGTGAGAATAACAGCAACGCCACACTGTTCCATCCTTAACTTTCTTCCAAGGGATAAACCTTCAGTTGCTCAAATTAAAACAAACTTCCTTGGCCGAGCTTGGTGGCTCAGCCTGTAATCCCAGCACTTTGGGAGGCTGAGGTAAGTGGACTGCCTGAGTCTGCGGGTTCAAGATCAGCCCAGGCAACTTGGTGAGACCTCGTCTCTACAATTAAAAAAAAAAATTAGCCAGGCATGGTATTACACGCCTGTAGTTCTGGCTACTTGGAAGGCTGAGGCAGAAGGATCGCCAGAGCCTGGCGGGTTGATGCTGGGGTGTGAGTGTGCTGCTCCAGCTAGGAGTTGAGACTCCAACTCAAAAAAAAAAACAAAACAACTTACTTATGACATGTAATTTCTCCTGATATCAACTGTGTAATCTTCCATAATCCTATGGCGGGAGAACGGAGAAACAAGGATCAACTGTTCAATGACACGTGAGCAAACCTAGGCCACTGTCTTCCTCTCTTTCCAGCTAAGGGAGGCACCTACCAATTGTTCAACACATATTCCAAATTTCTGTCTCAGCAAAATTACCAATTACTGAACGTGCAGCTAATTTCAGCCAGTCTTAATGCTTATAAATCTTAAGCTAAAAGCAACTGCTTGATGTCACTTGGTTTCTCACTGGCAAAAGTAGGGAAAAAATACCATCTGAAATCGCTGAATTCTAGCCCGCCTCAACAGCATAACAGAGATCTAGGCATGCCCAGCTCTTATCTTCCCACGGAGAAAATTACCATTAGGGTTAACCCTCAGGACCTGAAAAGGCCCAGCCAGCTCTGACTATAGACCAGGGCTTGGGATTTCTACCTTTTGTTGAACAGCATTTGTAACGTAATTGAAGTAGTGTGGGGCGAAGTCAAGGAAAGACTGGACTTCCAGACGAGGCATTTGCTTCAAAATGAATCTATCATCTAAAAGGCAGAAATTGCACATGTTTATTCAAACACAATATATACTGTGGTCTCTAATACATCATTCCAAAAATCCCAAATAATCTGGCTGTTATGACTTTAAAAAATATTTTCTAAGGTCGCAGTGAACATTCTAATCAGAAGACAATTCTAAGTAACTGGTGGCCTGGAAGGGATCCTGAGGATTTATATAGTCAAGGACCCTCGGCTTTTGACAGTGACCTCAATTCACTGCTAGATGACCCACTTTTTAGAAATACCAAATAAACTATAAATTCTTTGTTAGCCACCAAGAAAGCCACAGTTCTAAAGGTCTTATCCAGCTACGTCCCTCCTGCTACCATTAGATTACATTTTCACAAATTTCCCCTGATATCAACTGTGTAATCCTCCATAATCCTATGGCAGGAGAACGGAGGAGCAAGGATCAACTGTTCACTGACACGTGAGCAACATTTTCACCAATGATTTTGTTTTCAGTAGGGTTAGAGAATAGACTGTGGCACGCAAATGGTCATAACATTTTGCAAACTTTCATAGGTTAAGAACCTGACCTTTGTTTTCAAGTTAAGTACTTCCACTTTCTACCTTTCTCACACCAGGTCTGAGGTATCCTTTTGAATTTTCCAGAGGTTCTCTGTTGTTACTGACATCTGGAGAACTCACAACTAGAGAGAGTGTCATAAAGACTTGAACAATACCTGGGTCTCATCACTAACATCTAAATGTATATTCTTCCCGCGCCTTTGGGAGGCTGAGGTGAGTGGATTGCCGGAGCCCGCGGGCTTGAGACCCGCCTAGGCAGCGAGACCTCATCTCTACAATAAATCAAAAAATCAGCTGGGCATGGTAGCGCATGCCTGTAGTTTCGGCTAATTGGAAGGCTGAGGCGGAAGGATCACTGAGCCCAGCGGGTCGAGGCTGCGGTGGTCGGGAGCGGCCACTGCACTCCAGTCTGGGAGACAGAGAGAGACTCCAACTCAAAAAAAATAAATAAATAAATAAAAATAAACGTCTATTCTTTTAAACCACTGACTACATCCTAAAGCATAAAAGGAAAAACAGAAAACGCTGTTTGCCGACACACACGACCTCAGTTCGAGCGACTCCTAAGTGACCTGAGGGAAAAGGATGGAGACGCCCTGGTCGGCGAGTGACTGAAAGGCTCACCTTCAGTGGCATAGAAGGCAGCTCCGGACTTGCCTCCTCGGGCCTGCCAGGGCGACGAATGGGAAAGGGAGCGGATGAAATCTTCCTCGCTGCTGCCCAGAATCACTTCGCGCATCTTGTGAAACTCTCCCGCGTAATAGAGCCGACAGTAAAACTTGGCATTAGCATCGGAAAATTCTATAAACAGATGTTAAAAAAATGCTTTTATGTATCAGAAAATATCTGTCCTCCTTCCCGCCCTCCAGCCCTCGCCCTGGCCAAATGCAACCATTTAAGATAATCCACGGCAGCATTCTTTATGTCATGTCTAAATCCGTTTTCATAACTCTGTTAAAGTGATCTACAAGGGGTATTTGAGGTCATATGATCACCCTCACATATTTTTTAAAAACTCAGTTCAAATTATACATTGGCTACTGTATTTTCATCATTATACTTTTACAGCAATTCTTTTTTATTTTTTGAGTTGGAGTCTCACTCTGTCGCCCAGACTGGAGTGCAGTGGCCGCTCCCGGCCACCGCAGCCTCGACCCGGGCTCTGGCGATCCTTCCACCTCAGCCTTCCGAGTAGCCGGAATTACAGGCATGCGCCACCACGCCCGGCTGATTTTTTGATGTATTGTAGAGATGAGGTCTCGCTGCCCAGGCGGGTCTCGAACCCGCGGGCTCAGGCAATCCACTCACCTCAGCCTCCCAAAGGCGCAGAATTACAGGCTGAGCCACCAAGCCCGGCTAGCAATCTTACAGACATCTTAAAATTTACTTTACAAGACCTGATTCTGAATAATAAATTTCTGGTACCCATATTCACAATTCTAAATGCCTTGACAATACTCTGTAAATCTCAATTACATAATAAGTCAGCATTTAACTATTAGAAATAAATGCATAATTTATAAATTAAATTATAATTTTAATTACATTTCTACATGAAGCTGCTTTATAAGTTAAATAGCACACATTTTGCAAACTAAATTATGGGTGAAATATGCTTCATGTCAGCACACAATTCTACTTGTTTCAGGAACCAGGACACTTATCTAGCATAAAGCTGGAAGCCTCAAAGGTGGCGTCTGCTGAACCGCGGTCCCGCCCCTCACACTGACAATACAGTGTCTCATACTCACGAAGCTCCACATGAGGGTTTGTGAGTTGTTTCTTTTGTGGGTCTCCTCCGTCCACCTCATCTAAAATGTTTGATATCATTAGTAAAGTCAAAGCTTTAATTATTATCAGTTCACTGTCTCTTCTCTTTTCCCTGATATAACAAAAAGATTTAGCAAATGAACAGTGAAAATCCAACTCAAGGCTCTATCAAGCAAGCATCAGATGCACAATTAAACTATGTAAACAGTCACGACAAAGATGTACGTATGTTTTGAAGTTTCAATTTTTAGGTACAAAAGCAGAGAATTCAGGTTAAATAATTTTTCTGACATTTGGGTAATGCCTATGATACACATATAGTAACTCAGCTCTTAAACTAAGAATTTCCACAGCTGTTTTATCAGAGTTCATAACCAGTTTTCCTCCTGTGTGTAGAACAGAGCTTCTCCAATACCTCACGCTACTTTATCATATACTAAGATACACATGTAATACATAAAATATAGGCCGGGTACGATGGCTCCCACCTGTAATCCCAGCACTCAGGGAATTTGAGACGGGAGGATTGCTGGAGCCCAGGAGTTCACGACCAGCCTGGGCAACACAGTGAGACCCTGTCTCTACAAAAAATAAAAAATTAGCCAGGCATAGTGGCACCTGTAGTCCCAGCTACTTGAGAGGCTGAGGCGGAAGGATCACCTGAGCCCAGGAGGTTGAGGCCATGGGCATGCCACTGTACTCCAGCCTGGGCGACAGAGTGACACCCTGACTCAAATAAACAAAGAAACAGACAAACAAACTGGTATATATTTTTTATACCAGTACATACTAGAGCCTACTTCAGAGATATTTTTTGTATTTGATCTGTCTGGTGAACTTACTGCCAGATCCACTCTGTTTATTACTGTAGGTCTGTAATCCATCTTAATATGTGGAAGAACAAATTGTGCTCTAGGTTTTACATTTCAAAATAATTTTTTTGAAGCATCAAAGCCATCCAAGGATCACATTGTAAACGCTAACAACCTAACAGTAGTCTGTAAATTACTAAACAGATGTCTTAATTACTAACCAAAATTTATGATAGCAGTTGCTATTTTTTAAACTACTAATTCATGGCCTAACCCAGGAGTCACCAAAATTCTGTAAAGGGCCAGAGAGCAAATATTTTACTCAGCTGCAACTACTCAACTTGCCAATACAATGTGCAAGCAACCAGACGTAAGGAAATAAACGGGTGGACCTACTTCCCAATAAACTTTTGTTTACAAAAATAGGTTGGCATGGTCTGCCAACTCCTAGTCTGCACCCATACCCAAATACAAGCAAAGAGATAGAGATATTTTCTGAAGTATCAACATAAAGGTGGACGTAACAGCTACAACTTTACATACTTGGGGGAGTGGTGGCATGAAAACGTTTGCGTATACACCATGAGTTACAGAATGAGACAGACGTTTCACATGCAGGATGTCATGCAGACCTTGGAAGACACTGCTCTTGCCACTCGACAGGTTACGGAAACTAGGGAGTTGATTCTACTGCACAGCAGCTGATGGCAATGACATCTGAAACCAGCTGGACTCGCCTAGTGCTGGGCTTTTTCCACTTGCCACACTGACAAGTGACAACAGAGGGGATGCCTTGGTCTCAGCAACCATCAGCATCTACTTCACGGTGTAAGAAACATAAACAGCAAAAAGAAGTACGTCAAAGCCTGGAACGAGCACAACCGGTCTTCTTCAACACACCTTGAGGCTCGACGCCTGGATTCTCCATCACCTCCTTGCCCGTCTGCCCAACCTGGTAGTAAGCACTGTCTGCTCCACGCAGGGTTTCTCTCCTCTGGGAAGAGAGATCAGGGCTTTTCCCTGCTGTCCCTCTGAAGAAGGACAACATTCCAGAAGCCTTTTTGGCTAAAACCAAGAAGAAACAGGTTAATTTTAAGTACAGGACGCCACAGGTAGAAAATACAAATTTTCAATTCATTCCTTTGGTAGCTGTAACAATTATATGGGGTTAATGACTCTGGGTAATACTGACACTTTCATTTGAACAGTAATATTCCACATGCTGCTGTTCTTTAGCAGTCAAGTACCCACCTGACTATCAGAAACACAGATGGACAGCAATGTTCAGTTAGCTGAATATCAAAACGAGAAAAATTCTCTAAAAAATCTTTCAAAATTATCTTTCAAAGGCAGTAACATCTTAAGCAACAAGATTAAATTTGGGCTGAGTTTTTACAATACTGCAATATGGTTAATTAACTAACAAAACAATTTCACAAACTGAAGGAATTGGGTGAAAGGTAACATTTTTGTGTGATTTATGTTCCTACTTTTTTTTTTTAAATTCAGTCTTACTCTGTCACCCAGGCTGCAGTGCAGTGGCATGCTCACAGCTCCCGCAGCCCTGACCTTACTTTCTGTCTCAGCCTTCCAAGTAGCTGGAACTACAGGTGTGCACCATCACGTTTGGCTAATTTTTTGATTTATTGTAGAGATGAGGTCTCGCCAAGTTGCCCAGGTTGGTCTCGAACCCCTGGGCTCAGGCAATCCTCGTGCTCTGCCTCCCAAAGTGCTAGGATTACAGGTGTGAGTCACCAGACCCAGCTTGTTCCTACATTTTAACAAAGGAAAATATGAGATTTCGTTTTTAGTATCTTTCCAAAAATATGAAAGGCCACAGGATGGCCAAGAAGTTACTAAAGCTTGTTCCATGCTTTTTTTTTTTTTTTTTTTTTTTTTAGTTGGAGTCTCACTCTGTCGCCCAGGCTGGAGTGCAGTAGCATGCTCACAGCCACCGCAGCCTCAACCTGCTGGGCTCCAGCGATCCTTCCACCTCAGCCTTTCAAGTAGCTGGAACTACAGGCAAGTGCTACCAAACCCAGCTTATTTTTTTTTTATTTATTGTAGAGACGAGGTCTCAACAAGATGCCCAGGCTGGTCTTGAACCCCTGGATTTAAGCAATCCTCTTACCCTGGCCTCCCAAAGTACTAGGATTACAGGCTTGAGCCACTGTGCCCGGCCTGCTCTATACTTTTATTTCTAGCTTAGAGTTTCATTCATCATACTAGTAATATGTCTGATTCTAATTCTTGTAAATTTACCACTGACAAAATCCACAGACAACGTCAATCATAAAAATGCTTACTTGGGGTGGCAGACACCATCACTGCCTCCTCAGTATCCATGTCTGCCTGGCTTCTTGCCAACAGAACCCCCGTGGGTGGGGAAGTGGTGACTATGTGTATGCCCAAGGAAAGGCTCCTAATTTGCATGCACCAGCCAAAACAGTGCTGCTCTCGACTTCCTCGGCCTCCTGCAGCGAGGAGTGATCATAAGACCCGGTTCTAACTGATAAGACTGTACGGAGAGCCTCTGAATTCCTAATAAGTGGGGAGAGCTGCAGCTTGCACCACCCTTCTTTCTGTCTCAAATGCACACAAAAACGGAATATTTTTGATCATGAGAATCACAGAGAAACTATCCTTTTACTGTCATAACAATGCCGAACAGCTACACCGATGCCAGCAACTGCCCACCTCCAGGCGTGGTCATTTTAGAAAAATAAGCTGTTGCTTTGTGAAGCCCTTACAGTCCATTGATTTTTCTGTTATTTATAGATGGATGAGTTCCTGACGAAGTCAGAGACCCAAGTTCAAATCCCAGCTCCACCACTAACTTAATGCTAAGCAAGTGACTTAATCTAAACTTAACTTCCTTTCTTAAAAGTTGGACGATTCAAATAATCCTTATGTAGCTACTGTGCAAATTAAAGATGACAATGCATAAAAATTCTTTTCAAAATGCCAATAATATTGTAAAACTTAAAAAAAAAAAGTAACTTGGTTTAACATCTTAGGTTGTATATTTTAAACTGAAAGCGCTAAGAAGGCAGGCACTACTTTTTGCATAGACCAAAGAGCTTCTGAGAGTTTCAAATTCAATACCTTGAACTCAGGTTTAAGGTAAGAACCAAAGAAAAACAGGAAAATATCTATAAAAGAGGATATACAAAAATGCTTAAATTTATATTTCAAAGATCGGTAGTAAATCCTTGCCAGATGGCAATTCTTGCTTGTTTTTTATGTTTCATTTTTTAAACCATAATTATAAGTAAGATTAACTATAAATACTTCTTTTGTGGATAATCTTACGTGGTTGTGGTTCTGCTTCTGCTGTACGGTTTGTCTGTCCTCCACTGACTTCAGGTAATCTAATAGGGCTGCTACTCTTTGGTCTGCTGTCTAAAGCACTAAAATGAAAAACAAAGTTGCTTTTACACTATTCAGACAGAAAATAGCAAGTACTCTAATTCCTATCCTAATTTATCCCCCACCTAACCACAATATTAGAAATCTAATTCAGAGCTAGAACATGAAAGAAAAAGCCTTGAAATACCTACTGGTAAAACACCATAATTACCAACATGCACAGAATCATAAACTTTTATAATATTTCCCCTCAAGACCATTCGTGCTATATTGGCACCTATAAGACAATTACAGAAAATACCAATTTCATTTTTCTCACACTAGTCACTATAGTGATAATTTGAATCAAATTTTACCATGTTAGCAGAATTAGAAACTCTATTCCAGTAAGAATCATAATAATGAGCCTACTAAAATTTGTGTCTAAATTCTAAAATACTGAACATGCTAACAGAACTGGTTTAATTTTTTTTGAATTGGAGTCTCACTCTGTTGCCCAGGCTGGAGTGCAGTGGTGCACTCACAGCCAACCCAGTGTCGACCTGCGGGCTCCGGTGATCCTGCCGCCTCAGCTTTCCAAGTATCCAGAACTACAGGTACACGCTACCACGCTCGGTTAATTTTTGACTTATTGTAGAGACGAGGTCTCACCAAGTTACCCGGCTGGTCTCAAACCCATGGGCTCAGACAATCCACTTGCCTTGGCCTCCCAAAGTGCTAGGAATACAGGCTGAGCCACTGAGCCTGGCCTAAGTTTATTTTTTTTAACTATTACGATCTTTAACTACGAGAAACAATTCATGGATACTTTTAATAAGAAGCTAAGCAACAGCTTACTAATTTTACAAGTTACTGTTTTTTAAATAAAAACAGTAACTTAGCTGGGCTTGGTGGCTCAGCCTGTAATCCCGCACTTTGGGAGGCTGAGGTGAGCGGACTGCCTGTGCCCACGGGTTCGAGACCTGCCTGGGGAACTTGGTGAGACCTCATCTCTGTAATAAATAAAAAAATCAGCCGGGCTTGGTAGCGCACGCCTGTAGTTTCAGCTACTTAGAAGGTTGAAGTGGAAGGATCGCCGGAGCCCAGCAGGTCGAGGCTGCGGTGGCTGGGAGCAGCCACTGCACTCCAGTCTGGGCGACGGAGTGAGAGTCCAACTCAAAAAAAAAAAAAAAAGAAAAAAACAGTACCTTTTTCATTTTCCTGAGAAAGGTTGGACGTTTAAATCTGCAACATACATTGAACTGCTATTATCAGAAAACTGTATCCTAAGGATCTGTTTAAGGTCTTTTGCTGTATTTGAACTTTATTGTCTCAAGTATTGGCTGGAATATGAGCACCATTATCTAGAGTCTAGAAATTTTATACTGATAAAATGCTATAGTAAAACTCAAATGCAAGCATACAGAAAATGTTTACACAACAACATTAAAATAGAGTCTCGCCAAGCATGGATCACCTGTTTGCTGGAAGCCCCTCTTCAGCACTGTTCCACTGGGTCGCTTTAGACAATTCTTCTAAGGCATTTCGGTATTCTTTACAACTTAGGGTAGAAATAGGTTGAAAAACGTTAAATATTAACTTCTTCTTTAAAAGCAAATCATATACTTTAGAGTAAGTCTTGCATTGTAGAAGCGTGATCTCTGTAAGTGTCCATACTTGAATACATTCTGGTAAACCAGCAAACGCCATCACGCAGGAAGATCAACACGCTCGCAGAGGATGACACAAAACGTGACCCACTGCCTTACCAACCCCATCGATGTGCTCAACAAGGACCACAAAAGCCCACTCACTAATGTTTAGTTCAAACAGCTTCAGGGTGGAACAGGTAGCTGAAAAGTTGGAGGCATCCAGCTTTAGTACAACAGAACATTAATGGAATTTGAGGGTGCTTTTCCACTTAAAAGTTCTAAACTTTAAGAAAGAAACTCCTCATCAGCCACATGGTAAACCCTAAACTCCAGTAAAGGCAGACACACCTCTCTTGTTTACTCATGTATAGCCAATACCTGGGAGACCACATTTGGAGAACTTTCAAGTAAGTGTTGGACGACCGGACTCCATGTACCTCATCACAGCACAGCAGTGACTCCCACCCCCAGCCCCACAGTTTCACTCTCCTTGACCAACTGCGGTCCAGAAATACTGAGGACAGGCCACACCCACAGCGCTCTCATCGAGGCACATGATTATAGTTGCTCTGTTTTGTTATTAGCTATGACTGTTAATCTCTTATTGTGGCTAATTTATACATCTAGCTTTATCATATGCAGGTCTGTGCAGAAAAAACCTAGCATACAGAGGTTCAGTACTGACCATGGGCTTCAGGCATCCACGGCAGAAGGGGAGAGAGGTCTTAGACCATGTCCTCCAGAGGTAAGGGAGACGGCTGGACTCTAAGAAGGAACATTTTGCCTGATAGAAAGCAGGATGTTCCGAGTCAATAGGAAAATCCAAGGGATACATTCTATAAAAGAATGGTTGGAGGATTCAAGGACCGGCAAACAACTTGCCTGTCAATTTGGCTATCGGGAGCTTGCTTAAGAAGCATCCTTTACCCATCGTTTGGGCAAAGAGCAGGTCTTCAGTATAGTTTTGCTCACATGTGATCATGTCGCTCTGCTCCATGTGAGAGATCCCCAAAGCAAGGTCATCAATAGACACACGTAAAATGCACACAGATACAGTCATAGGTGAAAAGGTCCTGTGAATAATACCTGAGAGCAAAAGCAATGATGGAGCTGGGCTCCTTCTCACAGACTGCGATGGGCACACGCTCATGTTCATACATTAAGTAGTGTTTATCTGGATCGCTGTTCGAATTTTGAAAACATAAGAAAATAAAATCACATATAAAAACCATTAACACATTATACAAGTAAATCTCAGGACAATTCTGAGTTAATTAAATACTACACAGTAACAATATAATGAAGAAAGTCAAAACGTATGCAGACGCTGATAACTTGAATCAAATAAGCAACAAGAAGATATCAAGAGAAAGTTTTTGAAGGCAATTAGAAAATTATCAGAATTAAGCCAGGCACAGTGGTTCACATTTGTAATCCCAGCACTTTGGAAAGTTGAGGTGGGAGGACTGCTCAAGTTCAGGAGTTCAAAACGAGCCTACACAACATAGCAAGACCAAGTCTCTACAAAAAAACTAAAAAATTAGCCAGGCGTGGTAGCATATGCCTGAAGTCCCAGCTACTTGGGAGGCTGAGACAAAATGATCACCTGAGCCCAAAACATCGAGGTTGTGGTAAGCTGTGACTGTGCCAGAGCCACTCCAGTCAGGTGACAGAGTGGAACCTCAACTTAAAAAAAAAAGGAGGGAGGGAAGGAAAAGAATAAAAAATAAAATCATCAGAATTAGGCTTCAAATCAGAGGGTTGCTGGGTGTGGTGGCTCACGCTTGTAATCCCAGCACTTTGAGAGGCAGAGGCGAGAGGACTGCCCGAGCCCATAGGTTTGAGACCAGCTTGGGCAACTTGGTGAGACCTTGTCTCTACAATAAATCAAAAAATTAGTCAGACATGGTAGTGGGAGCCTGTGGTTCCAGCTACTTGGAAGGCTGATGTGGAAGGAGTACCTGAGCCCAGCAGATTGAGGCTGTGGTGGCCGTAAGCATGCCACTGCACTCCTGCCTGGGTGACAGAGTGAGAGTCCTACTTAAGAAAAAAAAAAAATCAGAGAGTTCTGGAATAATCACTCTACACTGCCAAAATAATTACGATAAACAGCACAAGTCTAAGATATTTTGTTCTATTATGAGCTTGGGAGAAAAGTCTTCCAGAAAGTGTGAAGACAGATTCCCAGTCCAAATATAAGCAACTCAATAGTCACTCTCCTATTATCCCAAGGAAGCTCAACGGTGACTCTATTTCAATCCAAACCTTGCTCCCTTGACTTCCACCCCAACTTCTAGGAATATTCATTTTATTTAAGTTCTATTTACTGAGCACCTAATGTGCCAGGGATACAATGCGGAGAAAAAGTATTATTAAGCACCTTTCACATGTGAGAAATGTTGAAATGTTCACATTAACACAATGTTGAAAAAAACAGACATTGTAGAATTTATAGTGCAAAGGAGTAAAGAAACAAACAAGCCTACAAATAATTATAATCACTCTCTATAATAAGTGCCATAAAGGAACTGTTATGGAATAAATGTTTGTTCACCCCCACACAAAATTCCTATGTTGCAATCCTAACCCCAATGTGATGGTATATGGAAGTGAGACTTCTGGGAGATAATTAGGGTCATGAGGGTAGAGCCCTCATGAGTGGGATTAGAGCCCTTATAAAAAGGAACTGAGGGAGCTCTAACCTTCCTCTCACCACACGAAGACAACATTTCACAACCCAAAAGAGGGCCCTTGCCAGAATTCCGTCATGCTGGCTGGCACCCTCATCTCAGATCTCCAGCCTCCAGAATTGCAAGAAATACATTTCTGATGCTTATAAGCCATTCAGTCTATGGCAATTCATTACAGTTGCCTGGACTAAGGAATCATGAGAGGACAGAACAAAGAGACCCAATTTGCTGGGGCAAATGGGCTGGCGGGGAAGGGCAGGATGGCATCCAGTCAAGCTTACTGGGAAAGAAAAGAAAGACTTGATGATGGAGAAAAAAGTGAGAGCATGAGCAAAGGCCATAAAATAGGAAGGACCACGGCTCATTCAAAAATGGAGACATTCAGTTCTGAAGCCGAGAAGGCAGGGCCTTTTCATAGAAAAAAGGATCAGTAAACAAATAACTTGCCTAGTCAATTTAGCTATCAGGAGCTTGCTTACGAATCATCTTCTACCCATTATCTGGGTAAAGAGATCCACATAACATGACATATGCTGCACCGTGAGTTTCCATGTCGCCTCCCCAGGACTATGAGCGCCTGAAGCAGTGAGTTTTCCTCACGAACCTTGTACTATGTCACAGGGCACTAGAGTAGGCACTATGTAAGATTTTGAAAAGTTGGACGGGCCGGGCTCGGTGGCTCAGCCTGTAATCCCAGCACTTTGGGAGGCCGAGGTGAATGAATTGCCTGAGCCCGCGGGTTCGAGACCCACCTGGGCAACTTGACGAGACCTCATCTCTGCAATAAATCAAAAATTAGCTGGGTGTGGTAGTGCGCGTCTGTTGTTCCAGCTACTTGGAAGGCTGAGGCGGAAGGATCGCCGGAGCCCAGCAGGTGGAGGCTGCGGTAGCCGGGAGCGGCCACTGCACTCCAGTCTGGGTGACAGAGTGAGACTCCGACTCAAAAAAAAAAAAAAAAAAGAAAAGTTGGATGAATGAATGAATGAATGCATAAGCCAGTCAGGGAAAAACAGAACTCCTTATTAACAAGCATCTACTTCTTGGATATACTTGTGCCACTGTCACAAGAGCAGCATTTGACAGCCATGCCAGGCAACCAATAGGAAAAAAATAAACTTTTACGGCCAGCCTATATATATTCTTTCCAGATGTGAGCGCACCAGTAAAAAAAAGATCACATGAAAATGTGTGCAGGTCATTGTAACTCATTATCACTGCTAGAACAATGTCCTGACCCAGTACATTAATGGGCCAGAAATACCATTCCCATATACAACAGCAATTTGTTTTTATAATTATGAGATCAAAGGATGTAACCGTGTATCTTCAAGATACAACTAGTTTTCAGAACTAGTTATTTCAAGCATTAAGCAACATTAACTAATGCTTTCTTCAGTCACTCATCTACTCTTAAAATAATGATTACAGCCGGGCTCAGTGGCTCAGCTTGTAATCCCAGCGCTTTGGGAGGCTGAGGTGAGCAGACTGCCTGAGCCTGTGGGTTCGAGACCCACACGGCCAACTTGGCGAGACCTCATCTCTACAATAAAATAAAAAATTAGCCAGGCATGGTAGCGCACACCTGTAGTTCCAGCTACTTGGAAGGCTGAGGCGGAAGGATTGCCGGAGCCCAGCAGGTCGATGCTGTGGTGAGCAGGAGCGTGCCACTGCACTCCAGCCTGGGCAACAGAGTGAGACTCTGACTCAAAAATAATAAAATAATAATGATTATATATTCTACAAATTACATCGAAAAATATCTCTTTTACTATGATGCAATGAAATTTACATTGAGGAATAATACATATATACAGATAAACATATTTCAATATGTAGAAGATAAGTCTAGAGAGGAAAAATAAAACTACCCAAGAATCACTGGCTTTAATAGTACTTACAAAGGAAATGGAATAGGATTATAGCTATTTCCTGGAAGCAAATTTGCAAAGATGGCTTTCATGGTTGACTTTTCCTTCACCTGGCTGTCTGTGGATCCCAGCAAATGTCCATCAAACACATCTAAAATGAAAAATAGTCTATATGTTAATATTCATGGAGAATAAAAAGTATAAAGTGTTAACTTTATCTTTTTCCTTCTTTGGAATACGGACATATCATACTGAAATACTCAATTATGGCTTAAAATGTCTCATCTAGGAAAAAGATTCCTATGGGTTGAAACAGGAAGCAACAGTGAAGCATACACAGTGACAATTCCAAGGGACACTTTTTTTTTTTAAAACATTTTAGCATCTCTGAAATTGAAATCACCCCACAATTAAACATCGCAGGTGCCAGGAAGGAGCCATGACGAAATTACTGCCTGCATGAACTTAGCATGCATGAACTTAGTCCCAGCTGCTCACGTTATCATTTCAACTCATTTATGTGCTCTGTGGCTAGTACACTTAAGTTTAATAACAATTTTAAAGTTAATTTCATAGTTTATACTATAATTAAGTTGCTTAAACAGAAAGCAAGGAAAGAGAGGAGCAGGGCATAAGTTTGCTATGATGAAGCATGTATTTATTGATGGAAAAATGGTTGCAATTCTTTTTTTCTTACAATAAAGCAATAACCATGTGCTTTATGAAACTTAAGAAAGATCCCCAGGAGGTAGATGAAGCTAAATGACATTTTGTTACTGAGACATTTCCATGGCAAGTAATTCAACTAAATATTATAGGAAGAATATTAAATACTGTAAGAAGCCATATGATAAAAAGCTGTATCTAAAAAGCACTTTCTATAAGTACAAAATGGAGGAATTCTAAGGGATAAGAAAGCATTATGTTAAAGACTTAGCTGCAGCTTTCTTCCCTGGAGACACCCACACACCAAACATACATCTTTCGGTCCCAGCTTAAATGAAGTATAGCAAAAGTGCCTAAAACTGTACCTTCAGAGCTGCTGGCTGTATCTAAGTCGGGAGGCCCTCCCACCGGCTGCTCGGACACGACTTCAGGAGGAGTAGGCAACTGGAGATGGGTAGAACTGGTGGAGCTCTGGCTGGACAGGGTTGTTAAGAAGCGGTCCTCTGAAGAAAAACACAATCTTAAATGAGTCCTTTACAAACATTAAGCCCATTCCTACCTAAAATTAATGTTTTGAAAATGCCAGTTCATATTTTTTCTCCTCAAACATAAAATGTTTGCTTTTAAAAAATAATCCAGGTCACGTAGCTCATGCCATAGACGTGGACACACAAAGGTTACATATGATTCGCGCACAATTAAATCCTGATGGTCACACTACAATTGTCAGCCGAGTCTTACTCCTATCCACCACTCTTTTCGCTACCCCACAATGCCTACCTAAATTTTAGTTTATTCACTTTAATAGAGAAGGAAATTAGAACACTGTGAAAAAAACGACATGCTTATTCTGAGAGAGAAAAAACCCATGAAATCATAATAGAAAAATATCACAAATTATGAGGCAAGCTATTGTTCTGTAAAGATAGAATATGTAAATTTCCCCCATTTCTGCAATGATACCAAGTTATAAATGAAATACTGTAGAAGATATCTTAAGTCCAGAAAAGATTTTAGTGACATTAAAAATATAAATTATTGGCAACCCCCTTGGGTCCCCTCCCACTGTGGGAGCTTTACTGTCCTCTCAATAAATCCTCAATAAATATATACACATATACACACACACATACATAAAACTTTATAAGATTTTTTTGCAGCGAAACCTGGGGGTTGACTCTGACTCTGGAATAAGCAAAAGAAAAATTCAATTTCCTTTTTTCTGTTTCTTCTTCCCCTTAATAGCAGCTCTCTTTATAAGTCATGTATTTCTATAACCTAATTTATCTTCTTGCAATATATTCTGATAATCTCAAATTGACTATAATGGAAGGAAAAAAACTTATGCATAGTTGATAGTATCATGGAAAAATGTTCAAAACTAGTTAAAAACTACTATGCACTAAAAAATTTCTTTAATTCCAATAGCAAGTGATCACTAGATTCAAGGACCAACCTTTGTCCCCATTCTGAAGTCCTGGAGAAATATTCCGTGGCGATGCATCCATTGCACCTATCTGTGGAGAAGCAGATACTTTGTTTTTAAGCAAAATATGAAAATCACATTAAAAATCTTTTCAACCCAGTGAATCCTAAACTTTTGGGTTTCAGACTTTATACTCTTAAAAATTACTAAGGACTCCTTAATTTAAAATAGCTTTTGTTTACCTTATTATAAACTTTCACATCAAAATTAAAACTAAGAAATTTTAAAATATGCACTTATTCATTAAAAATAATAAATCCATTAAATAAGTAACATATTTATATAGGTAACATATTTACTAAATAAAAACATATCTATTTTGCAAAATGAAAAAAAAAGGTGAAAGAGTGGCAAAACGTTTTACATTTTGACAACTATCTTAAATGTCTAGGTGTATAGAACATAGCTAGATTCCTATCTGGCTTCTTCGCAGAATCAGCTGAGATATGCTGCTAGAGTTGAACTGCTTAATATAAAGATAATCAGGCTTCAGACAGATATGCAGTTGAAAAAGAAAACCTGCAAAGCTCCTGACAGGGTTTTGGCCCCCTCAGAGGAAACCTTGAACAACGCTTCGAGAAGAGAGAACAGTCTTTTTTTTTTTTAAAGTATAGACAGAATCTTGCTATGTTGTCCAGGCTGGTCTTGAACTCCTGGGCTCAAGCAGTTCTCCTGCCTCAGCCTCCCCAAGAGCTGGGATTACAGACGTGAGCCACTGCACCCGGACGAGAACAGCATTCTAAATAGAAGCTTACTTACTAGCATTAGCAGCATCTAGAATACTTAGGATTATCCATTAAATCTAGCAATTTTGTATTATTGACTGACCTTCTCAAGTCCTTGTGAAGATAATAATCTACAGATAAAAGATGTATTTAGAATGACTCTAAGACCCATGCACACTCTCATTTCAAAGTCATTCCTTAGGTCTTTGAGAAAAGGGTACTATACCAGTAAGACCTCCCTGATAACCTGCATAAGATAACCGACCACCACCACCTACTCTCTCAGCACTCTCTATCTCTGTTGTTTTTGTCTCCATGGACTTTTCATATTTGTTTTTCAAATGTTTACTGGATCATGTATTTTTTGTTATTCTCCTCCGCATTAGGCAATGTTCCATGGGGACAGCACCTACGGACCCCTAGAACAGTGCCCAGTGTATCACAAGTCCTAGGGAACTGTTTAGCAAATGAACACAGCAGGTCCCCCCCGAGGCAGCATTGCCTTCCATGGTTTTAGTCGCCCATGGTCAGCCACGGCCCAAATTCCAGAAATAAACTATTCATAAGTTGCAACCGCAGTCTGTTCTGGGCAGCATAATGAAACCCAGCACCATCCTCCTCTGTCCTACCCAGGATGTGAATCATCCCTTTTTCTAACATGTCCACGCCATGCACACTAACTACCCACCAGTCACTTAGCAGTCAGCCACCTTGGTTACTGGGTCGACTGTCGCAGTGTGGCAGTGCTGTGTTCGAGTCACCCTTGGTTGACTTGATAATGGCCCCAAAGCACAAGAGTAGTGATGCTGGCTTATCATTATAACTGTTCTCTTTTATTGCTATTGTTGATAACCTCATCCTGTAGCTAATTTTTTTTTTTTTCTTTGAGTTGGAGTCTCACTTGATTGCCCAGGCTGGAGTGCAGTGGCATGCTCACAGCCGCTGCAGACTCAACCTGCTGAGCTCAGGCGATCCTTCTGCCCCAGCCTTCCAAGCAGCTGGAACTACAGGCATATGTCATCATGTCAAGCTAGTTTTTGTGATTTATTGTAGAGACGAGGTCTTACTGAGTTGCCCAGGCTGGTCTCGAACCCCCGGGCTCAGGCAATCCTCTTGCCTCAGCCTCCCCAAGTGCTGAGATAACAGGCTGAGCCACCATGCCTGGCCCTGTAGCTAGTTTATGTAAGACTCTATCATAGGTACATATGTATAGGAAAAAACATCGTATGCATAGGGTTCAGGCACCCAACGGGGGCCACAGAACATATTCCCCATGGAGAAGGGGGGGATCACTGTAACCATAAAGGCAGTGCCACAGAATTTCAAATCAGCTTTCAGCCTTTCCAAAGTATGAGCACCTACTGAATGATTTTATATTTTTAGTCCTGTGCCTACATGCTACAATGCAAAAGTCTCAAAACATCCCCTTGGCAGCTTCTCCTACAGGCGATGGAAAGGCCACCAGAAACCTGTGCTAGTCCCCACAGCCCTGGATTTGCTAGCTGGCAAACACCAACACAGAGATCGTTTTCAGTGACCTTGTTCTTACTCTCACCTGAACTTTAAGGAAGAGTGATTCCTATACAGCTGCTTATGAGACAAAGGGAAGAATTTGCTATATATTACTAAGCAACAAAAATACCTCAAGTACTTGGATCCACCATTTCATGAAAATATTCCTCTACAAATACACACCAAACCAAAAGAAGACACTTCCTCAAAAGCCCTTGTGAAATCTAAACAGGAAGTCTTTATAATAAACTGAAATATGGTTAGTGTTGCAAGCAGAATTCTAAAATGGCTCCAAGATTTCCAGTCTCTTGTGTATACACACTTTTCCCAATTACTCAATCAACTACAGACAGTCCCCGACCTATCATGGCTTGACTCAGCAATTTTGTTTACTTTACAATGGTGTGAGAGCACTATGCATCCAGCATGCACCTCAACTTATGATCGGGCTACATCCAGCTAATCTCATCAAAAAGAGAAAATGTCATGAGTCAAAAATGCACTTTTGGATGCTTTCAACTTAGGATGGGTTTACTGGGACATAACCCCATTGTAAGGTGAGGAGCATCTGTACTAACTGAGGAACTGCTGTAATTTTTCACGTATTAGTAAGTCCCAATCAATCTACCTCAAATGAGGAGATTATCCAGATGGGCCTGACATTATCCCACGAGTCCTTAAATCTGCATCCACAGACTGGAGACAGAAAGTAGGTGATTTGAAGCACAAGAAGGATGTGATGCATTGCAACAGGCTCTGAAGATAGAGGGATGCAGGGCAAAGAACAGCAGCAGCTCTGGAAGTGGAGAGTGGTCTCCAAGGGACAGCCAGCAGGAAACAGGGATGTCACACCTACAACCACTAGAAACTGAATTCTGCTAACAGCTTGGATGAGTGGGAGACCTTGAGCCTCACTGAAGACAAAAGTACTGGCCAAAATGTCAGCTAGGTGAGATACTGAGCACAGAATTCAGTCATGTCAGACCTCTGATCTACAGAAACTATGACAGAAAAATGTGTATCGGCCAGGCTCAGTGGCTCAGCCTGTAATCCCAGCACTTTGGGAGGCCAAGGCGAGTGAATTGCCTGAGCCCGTGGGTTCAAGACCCACCTGGGCAACTTGACGAGACCTCCGTCTCTACAATAAATCAAAAATTAGCCGGGCGTGGTAGCACGCGCCTATAATTCTGGCTACTTGGAAAGTTGAGGCAGAAGGATCGCTAGAGCCCAGCAGGTCAAGGCTGCAGTGGCTGGTAGCTTGCCACTGCACTCCAGTCTGGGCAATAGAATGAGACTCTAACTCAAAAAGAAAAAAAAGGAATAATGTGTTTGGGGGTCCTAAGTTTGGAGTAATCTGTGACCAAGCAAGAGAAAGCTAATACAGCCAGAAAAGGCTAGTTAAATCAACGTGTAGAGCTTACCCAGTTGAGGAAACCTTAAGACACACATCTCATGTAAACACAGATTAAAAAAAGAAAACACCCCGCAATGCACAGCATAAAGCAGATGAGGACCCTGTTATACCCTCAGTGCACCTACCGTTTTTCCTTTACAGCACTTGCAGTCACCACGATGCTACCCTTGGTGATGCCAGGAAACAGTAATTTTTATAGACATTTCCAATAAATGAATTATAACAGATCACTTTATTTCAGGCTAGGATATAAAAATGATCCAGGTCATATTTCCTTAAAACCTTCAACTTCATGACAGAAAACCCTGTTTGATATTATTAATAACATATGTATTAAATTATCCCTTCTAAGGTTTCTAAATGAAACGAACTACATCTCTTTTTTTTTTTTTTTTTTTTTGAGTGGAAATGTCACCCAAGCTGGAGTCCAGTCGTGCACTCACAGCCACCCCAGCATCAACCTGCTGGGCTCCGGCAATCCTTACGCCTCAGCTTTCCAAGTAGCTGGAACTACAGGTGCGTATTACCACACCCAGATAAAAAACTGCATTTCTATCAATGGAGGACCAGAGACAAGATTAAATTTCATACCTTGCTGTCTTCCCCTTGTCTCAGTCTTCCAGGACTTGGAGGAACTGAAGGCCGCTTTCTACCCTTTTCCTGTTGGAAAAGGTCCTGCAACCTACAGCCAAACACACACACACACACAAATATGTTTTGTCTCTAGCACCTTCAGTTATGCTCACAAATTTTTTTACAACTTCGAAATCAAAATAATTACATTTTTCTATTTGTATTTCAATAGATTTTAATGTTGTATATAAATCAGTTTGCATAAATGTTGTATATAAATAACTTAAGTTTTTGTCATACCTAATGACTTAACAGAGCATTTGCTGATATATAGTTATAAAAGAATAGCAAGTTACAATAAAAAAAAATATTTAAAGAAAGATGTAAGATAAACATATGAACATATTTGACATTCCTGGGCCCAAAACCAATAACCACACAAGGCATACTAAGTTAGTTAAATACAATTCAGCAGTACACACATCTGAAACAGTATGGTTTCAAATTATATTACCAACATCATTGAAGGCTGTTCTCATTTTTGGGTTTTATTTGAGTCGAGGTCTTACTACATCACCCAGGCTAGAGTGCAATGGCACGATCACAGTTCACCACAGCCTTGACTTCCTGGGCTCAAGGCGAACCCTCCACCTCAACCTCCTGAGTAGCTGGAACTATAGGCACATGCCACCACACCTGGATTTTTATTTTTTGTAGAGACAAGGTCTCACTGTGTGGGCTAGGCTGGTCTCCAACTCTTAGACTCAAGCCATCCTCCTGCTTCAGCCTTCCAAAGTGCTGGGATTATAGGTGTAAGCTACCACAACCGGCCTATCTTTACAAACTATCCCAAGATTAGCGTGCGCATGCACGTGTGTGTGTGTGTGTGTGTGTGTGTGTGTGTGTGTGTGTATTTTTTTGAGTCAGAGTCTCACTCTGTCGCCCAGGCTGGAGTGTAGTGGCACACTCACGACCACTACAGCCTTGACCTGCTGGGCTCAGGTGATCCTTCTACCTCAGCCTTCCAAGTAACTGGAACTACAGGCTTGTGCTACCACACCCAGCTTATTTTTTAAAATTTATTGTTGAGAAGAGGTCTCAACAAATTGCTCAGGCTGGTCTCAAACCCCTGAGCTTAGGCAATCCTCTCACCTCAGCCTCCCAAAGTGCTGGGATTACAGGCTTGAGCCACTGTGCCTGGCCTTAGTACATATATTTCAAAGGGTGAAGGAAAAGGAGGGTGGCAGAAAACAAAAGCGTCTGTTACTTGAGAGTAAAATAAAGCATCCACAATTAATACTTTATATTTAAAAATATCATAGCAGAGCAAATGTGGCAATAATATTAGAGAAAACCAGACTGCAAAATCGCACCTGTTATTCCAAGCTTGTAGCACTTCACAGAGACTTTGTTTCTTGGCAATGAGTGACTCAAAGACCGACTGCAGCTGTTGAGGGTTATCTAGAGAGGAAGATATGAGTCGGGCTTGCATCTTCTCAATCCAGTTCCTAAACTCGCCCTCCTCCATCTACAGGGAACAGGAACAACTTTAGTCAGCTGAGACGCATCTAGTAAGTCAATAATTAACTTTTGACTGTTCTATCAAAGACATAAATGACCTCTTTTTGTGCAAAGATATCTTCCATTTTTTCCTCTCTTGTTTTGCTGAATGTATCAGTTTTCAAAGATGCAAGTCTTTCATCAACAGCAAGATATACCTGTGTAACTCTAACAGAGAGAACATTAAACACTTAGAAAGGTTTATTCAAATTTTGTATCTCACATAAGTAAAAAAAAGTTGCACAGAAAACTAAAACTAAATGGTTTATCAAATTAAGAATCACATATAATTTTTCAGAGCAAATAAGATCTTAAAGGATATACTTCAAAATTTTAAGTTGTTTAGTTGTGTCTGAGATTTTGACTTTTAAAAATACTTTTCTGTATTGTATTTTTCTTTTTTGACACCAAAAAGTTAACATACAATTAGAAAAAAAATTACATTTTCTAAGAAAGTTAAATGAATAAACCTGATACTTTAAAATAGTTGTAGATTACAGATAGCACTAAACAAAAAAAGATAATTAAAGGAGCTAGACTTACTTTTGAAAGAAGTCCTTCAGATCCTGAAGAAGGGACACTTTTAATGGGGCTTGACGCTTGATGAAAATTTTGGGGAGTGGAACACATACTTCAAGAAGCCGAATGGGGGAATAACTGAAAGAAGAAAAAACAAGTAACAGTAGAAAAATGAAAAGCAAGTTCATATCTTGAATCAAGCTGTATTGTGATGTCAACTAAGTCCTATGAGTACTAAGATAAAATCGTTTCTATAAAATGGCTTTTTATTTTTTAAATTTATTTTTTATCTTAAAAATGTGGGGTACAATTCAGGGTTAGGAATGCAAATGCTCATTATGCAGGTACCCTTGTTGATGAGGCGTGCCCCTAAAATGGTTTTTTTAAAACAACGATATTGAAGATAATTTTCAACCACTACAAATATCTCCCCATTTTTGAGAGACTGTTTTGTTGTTTTCACTGCACTGTGGTACCATCATTTATCCCTTGACATTATCCTCTTGTTTTAAAAACAAAAATGACTTTGATATTAAAACGTCCCTGTGAATGAGGAAAAGAGTTCCTTTCTACAATTAAACGTAGGTATTCATTACCTTCCCAACTCCCAATGATTCTTCACAAGTCTTTACTTCCTTTCCACCTGAATATTTATTTTGACTAGTAAATGCTATTATGTCCCTGACCTGGGCTCTGGATGCATGGTTAAAAGCTCCAGCTTGAGAAAAAAAGTTCTAACTAGCAAATATTTCCTGAGGGTATATTATGCAGCAAGGGCCAAAATTCCTATCCTCATAATTCAGAAATAACAAGATTTAGGCAACAAGCAAAACAAATAATATTTAAAACATGTATCAGATGGTAAGTACTAGGAGAAAAATACAGCAAGAAAGAGAAGCAGGGAGTGCTGTGGTGGGAGGGGTTCTGGGCAGGTGAAATTTGAAGAAAGATCTGTAGGAAGCAAGGAAACAGTTAGCAGCTACCTGGGAAGGAGGACATCTACAGAACAAACAGTTTGGAGAGTTAAAAAGGAGCTGGGGGCCCCCAGGCAAAACCACCTGACACAGCTGAAGCCCAGCCAGGAGGCCAGCAGGGCTGCACTAGCGTGAGACGGGGGAGCAGAAGGAGGCCAGGACAGAGAGGTCCGGGCAGCCAGAGCAGGCAGGCGCTTGTAGGCCAGTAAATGGACCGTGGCTTTCACTGGGGGTGAAACAGATGCCCTTGGAGTACCTAGTGCAGAGGAGTGACCCGAGCTGGCGGTCTCTCGACGGGACCGCTCACGCTGTGCTGAGAAAAGGCTGCAGGGACAAGGCCTAAGGGAGCCTGGCAGAGAGCCGCAGCCACCTGGGGGAGACGGCAGAGACTGAGTCCAAGGCCGCAAGACTCTGAATACACTCTGACGGCAGAACCCCCCGGCTTTCTCAAAGTACTGAATACCCCATGGAACCGTAGCTCTCTCACTGATGGTTATTATCCCTATGCTAGCTAATGTCCTAGCAAGCATTCGGACAGACTTGCAGATGCCACAGCCAGGTTAGGGGCGAGGCCAGGAGCAGAAACTGACCAGGGCGCAATTCATGACTCCATCACCTGCTAGCTCTGCCAACGAGCTTCCACAAGCTCTGTGAGTGAGGACAGTCGTAATAACTATCTCATAGGTGAGGAGTAAATAAAAGAACACTGAAAGCTCTTAGCAGCCTGGCCCTTTGCATTTGCAAGAGTGGAGATACGGGATGCCACAAATTAATTCAATCGGGTTGTAGTAGCGAAAATGTTACAAAATCTTCAAGGAATTATGTGATCATATCCAAGGTTCCTTGGATTTCTTACCTGAAAGATGCTACCATCTGGTTATAGGAGAAATACTGGTGATAATCATGATGGATTGAGTGACCACAAGGCTCAGCATTGGCTCTGCGAGTATACTGGTGCCCATAAAACCTAAGTTCAAGGTATTTTGCAAATGACATAGACCAGGACTCATTGGAAAGAGCGACAACTGGTGTTACCTGGAATTCAGCAAAAATGGTTTCCCTAATCACATATGAAGAATCTCTTTTTTAAAAAGGCAAATATTTTCTTTTGTAACACAAACCTAATACATTCTGACTGCAGTGAGCTGGGAGAAGAACAAAAAGATCAAAGGCGGGTGTAGCCAGGGGGAGGGACAGCAGCCTCACCAGTAATCTCACCCCCAACACCAATACACTAGCATACACTTTCTACATATGAGTACATATGTGCACAGCCTGCATATCTGCAAATGAAAGCTCTTTCCTGTAATTAGTTTCCTAATCCTGTAATTACAAGCACACCAAGTAAAACACATGCCTTTCCTAAAGAATGTACATAAAAGCCAGTAGAGATCACGTTCAGCACCATCTCATCTATATCTCTTAAGATACAAATGATATATGCTAAAATTTATTATGTAAATATCCTAACATACTGTGGTTATTCTTTACAGATCTTTCTTCTCTTAGAAAACAGAAGTCATTTCTTATTTTTTCATTTCTAAGAGACTAGCACAGTACCTGGCACAAACGTAGTACTAAATAAGTGTTTGCTGAATGAATAAACAGACATAAATGAGACCTATCGAGATACGATCTCAAAATATTTTACTGGATAAGGCACTTGTATTTTGTTTAAAGACTGCTACGTTCCCGAGATCGTCAAAAAACAAATTATTTGATTGAACATACAGTACCGGAAGGTAAAACAACTGAGAGTCCAATGACAAAGAATGAATCCAAAAGAGTACAGACCAGTCTCCTCCCAAAAAAGAATTAGACAAATCAAGAAATAAGTGACATTAAATACTAGAGTAGCAGGGTCTATTTACCTGTTTGCAGACTCTGCACCAGGAATAGGTGAGAATTGTATGTTGATATCCAGGTACTGGAGAATCCAGCTCCTTCAGGATGATCTGCACACAGCCTTGGCCATGAACAAAGCGCCGGATGTGATGCACCATGGGGGTGTCACAGAACATGCTGGGACACTGATAAGAAGGCCTTGACAAGCAAAAGAGTTCTTCTCACATTAAGCATACCCAGAGAAGTCATCTATAACGAGTGCTGGCTAACGAAAAGCACTGTCAAGACGGCTGCACCTTTGCTAGTGAGCCGATGACTGGAGGACAAGAGGCTGTACGCCCCCGTGCCACCAGCCTGCAACCGAACCCCCTTCTTCAAGCCACAGCGAGGCGGCAGCTTCTGTTGGTGAAGCACCTTCTATTCGCCAGTCTTAACACATTTTGTTTTACCCACTAAAATCCTGACACTTCTGAGGACTGTTACTTGCTACAGAGGGGGCTGGAAAAGATGACATGTGCTGCCATGTAAGTGGCGAGCAACTGAGCTTGAGTGATTCCAACACTTTCCCTACCTCTCATTTGCATCATTGGAAAAACACACATCCTAAAAATATCTTAGAAATGGCAGAGTAATTAGATGGGCAAAGATAGGAGGAATGTACTGGATAAGACATCCCAGTTTAAATATAAAGTAGATTACTTCTTTGTATGGTATACTCTGGTGTGTGCTGGCAAAGTGGGGACCACACAACTGTACTTAGCATTCAACTCATGTTTATATTTTAGGTTGAAATTCTGGATGTCAAAAATGTGTAATGGAACAAAAGGAGGATGTTTGCTCTTACCTGAAACAGTATCTCTCTAAGAATATTCCTAATGTAAGATCATTCTTTCCATAAAATTCCATTGTTACAATCCTAAAAGAAGAGATCACCTCTTAGAAACATAAGAATTACCATTCGCCAAAGACATTTCACAAGACCACACACGCTGATTACCTGTTGAATGCAAAGTACTGACAACGAAGTCAAGTAGCTAATATTCTTTGTGATCACCGGCTTTACCTCATCCAGTAAAACAGGCTTAGACTAGCCACCACAGCATCTTTCTCACTCTCAATCCATCAGTATCTTATACAACTATTTACTGAGCGGGCACAAACCGTAACACTGAGTAACACTGATGTGCCTTAGGAAGCGGCAAAAGTTTCCTGTACGAACATGTTCCTTGTCAACACACAACAGAACTCCTGCGCCCTGCTCTCATGTCCACGCCTTTCCTGAGCATGGGAGATAGCAGCTCATTCCTGCTAGTGTGCCATTCCTGACTCCCTCATAAACATCCACAATTAAGAGAGTTTGGCTACATACCTGTGGAAACTCACATGTTGTTCAAGCCTTGACCTAAGAAGTCCATAAACTCTCAGGGAAAATTCCTGTGGACTACCCCAGCCCCAAGTCTGCCTGTTGAAGCTATACTATTTCTCAAAGAATCCTTGATCTCACTGTTGGAAATAAATGTTTTGGATATCCAAAATTTAAACATGAAACACATTTTGTCATAGAAATAGTGCTCCGAAAAGAAGCAATTACGTACCACAGTACTTTTTCTTTTTTTGAGCCGGGTGGAGTGGCTCACACCTATAATCCCAGCACTTTGAGAGGCCAAGGCGAGAGAATTGCCTGAGTCCAGGGACTCAAGACCAGCCTGGGCAACTTGGTGAGATCTTGTCTCTACAATAAGTCAAACAATTAGCCAGGCATGATGGCGCGCACTTGTAGTTGCAGCTGCTTGGAAGGCTGAGGCGGAAGGATTGCCTGAACCCAGCAAGTCGAGGCCGTGGTGGCCATGAGCATGCCACTGCACTCCAGCCTGCGTGACAGAGTGAGACTGTGACCTCAAAAAAAAAATGTTTTTGTTGTTTTTTATTTTGAGACAGGGTTTCACTGTTGCCCAGGCTGACATGGAGTGGAACAATCACAGATCGCCACAACCTCAAACTCCTGGGTTCAAGCAATCCTCCCACCTCAGCATCCCAAGAAGCCGGGACTGTAGGCACATGCCACCATGGCCAGCTAATTTTTCTAATTTTTGTAGAAAAGTTTTTCTATTTTCTTGTAGAGATGGAGGTCTTGCTTTGTTTTCAGGATTATAGGTGTAAGCCACCGTGCCCAGCCTACAGTACTTTTCTAAACTAAAGGTAAATTGTGTAATGTAAGGCTATGTACATTTTATGTAAAGTTTTTACGACTATCATTTGAAAAAAATAATTTAAAACACTATAAAATGTGTTCCTACTTCTATCAATCTACTTAGAATTAACTTTCTTTTTTCTTTTTTTTTTTTTTTGGAGTTGAAGTCTCACTCTGTCGCCCAGACTGGAGTGCAGTGGCTGCTCCCGGCCACTGTAGCCTCGACCTGCTGGGCTCCAGTGATCCTTCCTCCTCAGCCTCCCAAGCAGCCGGAATTACAGGCATGCGCCACCACGCCCAGCTGATTTTTTGATTTACTGTAGAGATGAGGTCTCGCTGCCCAGGCGGGTCTCGAACCCGCGGGCTCAGGCAATCCACTCACCTCAGCCTCCCAAAGGCACGGGATTACAGGAGAATTAACTTTCAAACTAAAACATATTAATAAGACAAAAGGCTGATTGCTTTTATAAAAATGAAGCCTGAAAAAAAACCTGCCTAAATTGTACATATTTTAATCAAAATGCTTATAAACTAGCTTTTGTGTGTTAACTTTTGCTCTTTCAAGTACAGGCTGATCATCTTTAACCTAAAAATCCAAAATCTGAAATGCTCCAGAATCCGACACTTTTTGAGCATCAACATGACACTACAAGTGGCAAATCCACACCTGATACCTGTGTTTTCTGATGGCTCAGTGTATAAAGACTGTTTCATACACAAAATTGTTAAAAATATCACATGAAATTACCTCCAGGACACAGGTATGAGGTGTCTGTGAAACAAAAGGGAATTTCATGTTTAGACTTGCGCCCCCTCCCCAAGACATTTCATTTTACATATGCAAATATTCCAAAATCTGAAAAAATCCAAAATCAGAAACAGTTCCGGTCCCAAGGATTTCAGATAAGGGATACTCAACCTGTACACATTGTTCTTCCCTCCCTCATATCTTTTTCTCTCTTATTTGAGGTACTCTTGTTTACTCACACCCATGAAAAAAACGTGTCATTTCCTATTTCTCCTTCACAAGCTTAAAAGTTCGATCGGCTCCTACCCATTCCTACGTGACCAGCAGCCGGCCATGTACCTAAAAGCAGATCCGACTTTGTGACTGCTGGAGTTCTGTTCTAAGCATAACAACGCAGGGAAAAAGAAACCTACCAAGGACTGACGCAGGCGCTGGGCGCGTTGCTGGACTGGGCGGAGGAGCTGCTGAAGAGCACACACAGTCGCTGGTGGAGAGCTGGGCGCAGACAGTCCACCTGCAAGAGAGGGGCAGAGGGTGGCTGAAGCCAGGACACGGTCCGCTCCACCTGGGCCGCCTCGGCCTTTACTGCAGGGCCGTGGAGAAAACTTACAACGACAGGAAACGAAATATAAGGGAAAGGGGCAGCTGGTTGCGAGGGAAGGCAATGTAAAAAGTTTAAGTCAAACTTAAAAATGCAAAAAGATGTCTGGATAGCTTAATTGCTTAACTTAAATTCTCTTTATTTTTATAAAACTACATTAAGTGCTGGGTTCGGTGGCTCAGCATGTAATCCCGTGCCTTTGGGAGGCTGAGGTAGGTGGACTGCCTGAGCCCGCGGGTTCGAGACCCGTCTGGGCAACTTGGCGAGACCTCATCTCTACAATACATCAAAAATCAGCCGGGCATGGTAGTGCGCGCCTGTAGTTCCAGTTACTTGAAAGGCTGAGGCGGAAGGATCGCCAGAACCCAGCAGGTCGAGGCTGCCGTGGCCGGGAGCAGCCACTGCACTCCAGTCTGGGTGACAGAGCGAGATTCCAACTCAAAAAAAAAAAACTACATTAAGTTATTATGGAAGAAATAGTTAATTAAATATATTCCTTTTCAACAGTCTGAACTGATGGATGGATATAATAACAACCTGAGATACTAGAAACCTAAATTCCAAAGTATGTATTTATCTGTGCTTAATGCCTGTTTTTGATCATTACAAAGGCGATCACTGCTCTCTGTTGAAATTCAAGCATCACAGAGGTGCATGAAAAGTTCATGAGAGACACAAAGCCTCTTATCTTCTGATTCCACCTCACCTCCCACGCTAAACAGTTTGTATGGTTAAGAAATATCCGGTTGGGTGTGGTGGCTCAAGCCTGTAATCCCAGCACTTTGGGAGGCCAAGGCGAGAGGACTGCCTGAGAGGTTCGAGACCATCCTGGCAACTTGGTGAGACCTCATCTCTGCAATATATAAAAAAATTAGCCAGGCGTGGTAGTATGTGTCTGTAGTTCCGGCTACTTAGAAGGTTGAGGCGGAAGGATCACTTGAGCCCAGCAAGTTGATGCTGGGGTGGCCATGAGGGCGCCACTGCACTCAGCCTGGGTGACAGAGTGAGACTATGACTCAAAGAAAAAAAAAGAAATATCTGTGTATGCACAGATACACACGCCCCTCCCTACATAAATACACATGGGGTATTTTTTTTTATAAATATAGGATGATGCCACACAGCTCACTTTTTCACACTTAAAAACATATTACTGGCTTTATCCAGGTCATTAAATAAGATCCCACTCATGTTTTTTTGTTTTTTGTTTTTTTTTTGAGTTGGAGTCTCACTCTGTCGCCCAGACTGGAGTGCAGGGGCCACTCCTGGCCACCACAGCCTCGACCTGCTGGGCTTCGGCAATCCTTCCGCCTCAGCCTTCCAAGTAGCCGGAATTACAGGCATGCACTACCACGCCCAGCTGATTTTTTTGATTTATTGTAGAGATGAGGTCTCGCTGCCCAGGCGGGTCTCGAATCCGCGGGCTCAGGCAATCCACTCACCTCAGCCTCCCAAAGGTGCGGGATTACAGGCTGAGCCACCGAGCCCGGCTCCACTCATGTTTTTTATGCAATCAATTAGAAACTGCTTCAATGAACACATTTTTACATATATTCTTAAAAAATGGAAGCATCCTTATATAAACAAGCTTAATTATTTCTGCAGGAATAGATTATAAAAAGGAGTCCTGGTCAAAGGTATATATATATATGTATGTGTAAACTAACAGTCATTTTCCCAATCATTTTAGGTGCATTTATGCAAATGCATATAACATAAATTTGTATAAATTTGTATAAAACTTATGAAAGATGTTCTTCCATACCCTCATTAACCATGGTCTTTTATCAGTTTCCTTTTTGCCAATCACACAAAGAATTATTTTTTACCACTATTATTTAGCACTTCCTTAACAACCAGTGAAATTTAACATCTTCTTGTTTTATTAAATGGTTGCATTTCCTCATCTAAAGATGGATTTGTTAATTAGTCTTATTACTATCCATCAACAAACCGTCCGTAACTTTCCCTCAAGTTCTGTCTAAAAAGAAAAGATAAAGGCCACTGTCATAGTTACATAACAAGGTAAAGTGCTTTATGTTAAAAATAAAGTTAACATAAAAATCCACATTCACTTCCTTCCTACAATAAGCATCCATCTCTCACTCTCCCCTGTCACTATCAAAAGGATCAAGAACACATCGTACCATGTTCAAGTCATGCTGACAGAAACGTTCAGCAGCCCCCACGATCCCTTTCCCCAGGGATCTCCTGAGTTTACTACTAAGAGCTCATCTGAAAACCCCAAAACTCACTTTCATTACTTGATAAATCTGCTTACACCATATTAAAGTAACATACAAGCCAGCAGACTTGAGAGAGGAAAAAAAGTAGCACAGAAGAAGAGAGATTAAACAGATCTGCACGCAATTTGTCAGGTCAATGGTTTTCCTGCCACAGCAGTTCCTCAACACATTCCAGAGGCACAGGAGGGAGCGTCTGAAGGCAGCCTGGCTCACCTTGGTTGACCACACCGCATCCCCTGGAGCCAGCCCTCTCTCTTCATCCCCTTCAGTTTTGCTTCCCGATTTGCCACCTGAAGTACCTGACTCATCCCTTGAACGGGCAAAAGGGTCTGAATTTTTTTGCTGAATTCTCCCTCCTCTGGCTCGAAAATCAGCCAGCATTCTACCCAAGCTGCGACTTTCACCCAGATGCTCGGCAATTCTAGTGCTCACTAGCTCATGCGAGGGTAAGAGCTGGACAGCCTTGGCCTGAATACTTCCATTCACGCCCTGAAGTCCAGACAGATCCCTGAGCAACTGCTTCTTCCTCCTGTTCTCCATGTCTTTGAACTCTTTGTTGAGGAGGGGAGACCAGTAAACCTGCTCAGCAAAATAATCTCGCGCAGAGCACCTCATGCCCTTTTCGGTTAAGAGGAAGGGTTCCCGAAATGTGATGACCGGGGAAATACAGAGGATCACATCTTTCAGTTCCTGTTTAAAGGCCAGAGCGTAAGACTGTCGCTTATCTTCCGAGGAGGCAGCTTCCTCAGCGACATACAGCCCCGTGTCGTCCTGCAGGGGGTCTCGAAAGGCTCTCGTCTGGCCCCTGGGATCCTGCCGCTCGTCCATCTGCCGCCAAGTCTCAGGCTGCTCCCTGCCGGCAGCATCCTGCGGGTCATCCGCGCCAGGCGGCAACAACGATTCCGGTACCGACGGAAAGAAGCCGCAGGGCAGAGCAGCCGGGCACGCCGCCGGGGCATGACCTGGAGGCTTCGCCGACACCACAGCCTGGGGAACACTCTTACTTTCCTGCTCGCCCTTCTCAAAGAGAATCCTTGATTCCAGCCAACTGCTCTCGTCAGGAAGCAGAGCCTTGGGAGGAACATCAGGGTCCCAGGGGAGGGAGCCTCCGGGGCACTGCTCTTGCGCCCCCTCCTCCAGTCCCCGATCCTCAGTCCGAGAGTGGAACGAGGCGCTGGGCATCAACGTGGGAGGCATGGCAAACTCATCCATGAGGAAGGCTATTTCCAGCTGAGAATGGTAAGCTACACAGATCATAAATACGAGGATCTCCTTGACTCGAGCTAGCTCATAATCAGAGCCCCCTCTGAGCTTGATTGTACAGCCGAGGTGCTGGGGACAGCCTTCAAAAAACATCAGCGTTTTGCTTTGTTCTACAAATAAGCAAACAAAAAGTTAGGAAGGTCTGTGTGGCAGTCCAGGATCCAGACAGACTTAATTCATTACATTAACATGTAAAAAGAAGAACCCTCATGTGCATAAGACCACAGTGGCCTATCCTCACTTAACCACGTCTAATACACATTTCCTCCTAAGTCAGCATTGTAGTACTGATGAGTTAACTCATTTTCTGTTTCCCAGTTTCAGGTAAATCTATGCTAAAGATCACTCACCATTAGGCAACTGAAATATCTGCATATAAAATTTGTGACAAGTGCCCAGGTGTGGCTTCGTAAGCAGTTGGTCCATCGACATTACCAAATCACCTTGGGTCATCCGACTGACTCGCTCTAAAACTTGCTACAACACAGAAAAACATTATATAACAAAATCAGAGAGGAATAAACATCGTACTAAATGTTATCTACAATAGGAAAATTTAAAAATAATTCTCACAATAAACTTCCTTATTTTTAATAATTACATAACAATTTAAAAAATTCTGGGTATGTATATACTTGGTTGCTTCGTAATCAATATGTGCCTACTGAAACAAGCCACACTCATATTAATAACGTTATCAAAATGCATTTGAGCATCATGCATTAGCACAAGCTATTGTGGAAAAACCATAAAAACTTCCTAGAATTGAGGGTAAACTTCTCATAGGAGAGAATATTTCTGCTTGCACACGTCCCCAACCAACATGAAGGTTCAACAAACACCTACTGATTAACTAATGCCCCGTTTCACCTTTCGTCTTGTAGACACCTATAAAAATGTTACATAACCCATTACACTTTCTTCCAGTCTAGTGTCCTCCAGTCTTAAACAATGAAACAGCTGCCACGCCTTCTTACTGCCCTCAGTCTGCATGGTTCAGCAAATAAATTCTTGTATACTTACCATATGTGCATCTAAATTCAAAAGTTGTGCTTTTTTTTATGACATAAAAATAAAAAATAAGAACACTCACTGATTTTACATTAATGACCAAAGTAATGCCATGTTCCAATAGCATGTCCTGGGCAATCCGAGACACTGTTTTTTCAACTAGAACCAATGTGGGTCGAACATCAACAATTCGCTGGACATAATTCTTCAAGAATTCCCTTTCCTAAGTAAGGTAAACCAGAAATATTATACCTGATACAATTCAAGATCTGGACATATTAAAATACTGTAACAGCTTGACAATATCAACCTTAGCCTAAATTTTTTTCTTCCACAAATAAATTATGTAAGCAAATTAATTCAAACACAACAAGAATCTCATTCATCGTTCCCCAACTATTGATTATGCTGACAAGAATTTCAGGAGAAATTCCATTCTCTAATTTTACTCTAAGGGATTTTCAATTCTTAATAAACTATAATTTAAAAGCCAAGAATCTAATTAGTTAGCTCTCAGAGGTTCAAAAAAAAATAAGACCAACAAAAAAACCTAACCTCACAATCTCCCTAATGAAAGCAATTTCTGCCTGTAATCTCAGAACTTTGGGAGGCTGAGGCGAGTGGATTGCTTCAGCTCACGGGTTCGAGACCAGCCCAGGCAACTTGGCAAGACCTCGTCTCCACAATAAAAAAAAGGAAATAGCCAGGTGTGGTAGTGTGTGCCTATGGTTCCAGCTCCTTGGAAGGTTGAGGCGGAAGGATCGCTGGAGCCCAGTAGGTCGACACTGGGGTGATCGTGAGCATGCCACTGCCCTCCAGCCTGGGTGACAGTGAGACTCCAACCCCCCCCCAAAAAAAAAAAGTTAGAGAGAGAAAGCAATTTCCAAGTGTTTTTTAAATTAAAACCTTTTTTTAGGGACAAGGTCTTACTCTGGCACAATTATAGTTCACTTGAAATTCTGGACTCAAGCGATCTCTTGAAATTCTGGACTCAAGCGATCTCTTGCTTCAGCTTCCCAGGTGTATACCACCACACTCGGCCATTTTTTTTTTTTTTGGTAGAGAGAAGGGTCTCACTATGTTGCCCAGGCTTGTCTGGAGCTCCTGGTCTCAATGCTCCCACCTCAGCCTCCCAAAGCACTGGGACTACAAGTATGAGCCACTGTGCCTGGCCCCAAACAGATTTAATATGATAATGAATTTCCTTTTCTACATTCTGAAACAAACCAGAGTATCTTCTTCCGGGTACCTGAATAAATAACTAACAGGTGCCATTTCAGCTACTTCCCAATTCCAGTCTCTCATGGGATCATATCACATGTACCTAGGACAGCTGTAGTTAAAGGTCTAAAGAATAATGCTCACCATAACTTTATCACAAGTTCTTAATTTCAAAGACAATGAACATGCAAAACAAAGCAGGAGAGTTAAAACAATGCAATTCATTAACTGCTTCATATCCTTTCTGACTCCAGGAGGGAGACAACTGAAGGTGAGCATGTTTGTCACTCCTGCTCCAAGTGTCCAAAGTGTTTTCTAAGCCAAGATTGTATTTAAGTTCCCTGCCACCAGCACTGCACGAGACTCTTCACTGCAATGAATCCGCCCTGCCATAGGGTACATTTCTTCTTGTCTTTCTGTTTTATTGACAGATATTGTACATTTTCAAATTCTCCCATGAACAAAATGAAAGTTTTCCCTAAAATGTTAGTTTCCTACTCTACTTACTGAGTTGTAGTTTAACAGCATTTACGGTAATTTTATTTGTGCAGCTCTAATGAAGTATACTTAAAATAAGTTCATTTTCTTTTTTAAGTTTCTGCCTCTGGTACAGGAACGGCAAATACCTTTCCTCTCAGTCCAACTCCAATCAGCTAAAATGACTGTTGGCGAAACCCCATGTTAAAAAGGAGGCGTGGCCCAAGCTCAGAGAGGAGAGGATGAGGGAGGAGGCCACAGCACCAAGGTAGCAGAGGCCGACCAGGGAGGCAGCAGGCCTGGCTGGTACAGGCAGCACAAGGCCACAGGCTCGCTGCCTCCTTCCCTTTGTTTCTCATCCTCCATTTTCTGACTATCTACCTTTCAGCTTCTTCTCTGATGTGTTATTCCACACTGGGTGGACAAAACAAAAGAGAAAAAGAAAACTCAAATAAGCTGATATATTCTATCAATTCAAACTAAAATGCTGAACAGAGCAGGAGCTAAAGCTATAAAAAAAAACCAATGCTTAAAAGAACGAATGAGGCTGGGCTCGGTGGCTCAGCCTGTAATCCCAGCACTTTGGCAGGCCGAAGTGAGTGGATGGCCTGAGCCCGCGGGTTCAAGACCCACCTTGGCAACTCGGCGAGACCTCATCTCTACCATAAATCAAAATCAGCCGGGTGTGGTAGCGCACGCCTGTAGTTCCAGCTACTTGGAAGGCTGGGACAGAAGGATCCCCAGGTCGAGGCTGCGGTGGCTGTGAGCGTGCCACTGCACTCCAGTCTGGGCGAAAGAGTGAGATACCAACTCAAAAAGAAAAAAAAAAAAGTACTAACGAACAAGATGCTTTTTGTTACATGAGTCATTAAACCATGCTTAAGTACCTATCTGCCTAACATGGAAAGACTTTACAGTCTGTTAGCCTGATTGTAAAAATAGAGTAATAATGAAGTGGATAAATTTAAGAACGAATTTTTATATAAATAAACACCTGTGGATTTCAATTCTAAGATACAATTTGATACATTTTAAGGTCTCTATAACCAGGATACATCTTAAAATCAAGGCAGCTGTGATCTAAACTTGTGGAAGTCTTCTACTGACATCTGTGGGCTCCAGATGTCAGTAGAAGACTTCTGGAGCCCAAAGTATTTTAGATTTCATGAAATATTTCCCTTTATTCCTTTTAAGTTATCTACTGAAAAGTCATAGTAAATCAGAGACAGAAAGGCTCATATAAACCTAGTCAAAATCTCTTACTTTTATTGATAGCAATAAAAGACAAAACAGCCCCAGGTAACAGAGTTGTTAAGTAAAACAGCAAAGTTTCATAAAGCACTGTGACTTTTACCATAACTCAGTTCTTCTTGCTGGTATCTATGAATTCAGCACAAAAGCGATTACTCCTACCACTCTTGGAAAAATGTGATAAGCATTTCAATGTTTTCCAAAATGCTTCTAGAACTGGAAATGAGTGTTTCCACTACAATATAATATACACATTACTAAAAACCTTCCATTTTTTGAATGACCACAAACTAAAATTAACAGCATTTATGGGAGAAAGAGAGTTGGAGCAGAAAACTTAGGCAACTTCACACCCACAAAAATAATAATTGTTACCCCAAGAGGAAGGTAAGACAGCCCAAGCAGAGAACTCAGCATTGCAGGAGGCTGCCCCAAAGGAAATTTAAAATGCACAAAAACAGCTACACTAGTACAACTGAAAACAGAGCTCTGAGCAGTAGCACTACCACCAGCCACTGAGGACTGGGGGTGCGCCTCTCTAGGGAGAGGGCCATGCAAGCAGAAGCTCACTTTTAATTTCTTAAACTAGAGCTGAGAGGTCTCCTGCCTATGTAGGGCTGTGCCGAGACTATTTTCCTTCCTAACTGAGGGCTATGAACCCACTGCAGCTACTCTGGGTCCCTTGCTTAGGAGGAACACTCAGAAACTCACACAACTCCCCCCTGACGTTATTCTCATTTGCCAACTACATATAAGCTGATTGGTGTTCTAGAACTGTGTTTTATTAGAACAGACTGAATTACAAACCAGAATTTCCATTAGGGATCTGATAAATTGGAGAAATGTTCACAGCAAATCAATGGCCTAAGCGGGGAGGAGAAACCAATATTTTTTTTTTCACTCTTTCTTCCCTATATTCCCAAAGTGTTTCCTTTAACATTTTGAAACATTATTTGAAGTAATGAGTGATAGAGGTTTTAGTAAGCTAATTCTCAAGTGTAACACATAAAAGTATCCTTTACAAAATTTTTTTTTTTTGAGTCAGAGTCTCATTCCAAGTCGCCCACACTGGAGTGCAGGGGCACGCTCACGGTCACCACAGCCTCGACCTACTGGGCTCAGGTGATCCTTCAGCCTCAGCCTTCCAAGTAGCTGAAACTATAGGCATGCGCCACCACGTCTGGCTAATTTTTTGATTTATTGTAGAGATGAGGTCTCACCAAGTTACCCAGGCTGATCTCGAACCCGTGAGCTCCAACAATCCTATCACCTCAGCCTCCTAAAGTGCTGGGATTACAGGTGTGAGCCACCGTGCCCGGTCTTTTTTTTTTGAGTCAGGGTCTCACTGTCATCCAGGCTATAGTGCAGTGGCAAGATCATGGCTCACTGCCACTTTAACTGCCTGAGCTGTCAGGCAATCCTCCCACCTCAGCCCCCCAAGTAGCTGGGATTACAGGTGTGCACCACCACACTCAGCTAATTTTTTTTATTTGGGGGGGGAGTCAAGGTCTCACTATGTTGCCCAGGCTGGTCTCCAACTCCTGGGCTCAAGCAGTCCTAGCCCTCGGCCTCCCAAAGAGTTGGGATCACAGGCTTGAGCCACTGCGCCCGGTCCACAAAACCTTTTAAAAATGCAACAAGAGCCATCAGATTTGTTTAGTGGATTTGATCACCTGGAAGGAGTCAAAGTCACCAAAAGCTTAGACGCAGCACGACACATAAACGTCCCTCTCCATTTTCGCTTCCAGTGACAAGCTCTTACCTGGAGCACAATAGGATCAATGCAAGCAAACTTCGTTTCTTCTCGGTAGAGATACTCGATGGAACACTTCAGCAGAAGAACTTTGGGGTTTTTGATGTAGGAATTCATCTACAAACAATGAAGAGGTGGTCAAAGCTTTTAAAGGCTTCCACCTTAGAGACCTTTAACTGCAGCTTCAAATTCCTTCTAGCTTAATGTATCTCATATTAGTATTAATCAGTATACTCTCATTTAGTTCTTGTGTGGTATTCTCTTGCGTTTTTGCAGTGCAAATAATTTGGTCAGAGCAATGCAAAATTATGCAGAAGCTGGCTCTGTTTCCTTAGCACTAGCCCTTTATAATCTTAACTTTTTAAAAATTCTAACGTTGTAAGAAGAGATATCATGCCCTCGTGTGTACTGGGGCAGGGGTGGGATATTTAAAGACAGGCTACTTCACAAACTCTAAGAAATCGGCAACTTAGAAAGTCTATTTTAAGTCTTTCTAAAATTCAAGAGGGGTAGAAGAGGGAGAAAAGAATTAAAATGCTTACTGAACATATTTCTAATAGAATAAATCTCCAAAGAATCGTAAGTTGGAAAACTGAATTGGCAACATGAAGTTTAAAAAGAAAACCTTACAGCACCTCCAGGAACAAAAATTCAAGCAATAAATCTTTAACCATGTAACTAAAGCCTCAGGCAGAATAGCCTAAATCCTGCCAGGGAGGTTTCAGGCTAAGCAGGCTTATAGAACCCAGACTAGCAAAAGGTTAAGCTGACTCACAAGCTGGAGAACTATAATTCAAAACTCTTTTAGCAACTGCAAACCAAAGACTACCTCTGAATGCGACCAGTGGGGGAAGATGGCCATTCATGCATATGTTTCAGCACACCCACATGTAATTTTCTTCACTTCCTGAGAAGAGTTCAACACATTTACCTCTTTGCTCAACAAACATCATTTAATTTAAAGTTCTCCTTTAGGGGGTACTGTGTTATTTTAGTAAGACTATGTGGAAATCTAACTAATTTTGGATCACTGCTATGAAGTACTATTGAAGCCAAGCATACTTTTATTTATTTATGGTCACTAACAACTTTCAGGAGTCTTAATACATTATAAAAAAATAAATTATTAGTCTCCACTCAGAGAAGAGTGAAAACAGGACTACAGTTCATCCATCTAGTCACTCTAGTTATTCGAGCTGGAAATCTGCCTCAGCTCTTGCTGTGACAAATCAGTGTCCCCAGAAGTGGGGCCAGGGTACTTGTATTTTTAAAGCGTTGTCTTGGTGATTGTGAAGCACATCAAGAATTCTGCTCCAGATCAATCATATCTCAAAACGCAAGAACCAATAAACGACACTAAAAGTACCCGGAGTGCCTAACTTTAAATGCAGTACCACCACTCCCCAGTACCCCCACACTCCCATTCCCCTAAACTTGTTGAATGAGAATGCACAGAGGCTGGGCTTGGGAACAGGCATTTTTAAATTTATTTCTATTTTTTTTAGTTGGAGTCTCACTCTGCCGCCCAGGCTGAAGTGCAGTGACACAGTCCTGGCAGCCGCAGCCTCAACCTGCTGGGCTCCGGTGATCCTTCCGCCTCAGCCTTCCAAGTAGCTGGAACTACAGGTATGTGCTACCACGCCCAGCTAATTTTTCTTTGAACACAAGGTCTCACCGTGTTCCCCAGGCTGGTCTCGAACCTGCGGGCTCAGGCAATCCTCTCACCTTGCCCTCCCAAAGTGCTGGGACTACAGGCTTGAGTCACCGCACCCGGCCAGGGACCAGGCATTTTTAACAAGGTCCACAGGGGATCCTATGTAGGCACAACACTTAAGAGAATGAGAAGATCTCGGAACACATGTCAAGACCCTTGGCGGGACAAGAGGCCCTTCCCTGCTTCCTCCGGCCTCATCTGCCATTTCCCTTCTCGCTCCTTAGGAGCTCAGAATGTCCTTAATATCCCAGATGATCTCACCCCACTCCTCTGTGCCAGTGCTACAAAGATACAAAGTGAAAAGGATAGCAGAGTAAGACTGGCAGTTCTGGAGCTCAGCCTGAGAAGAATGCTAAGTTTCTGGAAGGACTCCAGTCCGGCAGAGAAACCCTGTCTCCCTCAGGTGTGGCAGGGTCAGCAAAGAAGGGAGGCCTGTATCCTATCACTCTGTGTCTGGAAGCCAGACACGCCTTCTTCCTCTTCTGCCTGGCGAATCCATCCCCATGTTCCAAATTCCAATCTGGTCATCACCAGCTCTGGAATCCCTCTCTGTAACGCCGTAATCTGACCCCTGTGGCAGACACTGCTTGCTCTCCCTCAGTGTCCATTTGCCTTTTCTTCCATGACTCAGTGTCACAGCTTAGTAGCTTATTAGCACACAGTCATGGTTTACTGAACTTCACTGTTGAAATTACCTTTTTATGTGCAACGTTCTTGGTACAAACAAATCCATTGACAACCACAGAATCAAACTTCTTTCCACCTGGGATCTAACGGAACAATTCAGAAAACAATAAAATTTGATGGTACCATCTTAGAATCCAGTCAGACAGATGCTATTTCTTTCTGCTTTTTCATGTTATCAAATATGGACAAAAAGTTACAGGTTACAGTTCTTAGTTCCAACCAATGATTACTGACATCTCAGCATGCTTGTTTTCCCACATTCCCTGTTCTCTGACAAACTACACTTGGGACTTTAAAATACTCACTGACTGAATGCATGGGTGCCATGTGACAGTCAAACACTATTGCTTAAGTTAAAATTATACATACACTGCTATCTAAATAAAGCAATTATTCACTGCTTTTCCTCAGAACAGAGACAGCAATCTGTGAAAATAGGCTTTCTCACAGCTGACATACCAAGAAGAGGAAGCAAGAAAGGAAGAAACTGGATTTGGCTAGGCTCCCAAGCCATCCCCCATCCAACTCATTCCTTTCATTCATCTTTCACTTCTTTTTTTTTTTTTTTTTTGAGTTGGAGTCTCATTGTTGCCCAGGCTGGAGTGCGGTGGCACACTCACAACCACCACAGTCTCGATCTGCTGGGCTCAGGTGATTCTTCCGTCTCAGCCTTCCAAGTAGCTGGAACTATAGGCAAGTGCCAACACACTCGGCTAATTTTTCTTTTTTTTGAGTTGGAGTCTCACTCTGTCACCCAGGCTGGAGTGCAGTGGCATGCTCCCGGCCACCGCAGCCTCAACCTGCTGGGCTCAGGCGATCCTTCCACCTCAACCTTCCAAGTAGCTGGAACTACAGGTACATGCTACCATGCCCCAGTAATTTTTTTTTTTTTAAATTTATTGTAGAGACGAGGTCTTACCATGTTGCCCAGACTGGCCACGAATAATTTTTTGATTTATTGCAGAGATGAGATCTCGTCAAGTTGCCCAGGGTGGCCTCGAACCCATGGGCTCAGGCAATCCTCTCACCTCGGCCTCCCAAAGTGCTGGGATTAGAGGTATGAGCCACCCACACCCGGCCTACCTCTCACTTCTATGTGTGGCTTCCATGACTTTTAGTGCACGGCTAACAAACAAGCAAACAGGACAGTCTCCCACTCCTCAGCTAGCAGCCCTCAGGGCAACACCTATTTTGGATTACCATTAGGAGAAAACGAGCAATCAGACTTGTCTCACTGGCTTCCAGCAGTAGCAAATCGTTAGCCAGGGCTCACCTTTTTGATGTGGACAAACTGACGGATATCCATGTCATCATCCTGGTTCTTGACATCAGGTCGGACTGTCTGAACAACTTGGCAGACCAGGGACACAATGATGTCTCGCCAAGACGGTGACAGTGAGTCATCGTGGAGTAACTGCTGGAGTAGTGCCATCATGTGGCTATGATTAGCTGAGCTGCAAAATTATTATAAGTAAAAAGTTGACACAGTTAACACTGCCAGAGACAGTAATTTTGAAGGCACAACAAAATCTACTTTAAATAATCATTCCCGTTAGGACTCACACATGAGATCTTCTAGGCCAATTTTATTCCTTCGATATATCTGCACCTTAACTATTCCTTCAGTACACCTGTACCTTAACTATTTTGTTCATAAGTGGAATCTGAGAATATCTTCAACTAAGTTGTCTCCTGTAACTTGCTAAAATAAAATTTTAACACATAAATTAAAATGGGGGCAGGGCTGGGCTCGGTGGCTCAACCTGTAATCCCAGCACTTTGGGAGGCCGAGGCAAGAGGACTGCCTGAGCCTGTGGATTCGAGACCCGCCTGGGCAACTTGGTGAGACCTCATCTCTACAATAAATCAAAAATTAGCTGGGCATGGTAACGTGCGCCTGTAGTTCCGGCTACTTGGAAGGCTGAGGTGGAAGGATTGCTGGAGCCCAGCAGGTCGAGGCTGTGGTGGCCGGGAGCATGCCACTGCAGTCCAGTCTGGGCAACTGAGCGAGACTCCAACTCAAAAAAAATAAATAGAAATAAAATGGGGACAGACAAGCACAGTTTAGGACTCCTCGTTTTATGAGAAATTTCATCAGAAGTCAGAATAGGCTTTACTTCCTAAGTAATCTTACTATTTTTGACTTTTATAAAGAGCAAAAGGGACTATACATATGACCATCAAGTCACTAATCATTACAGAAGCGAAAAGTGAAATGAAACTCTCACAGCCTTACAGCAACCTCTCCATGGCTTGTTTCTCCCCATTCTCCTCTCTCAGGAGCTCCAGGTTGTTGTGATGCCAGCCCAAAGGCGTGAAAGGCAGTTCTTTGGATTTTTCCTCTACCCGGCGATTAAATAAGGATTCTGAGTATAAAAGAGTAAGTTATTACTTCGCTGTCATATGTTAAACCATCTACTCATATATTTAGAAATTACCAACTGCTCTTTTACATGTTTTAAGTTGACCAATATAAATTATTGGTGTAAAAGGAAATAGCATGTAACAAATATATAAGTAAATAAAACGCATAATAAAATATTTAATAAGTGCATGCATACGCATACAAAAACAACATCATAAACACATAAATACATTAAAAATATATAAATACAAGAGTTAAGAACAGCAGTAACTGGCAACAGCCAAAATCAAAGACAAAAGTATAAAAAGCAAATTTATATTAGTAACTAGGACCCTCAAGCCAATAATTACAGACACAGCTTCTGAAAAGCAAATAAAAAGAGATTCTTACACTGTCCTTTTATTTATTTTGGAATACTAATAAAGGAAGGTGTTTGCTTTCCCTATAAAATAAAAAACTGAAAACTGTATTCAACAGAAATCTGGATGCTGCCAGGACATGTGATAGTGTGGGTGCTACGCTTTCAAGAGAGAAGTTCGGGTTGGATAGCCCAAAACAGCAAATGTCAGTGTAAAAGTCTAGTCAGACAGTCCTAAATAATGTTTTCTTTTCAATACTGGCACAGAGGCTTTTAAACAAAATTTTAACAAGATAGACTCAAAAATAAACTATAAGTGTTAAAAAATGATATAAAGCAATATATTTAAAATCTTTTTTTTAAAAGGGTGAATAAAAATGGATCAAGACCAAAAATTAATAATAAACACTTTGCAAAAAAGATTCTCATTAAATAACTATTGATAATGTGAAGAAATACATGAAAAGAAGAAATGCTTATAAAAATTCTCTAACCCTTCCCCTCTTAAAACAAACCAAACAAAAGAACTTCCAATTTTTTTTTCCCCCATTGGAGACTCAGGCTGCCGCCCAGGTTCGACCTGATGGGCTCCAGAGATCCTTCCACCTCAACCTTCCAAGTAGCCAGAACTACAGGTATGCATTACCACACCCAGCTAATTTTTTTTTGTTTATTGTAGAGGCAAGGTCTCACCAAGTTGCCCAGGCTGGTCTCGAACCCACAGGCTCAGGCAATTCACTTGCCTTGACCTCTCAAAGTGCCGGGATTACAGGCTGAGCCACCAAGCCTGGCCACAAAAGAACTTTCACCAAACAGGTCAGCAGACAATACAGTAAAGCATATGTTCCTGACATGCGAGGTACAGGAACTGTGCATTTCAAGTCTGTAGATGGCCAGTCTACAAACTTCTAGTTAAACTGGATTCGTGGAAGTGAATTTAGAAGAACCACCAAGTTATGAGATCAGCTGCAGGTGGCCTCCTTTATACTGGCTGCCTCTCCTTCTCTCTTTCATCAGAAACCTCTCGAGCCAAGAAGACACTGAGAAGAGAACTTTCCTTCCATTAGCCAATGCCCAAGCTGTGGAGTACTGGGGACCAGCTAGTGGAGTCTTTACTTCACAGGAAGCTAAGTCGGGAGGAGGTAAGAAAAGGCTTATACTCTTCTGTGGACTCTTTTTCCCCAAAGAAACTGACTGGCAGAGTCAGTTCTACACCGCCTTGTGCCTACCTCTCTCTCCAACTCCACAGGGCAACCTGCATCCTCAGCTGGATGAGCTCTGCCTGCGGGCTTTTTGAAACCTTGACAATCCCTGAGGATATGTATGTCACTACTTAACGTTACTTTCAGAAAATAGGAAAGTGTAAACTATACCCCTAAAATAATACGATTCAAATTCTACTTAAAAGTTTTCAGGTCGGGTTCAGTGGCTCAGCCTGTCATTCCAGCACTTTGGGAGGCCGAGGCGAGTGGATTGCCTGAGCCTGCAGTTCAAGACCAGCCCTGGCAACTTGGTGAGACCTCGTCTCTACAATGAAATGAAAATTAGCCAGGCATGGTAGTGCGCGCCTGTAGTTTCAGCTACTTGGAAGGCTGAGGTGGAAGGATCACCAGAGCCCAGCAGGTCAATGCTGGGGTGACCGTGAGTGTGCCACTGCACTCCAGCCTGGGTGACAGAGTGAGACTTCAACTTAAAAAAGTTATTAAAGGATAACTTTTCAGAGGAGACCTCTTCCTCTCAAACCAAGTTCAAGTTTGCACTCTTGGTCCTCAACATTCTCAGAATCACTATACATACTGAAAACTGTGTTCCCATGATACTAACATAATCAAATATATCTTCAGCACCTTCTCTGTGCCAATCAATGAATTAGGCCCCAAGTATATTCTCAGGAAGAGACACCATCCCAGGTATGGCAGTCAGTAAAATTACCTTTGATGAAGGCGTCACTTATCGAGAGCTGTTGTCCTCCATTGTCAGAAATCAAATACTCTGCACAGCAGGGAAAAAACAGAGAGGAGGAAGGAGAGGAGAGACATATGACTATAACAGGCCAGCATAATGACACAGATAACACGCCCACACGTCAAGCATTACTCATCCTAAACTCAGCAATACCTAGCAAACTTAAGACAGCTTTGGGTTGAAGTGCCTCTTTGTCCTTGTTCTCCATTCTTCACTCTAAAATTAGCAGACTTCCATTAATAACTCAACAGAACCACAAAACAGTTCACTTTAATTCAAATGTCAGATAATCTTTAACAGATTATTTTTCCCTTACCAAAACCAAACCAGTTTATAAAAACTAAGATCTTCAGTAATGTGTATGACAACCCTAAAGGGTTATGCTGTTTTTCTCATATATCGCTGTATTGTTGAACAAATAATGACTTTGTCTACACAAAGGTGGTTCTCACTGAGAGAGAACTCACCTAATAAAACAATACAAGTTTTTTTTTTAATTTCAGAATATAAGCTATAAAACAAATACAAAAATTACACTGGCAGAAATAAAAATATAATTAACCAAGATTTTTTATTAGTTTTGAGTGTTTTTCAAAAATTCTACCAAACACTGCCAAATTTTTGCCAGACAATAATTACTGAATACACTCTGATTGCTTTTCAAAATATTAAGTGCTTTTCTTACAAGTGAAATTTACTCTTTTACTTCCCCATGAACTTTTGTCTCGGTCTGTGACAAAGCATAGCTCAAATGGGGTTCTTTCCACTATGCAAATTAAAACACAATGCATTTTAACCCCTTATGGTAAAGGTTCTCCACAAAATTTTTTCCAAGTTCATTCATAAACAAATAGGCTGTAAAAGTCAATATGTTTATAAGCCAATATGCTCATCCAGGAAACAGAAAAAATATTTTACTTAAAATTTCAAGTGCATCATGCCAAATACAATAAAAATCAAGTATGTGGACAAGAAAGATGTTATTCTATTCCTCCTTCACAGAAAGAAATAATGCCAAATCCTATCAGATCAACTAATGCATTGCTCATTATGAGCCCTCTCATACTAAAGCTTAAATATATATGAGATTTCAGAAATGATGAGTTTTGGGGAAAACTCACATATAAATACAGCATTTAAATATGAAAAAATCTTAAACCTACCAAAAAATGCTATGTACTGTCCACCCAGATCAAACAATTTTTAAGGAACTTCATACACGTATGCCTTCTTTTTCCCTGACCTTCTGAAGTGACACACATCATGACATGTTACCACTAGTATGCCAGCACACGTCTCAAAAACAAGGGCATTCTTCTCTACGGCCATGGTGCCATTTACACACTTGAGGGACTGCCAATACCGTGACAGAACTGGTCCACATTCAGATTTATCCAAGTGTCCCCAAAAGATTTTTAATAAATGTTTCTTCCGTCAAATCTGGATCCAATATAGTTCATACATGGCCTTTGGTTGCTGTGTCTCTTTATTCTCTTTTAGTCTAGAGAAAATCTCCTACTTTTTTCCATGATAATTCAATTTTTTTTTTTTTTTAAGTTGGAGTCTCACTCCATCGCCCAGACTGGAGTGCAGTGGCACACTCCCGGCCACCACAAACTCAACCCGCTGGGCCCCGGCAATCCTTCCGCCTCAGCCTTCCAAGTAGCCAGAACTATAGGTGCACACCTGGCTAGTTTTTGATTTATTGTAGGGATGAGGTCTCACCAAGTTGCCCAGGCGGGTCTCGACCCCGCGGACTCAGGCAATTCACTCACCTCGGCCTCCCAAAGTGCTGGGATTACAGGCTGAGCCACCAAGCCTGGCCTATGATTATTCTTTTTATTTTATTTTTTTGAGTTGGAGTCTCACTCTGTTGCCCAGACTGGAGTGCAGTGGCCGCTCCTGGCCACCACAGCCTAGACCCGCTGGACTCCGGCGATCCTTCCACCTCAGCCTTCCAAGTAGCTGGAACTACAGGCACACGCTACCGCGCCCACCTAATTTTTTGATTTATTGTAGAGATGAGGTCTCGCCTGCCCAGGCGGGTCTCAAACCCGCGGGCTCAGGCAATCCACTCACCTCAGCCTCCCAAAGGCGCGGGATTACAGGCTGAGCCACCGAGCCCGGCTTGATAATTCATTTTAAAAGAACCCAGACCAAATAGGAAGTTCCACAATAAAGACATGACTGACTGTTTCCTAATAGTGTGTTTAACTTGTTCCCAGTTTTCCTACACATGGAAAATTAGATCTAGAGGTTTGTGGAAGCCATGACTTTCGCTTTCTTCTCTAAATTCTATTTGCTAACTTTCCAAGAACAACCATAATAAATTACATTTGGGGCTGGGTGTGGTGGCTCACACCTGTAATCCCAGCACTTTGAGAGGCCAATGTGGGAGGATCACTTGAGCCTAGAGTTTGATACCAGCCTATACAACATAGCGAGACCTCATCTCTACAAAAAAAAAAAAAATTTAGCGGGATGCAGTGGCATGCGCCTTAGTCCCAACTACTCGGGAGGTTGAAACAGGAAGATCATTTGAACTCAGGAGTTTGAGGCTGCTGTGAATTGTGCCCATGCCACTGCACTCCAACCTGGGTGACAGAGTGAGATCCTGACTCAAAAATAAATAAATAAAATTTTAACTGTACAACTCTCCAACACCAAGACTGAAAAATTAATAAAAATAGATCACACTGAGTTTTACAAGCTTCTGAAAAGGTTTTCGTACATAAGATAAAAAATTATGAGTAATCTTAAGTACAGATATTTAAACCAATTGTATAAATCCACATTTCCTCAGCTTTAAAAAAGAGGCCAATCCATAAGAAAATATTTAATAAGTACTATCTTTAATTTCAATGGAAAAATAAAAACAATTCCCATTTGTATTTATTTAAAGAGAATGAAAACCAGAGGCAGACATACAACTACCTGTCACTCTGGCAGTCTTTACTTTCTGGTAATCAATGTTCATCTTAACTAAAAACAGAGCAAAATATTTTATTATATTTCAACTTCACAAAAAAATGCAAAGAGAATATTTCTTATTATGTCAAAAATGAATGAGAGTTCTGAAAGTCAGGTCTATTAAGGGATTTACAAAGTCCTCAAATTATAAACTCTCAAGGTTGCAAATGACCTAAGAGGTTCATTTAATAATTACCTTCTTTCTAATGCTGGGAACTCCTCTACAGGAATCTTACTGAGTGGGCTAAAGGGTTCCTCACACTGATTACATATTTTTTAAACATTTTAGGTCTATATTTTTCATCTCACAGATTTAGAATTAAAAGGAAACTCAGAAGTCCCCAGGTGTACCTAACCCATCACCCAATGTAGGCATCAGTCCTCAATGGACATTTAGGCACACCCTGACGACTGAACCTAGTTCTTCCATCAGCCATACATAAAACAATCCTTCCAGATACCTAAAAGCAGCATCAAGCTTTCTTTTCTCCATTTTAAGTAGCCCAACCCCATTTAACTGATCTTAATATAGCATGTTTTTCAGATGTCTCAGGATCCTGGCAACCCAGCTCTATTCATAAATCAAAACAGAACCCCAAAATTTAAATTGGACTGTAACTATAGACATCAATTGCCACTAATGAAACCTATCAATGTATTAAAAAGGGGGGGGTTGCCACATCAGAGTATTACATTTGCAGAAGGGCTGGGCACAGTGGCTCACACCTATAATCCCAGCACTTCAGGAGGCCAAGGCAAGAGGACTACTTAAGCCCAGGAGTTCGAGAGCAGCCTGGGCAGCACAGTGAGACCTCATCTTGACAAAAAAGAAAAAAATGAGCTGGGTGTGGTGGCATGCGCCTATAGTCCCATCTACTCAGGAGGCTGAGGCAGAAGGAGATAGCCTGAGCCCAGGAGGTCAAGGTTGTGGTATACTGTGGGCAAGTCACTGCACTGTAGCCTGGGTGACAGAGTGAGACCCTGACTCAAAAAAATATATAAATTTTCAGATCACTAAAACTTGGATCTTTATCACATGAATTATTAAGAATGGCTTTTGCCAGAGGTTTTTTTTTTGAGTTGGAGTCTCACTCTGTCGCCCAGACTGGAGTGCAGTGGCCGCTCCCAGCCACCGCAGCCTCGACCTGCTGGGCTCCGGCGATGCTTCCGCCTCAGCCTTCCAAGTAGCTGGAACTACAGGCGCGCACTACCACACCCAGCTAATTTTTGATTTATTGTAGAGATGAGGTCTTGCTGCCCAGGCGGGTCTCGAACCCGCGGACTCAGGCAATCCACTCACCTCAGCCTCCCAAAGGCGCGGGATTACAGGCTGAGCCACCAAGCCCGGCTCGCCAGAGTTTTAATAGCAAACATTTTAAGCCCAATTACATTAGTCAATGTTTACTTTTGTTAAATCTCATTTTGTTAGTCTCAATCTACTGCTGAAAAAAAAATCTTTACATTTTAATCCTGCTATCCAACATGCCAGTCATTCTTTCCAGATTTTAATTATCTGTGGAACTGAAAAACATTAAAAGTGCTGACCAAAAAAAAAAAGTGTCGAGTAACACTGAATACAGAAAAATTCCTACAGCGTAAACTAGGAGCAGCCCTTTCTATTGACATCAAACTGGTCATTATCCTCTCAATATTTTACTCTACAGGCTGCAAATCCATGTGTTCATATTAGGAGCAGCATTACTGAGCTCTTACATTCACCAACACACTATACTCTGTGTTTTCCATATAAAAAATATTACATAGAACAGTGGATGCCGGAGGTTGTGGGGGTGGAAGGAAAGGGAAAATGTTGGTCAAAGAGTACAAAGTTTCAGGTAGACAGGGAATACATTTTCTGAGATGTATTACACAGCATGACGACTATAGTTAATAACAGTGTATTATATATTTCAAAAGGTTCTCACCACAAAAAAATGATAAGGATTTAAAGCACTGGATATTATCTAGCTTGATTTAATTAATCCATTGCAGACATGTCATTGCTATATCTCATAAACAAATACAATTATAATTTGTCAATTTACAAATTTACAGTAGACTATATCAAATGCAAAAGTGTCCTTTGCCTGCAAAGCTATTGAGAGACCATTAAACATCTTAGTAACATTAATAAAGACAGTATCTACCATATTCTCCTGATCTATCAATCCCATGTCACCGTAAAAGACAGAAACAGGGTTGTTTGGGAATGACTTGTTTTGGTTAACCAATGCCAGTAGCCCAGTCACCACCAATTTTTCTAAATGCCACAGTAAATTCCACTGATTAAACTTTTCTACATTTTTCCAGCTTCCAATGCCACATCAAGAATCTGTCTTTTTTTAAAAAAAATGAAAAATGAATGTATCTATCACTAGTCATCCAGACCCTCTCCTACTCTTCACAATTCTTCAAGGATAACAAACTCTGGCTCCATGATCCCAGATACAAAGTCATTCAATAATCTGGCATACAGTATGCCAAAACCTGGCAACAGACTTATTTAAAATAACCAGGCATTTTCTATCTCTTCATTATCTTGGACCTCACTGTTCTGTTAACCATGTTTCTGGATAAGAATAATCTTGACGGGGGGGGGGGGGGACGACACACGATGACTCCTTTTAGTCATCAATCAATATTGTATCAATTTTCCCAAATAACTGACATAACTTGTCCTTCAATTGAAATTTAAATATTTTCTCAGACATCCCTGGCCTTTTCTCCAACCTTCAGCACAGTCTAGACTTCTGCTCTGCAGTCATTTTATTTATAGTGCTGGGTCCCTTTCAGATTCATCCTCTTATGAAGGTTGCCACTTTAAACTTTCATAGACAATCTTTTTAAAGGTCTGAGATCAAAGAGCTTCCAGAGGAGTCATGATGCTTTTCCCAACTACAGGTGCTTCCTCCTTATTCTCCTTGGAGATATAACCTGAGGTCACCCTGTACATGTCACTGTTGGAGTCTCCTGTTCCCTTCCTCTCCCAATGTTCTGAAGTCAAGTTTCCTAAAGTCAACGTCTGGCTGTGTTCAGCTGTCCATCCTTTGCTATTATGAATTCTATAATAACAGTCACTTTCTTCAAGATTCTTAAAACCTCCTTAGCTTTTCAAGAGGTGAAAACAAGTCAAAAGTATGCTTCACATTCTGCTTTCAGCAAGATGAAATCGTCAACAGATATGTCCAGAGAATAGATGTCCTCCGTCATCTGTGTGCCTCTGACCCACATCAAAATGTCCCCCATGTGACCACTGCCTACAGTTAATTCTCACACAAGTGTCATGTCTATTTCACTGTTCTTTCATACTTACCCAAATGTTCTCCATAATTTTTCTAATTTGAGGATTCCAATCAAGATGTATATCTTACTCAGGCTCGGTGCTAGTTAAGTCTCCTCATTTACCACATCCTCTCTAAATTTCTTATTTTTAAATAATATATACCTTTTCATAACTATTTTACACATCTTGTTAATGGCTAATACTGACAATTATGAGACATTTGTTGTAGAAATGTAAATTGTCTCAAATTATTTTAGTATAAACATTTAAATTCATAAGCTTCTCTTTTCTGATCTCATTTTTTAGGCTCAAAAGACAGAACAGCAAAAATTAGGCAAGCACCAGGTGCGGTGGCTCAAGCCTGTAATCCCAGCACTTTGGGAGGCCAAGGTGAGAGGACTGTCTGAGCCCACGGATTCGAGACTAGCCTGGGCAACTTAGTGAGACCTCATCTCTACAACAAACAAAAAATTAGCCAGGCATGGCTACAGCAAATAAAAAATTAGCCAGGCATGTGCCTGTAGTTCCAGCTACTTGGAAGGCTGATGCAGAAGGATCGCCTGAGTCCAGCAAGTCAAGGCTGCGGTGGCCGGAAGTATGCCACTGCACTCCAGCCTGGGCAACAGAGTGAGACTCCAACTCAAAAAAAATTAGGTAAGCATTTCAGATCTAAGTGAGGAGACCATCCAACTTTAGAGTTAAATGTTTAAAGCTCAAACTGCAGATGAAACCATGGAATAAAGTGATTCATCTTTATAATAATGTTTCAGTTATTACAATATAAAATACCTACAATTATTAATTCAGCCACGTATTTTTTATTTACTTTTATATAATGCCACTCAAGGGCTATAATTTAAATTGGTTTTTAATTACATCAATAGAGTTAACTTCATCATCCATTTTAAAAACAAGCATTTCTTTTCTTAAGCTAGATTTTTTTTTTTTTTTTGAGTTGGAGTCTCACTCTGTCGCCCATACTGGAGTGCAGTGGCCGCTCCCGGCCACCGCAGCCTCGACCTGCTGGGCTCCGGCGATCCTTCCGCCTCAGCCTTCCAAGTAGCCGGAATTACAGGCATGCGCTACCATGCCCGGCTGATTTTTTAAATTTATTGTAGAGATGAGGTCTCGCTGCCCAGGCGGGTCTCGAACCCGCGGGCTCAGGCAATCCACTCACCTCAGCCTCCCAAAGGCGCGGGATTACAGGCTGAGCCACCGAGCCCGGCTATGCTAGATTTTATTAATGGTTCACCTTATGTTTCCTTTTTCCTGTTTTTGAGTCAGTAGACTAAAGCATCAAATAAGATAACCAGAAATAATGACTTCATTTTGTATGAATTAGAGAAGAAATTTTTTATACATATAGAATACATACAATAAGCATTTTAGATTACTGAGGAAAGATATTTTGAAATGTGTGAATAATTTCCCCCAATCTAGTTCAAGCATCTTAACAGGTTTAGTGAAATACCATGTTACTGGGTAACAGCAAAGTGAAGTAGGCTTTAAAATGTTAAATGAAGAAAGAGAAAAGAATAGAGCAGAACATCCATGTTATAAATGCAAAGAAAGGCCACCTTGGAAGTTGCACATTACGGGAAGAGCAGTCAGATGTAGCTCCTTTTCAAGATTATAAGCTTTAAACTGGGCGTGGTGGTACTGGGGAAAAAACAAGAAATGAAAGGACCCAACCGAAAAAGGTAGGGGAAGAGGTGTGGGGAAAATGAGAGAGGGTGGAACAAAACCCACACCAAATCCCCTCAGCCACATGGGAGAGAGGAAGCCAGAAGGACAGGCTGGCACAAGCTCCTACGACCCAGCTCTCCAGCCTGTGCCTGGATTCCAGACAGTGACTCCCTCCTACCTTTTTGGTCAGCAGGGTGAGGGGGCACATGTGGGTACTTGGAGGGCTTCTTGATATGGAAGTTCACGTTGTCCAGCTCCACGTTCAGGCTGATAGACGCGGCTGAGTCACTGTCCACTGTGGACTGGAAACTGCTGACTGATGTGCGCTTGCTAGGACTGGCAGAATCTTTTAGTGTTGGGAGGGGAAAGAAATATGGGAGGGGAGTAAAAATGGGTTTTATCAGGGATTGGAGGAAAGGAGAAAAATGTTGTTTTAATACACAAGCCCAATGTGCAATACCAAAATGGATACAGTATTTTCAAGTACTTCTGTGTAGATGACAAAATTTGAATAAGTTAAATATAAAATCGATTTTTAAAATGAAGAAACGTACTGGAAGTTCTGCAGAGAGAAAGCCTGATATCATAGTGAAGAAGCGAGAAAGTTGTTTGCTGCGATATTAGTTCAGTTATTTTTCAGCTGCTGCAAACTAAAGACTACGATAAAATCTAGAAATGGCAGTTGCCTAACAAGTTGATTTAAGAAAATACTGTATCTAAGACAGGAATTGCTATCAGATGCTTACATTTAGTTGGAGCCATAAGTAGTAAAGTAGAATTGTTTCAACTAAACAAATACTCTTTTTATCATTCATACACAGTAATGACCCATAAAGACTAAAATGTTAAACTCACTAGCCAAATTATCGTCACCTTCTTCTGCTATCTGTTCTGTGTCGCTGTCATCAAACTTTATGTCTTTAAACCAGGATGGCTCAGAGTGTCCTTCCACGGAGTTCACCGAGTCACTGTCTGGAGAAGGTGTCTCAGAAAAGTCTGTACTCTGAAAGGATGAAGACAGGATCCACACAATTGACCCTCAATGGCAACAATGTTGAAGCTGTCATACTACAAAATATTTGTAGTCCAATATTTCTACAACTCTAACAGTTGAATAAATGCATATAAAAATAAACAAATGGGCTGGGTGCGGTGGCTCAGGCATATAATCCTGGCACTTTGGGAGGCCGAGGTGAGGGGGATGCCCGAGCCCATGGGTTCGAGAAGAGCCTAGGCAACTTGGCGAGACCTTATCTCTACAATAAATCCAAAAATTAGCCAGGCGTGGTAGTGCACATCTGTAGTTCCAGCTCTTTGAAAGGCTGAGGCGGAAAGATCGCCTGAGCACAGCAGGTCAACGCTGAGGTGGCCATGAGTGTGCCACTGCACTCCAGCCTTGGTGACGGAGTGAAACTCCAACTTAAAAATAAATAAACAAATAAACAAAAACTAAGTTATTATAAACCAGTATCATACCAATAATTCCACTCTTAAAACCATAATTTTCATTAACTGAAAGGCTTACATGGCATATTATCAACAAAACATTTCTTTAACACAGACTTTCAGTCTTTTGTTTCATTCTTTAATCCTGAGAGTGAAAACAGATTAGAACTTATTCTAACCCTAGGTCAATTCTAGGGCACATCTTGGAAAATAACTTTTTTAAAAAAAATCACACCACACCAGTCTTTAGGGTCACTTGTCTTTTCTGACCAGTGGGTTTGCAATTTCAGTTCACAAAGATATTACTAAGCATTACACATTTGATCCTTGAGCAACAAGGGCCTAAAGTGAGTGGGTCCATTTATCTGCAGATTTTCTTCCACACCTGCCACCTCTGAGATAGCAGGACCAACTCCTCCTTCTTGGCCTTCACAATGTGAAGGCAATGACGACGATGACCTTCACTTGGATCCACTTCCACTTCACGAATGCATTTTCTCTGTCTTATAATTTTCTCTTTTAGGCTTTAACCTGTCTTTTATTTCTTATCTGAACGTGGATATTTGAGTGTTTGTTAAATTATTTCTTGTACATCTAAAATGTTTCTTTTTTTGACAGCTTTCATTTTTTATTTTTTTATTTTAAAGATGTGGGGTACAATCCAGGATTAGGTATACAAATGGTCATCGTACAGGTAAAGTTAGGGCTTCCCTTTGGTCCCCACTTTGCCTAGTTTGAGATTAGGAACGCTTATAATAATTTTCTTAATAACATTTCTTTTCCCTGGCTTACTTTATTGTAAGAGAGTAGTATATAACATATAACGTGTTAACAACTGTTTACGCTACTTATTAAGATCAATAGTAGGCTATTAGTATTTAAGTTTTTGAAGGGTCAAAAGTTATGCATGGATTTTTGACTGGTCTCCCTGACTCTCAAGTTGTTCAAGGGTCAATGGCATATACATGTGTGTGTGTGAGTGTGCATACAGTATTACACATATCAAATGATATAAACCAGGAATGAAAGCATATTTTTTTAAAGTTCTGTTTTTAAGTAATTTCCACTTTCCTAAAGGAAAAAAAAAATAATTGCTTCACCACTCTTATACAATAGTGCTAAAGAGTCAAAACAATTTCAATAGGTCACACGGAATGTTTCAATCCTTTTATTTTTTATTTTTAAAAAATTTTTAAATCATTTTATTATGTATACGCCTGGTTAGTTCTAAAAACAGGCCAACTGAAAACAGAACAAAACTAAAAACTGTTAAAGTTAAATGCCAAGTAACCATAATACCACAAAACTAAGGATTTTTTGTTTGTTTTGTGAGTCAGAGTCTTACTCCGTCACCCAGGCTGTAGTGTAGTCTCACAATCACAGCTACCACAGCCTCAACCTGCTGGGCTCAAGCGATCCTTCCGCCTTAGAATTCCAAGTAGCTGGAACCACAGGCACAAGCTACCATGCTTGGCTAATTTATTTATTTATTTTCTGAGCTGGAGTCTCACTCTGTCACTCAGACTGGAGTGCAGTGGCCGCTCCCGGCCACCGCAGCCTCGACCTGCTGGGCTCCGGCGATCCTTCCGCCTCAGTCTTCCAAGGAGCTGGAACTACAGGCGCGCGCTACCACGCCTGGCTAACTTTTTTGATTTATCGTAGAGATGAGGTCTCGCCAAGTCGCCCAGGCAGGTCTCGAACCCGCGGGTTCAGGCAATCCACTCAACCTCGGCTTCCCAAAGCGTGGGAATACAGGCTGAGCCACCAAGCCCGGCCTAATTTTTTGATTTACTGTAAAGACAAAGTCTCAGTAAGTTGCCCAGGCTGGTCTTGAGCCTCTGGCTCAGGCGATCCTCTCACCTCTGCCTGCCCCCCAAAGTGCTGGGATTACAGGAGTGAGCCACCATGCCTAGCCACAAAGCTAAGTTTAAGAAAAGCCATACAAACTGAATGAAATGCTCAATTCTCATAGCAGGTTTTTCATATTGCATACCCAGTAAAACATGTTTTAACTTTCCTCAAACAGCACTTAGGAAAAACAAGGTTAAATGGCTTTTTATTTCTACTGATGAAGACTGCATCATAAGCTTGCTGTATTCTCATAAGCCGTAAACTGGAACTTACCTGCAGCGGCCTATACAGTGCATACTCATCTCTGAAAAGCTGGTCATGATGACTAACACAATCTAGCCAACGTCCGTCGACCAGTGCTTGTCCAAGTGCTGTGGCTTGCGCTCTGAATCAAGACCCACACAATGACACACTTCAGAAGTCAGTCAGAATAACTGTTCATATACCACATAACGTACAATCTTAATTTCGGGGGAATTTTAAATGGTCCTGGGTAAGTCAGGGACAAAACAAGAGCGCTATAAAGCAAATCAAATGGTTCTTCCAGGTGCCCTAACAAAGAAGAACCTACTGGCAAGGCAGTCCTAGCAAAACCCAAATGTAACGACAGGGAGCATTTACTGAGTACTCAATGCAGGCACACACTTGCATGTAACAGAGGATTCAAGAAATGTTGAGACTAAACAGCATGACTCCTACCCTCAAGGATCTCAGTCTTGATCAGAAGACAGCACTAAAGATCACAGACATAAATTCATGTATATGCACATATACATGAATTAGATGCTAACACATCATATTACATGGTGTTTCATAATTGATGAGACACTTTAATCAGTATAATTTAATTTCATCCCATAGCTTATTCACAAGACCATGCTGGAAAAGCATCAAAGAGATTGAATAACTTGGCTAAAAGCACAAAGCTAAAAGGAGAGACAGCCAAAACTGAAACCCAGGGCTTCATGGCTTAAAGTTATTTCTCTCTTTACTTTTTATGCTTGTTTACATACCTTTTCTTCCCATGAGAGGAGAAATAGCTAACCTGGGCAAGCGGTAAAAGCCAAGGGATTCGTCATCTTGAAAGGCAGCACCTCTTATTTTATTTTATTTTTTGAGTTGGAGTCTCACTCTGTAGCCCAGACTGGAGTGCAGTGGCCGCTCCCGGCCACCGCAGCCTCAACCTGGTGGGCTCTGGCGATCCTTCCGCCTCAGCCTTCCAAGTAGCCAGAATTACAGGTGCGCGCTACCACGCCCGGTTAATTTTTTGATTTTATTGTAGAGATGAGGTCTCGCCTGCCCAGGCGGGTCGCAAACCCGCGGGCTCAGGCTTATTTTTTTATTTAGTGAAAATTGATCTGTGAGGCAGGCTATGACCCTGCAGGTGGAGGTTATAGACCCCATTCTCAACACAGGCAGCCATGTCTAGATGGCAACAGTAGCAGGGGAATCCTTGGCCTTCGGCTTGAGTTACATTCTCCAAGAGTTCGTCTGCTTTTCTCAAGGCAAAATGTGACCCCATCTGGCTGCTTGCATCTTTTTCTCTACTGGTTAAAAACCAGATGGGAGGAAGACTGGGTAATTAGCACTCCAAACCATCAAATACATAAAAACAAACCACACCCTAACTCACAAACAAATTTGTTACTCTTACTATCTCCACATATGCCCTCCATAAAAATACACTAATAAATAATACCAAGATCTCTTTCTTAAGATCAAACACCTCGTAGCAATGTGTCCATTCCGGATCAGCCAGTTGACTAACTCCTTCCCGACGATGCAGTTGGGATGCGTTCTCAACCAGTAGCGGTGATCCTGGAACTCCATTCCACTACTGTGATGGCAGATTTTTTTCCACAGGTCCTTTAACTGAACACTGTCCTGCAGTTGCATTAAGAACACATAATTACTCCTGGGAAGAATGCTATGTACCTTTTCAGATGTTTCCCTGTTGTGTTTAGATTCACAAAAAGAAATTCAACTTGGAGTTCTCTATAGCAACTAACTCAGACGATTTAATACAAATGACACATACGTGGGAAACAGCTTAACCTCAGCTATCTAATTCCACATATACTTTTTTCTCTTGAAAACCAACTATTTTACCTGCACAATGACCACTTGTATGCCTAATCCTGAATTGCACCCCACATCTTTAAAAGAAAAAGAGGAAAAAAAAAAACAGCTATCCCAAATACTTCTTTTTTCTGCCAATGACACATACTATTGTCTCCTAGTCTTTGGAAACAAAGCAGAGTAGAGGGAGCCAACAGTCTCACCAGTCTAAGGTAAGTGTCCCTAGTAGCCTTCCCTCCACCAGACTCTCATATGCCCAACTGCCAGGTGAATTTTCCTAAAGGGAGAGCTTCAGTAAATCACTCCCTGCTCAAAAGATTCCTCAACATTGTTTAGCAACTATGGGTTCAAATTCAGACTTGTAAGAACTGAATTCACTGTATTCCTCCAAATAACCTTCCACTCTCCCACAGACTCCAATTTAAACTCTCTCCCAATTAATAAATCCAAACTTTAGTCCAAAGAAAATGCCATGTTTGCTCTCACCTCTATCCCTTTCCTCACACCCTTAAATAAGACTCAGTTTCTCCACTGCCTAGTCAAACCTATCCGTCCTTCAAGCTCCAGGTCAAGCCCTTAGGTTGAAAGCCTTTCCTGACAGCATCAATAGTAATTTTATTTCTATTTTTTTTTTTAGTTGGAGTGTCACTCTGTCGCCCAGCCTAGAGTGCAATGGTGTGATGACAGCTCACCACAGCCCTGACCTCCTGAGCTCAGGTGATCCTTCTCAACTACAAGCACACACTACAATGCATGGCAAATTTTTAAAATTTTTTGTAGAGATGAAGTCTTGCTAGGTTGCCTAGGCTGGTCCTGAACTCCTTGGTTCAAGCCGTCCTCCTGCCTTGGTCTCCCAAAGTGCTGAGATTAGAGGTGTGAACCACCACACCTGGTTTATCTTTTGAATTTTTATATGACATACAATAATATTATTTATTTGACTTTTTTTATTATTACAGTATTACTTCTTTTACTGTAGGGACATTTCTGTGGATCTTATTTCTACCTTTCGGTTTTTGATTGTTTTTTTTAAGTCGGCATCTCACTCTGTCGCCTAGGCTGGAGTGCAGTGACACACTGCTCATGGCCACTGCAGTCATGACCTGCTGAACTCAGGTGATCTTTCTGCCTCAGTCTTCCAAGTAGCTGAACTACAGGCACATGCTACCATGCCTGGCTTACTGATTGATTGATTGATTGATTGATTGATTGATTTTTAAATTGTAGAGACGAGGGCTCGTCAAGTTGCCCAGGTTGAACTCCTGAGTTCAGGCAATCCTCTGGTCTTGGCCTTCCAAAGTGCTAGGATTATGGGCTTGAGCCACCATGCCCAGGCTTGTGGAGAGCGCGGCCTGAGCCAAGATGGCGCCCGGGACCTCTGCCAAGTCCCATGATTAGGCGCATGATATACCGCCGGGCCCTCCTTCACTGCGCACCGCGCAAGTGCAAGGCTGCAGAGGCTATGAACTGCTGACACGCTGGAACGGGACTTGTGGGTGGAGACCAAGGGATATAAGTACGGGACAACGGAGAAGAAGAAGCTAGAAGAAGCTAGAAGAAGAAGGAAGAAGCTGGCATGGTGTAAAGGCTGAATAAACCGCTTTGAGAAGAACACGTTGTTGTTGCCTCCTTCCTGCTGGTCAGGGGTGAGCGACACAGGCTGAACCCCTGAGCTCAGGCAATCCTCTGGTCTTGGCCTTTCAAAGTGCTAGGATTATGGGCTTGAGCCACCATGCCCGACCTTGATTATTTTTTTAAGAGACAAGGTCTTGCTATGTTTCCCAGGCTGGAGTGCAGGGGGTATTCACAGGTGTTGGGAGCCGGCCACGGAGGCCCACTGAGCATTAGGGATCAGGGAGGGCCGTCGACACCGAGACCACTAGGATGTGTTCGGGAGCCGTTGACCCCATTTTCCTCCTCCTTTTACCATGCAGTGCAAGTAACCTAAAGGAACTCTGCTGATCTAAGCTGAAAGCTCTGTAACTGTGACAGGCATGACTCACTCTAGAAACCCATTGTTCCTGTTTCCCATAAACTGCGATTTTGGCTTAGGTATTAAATATAATTCAAATTCAGGTCACATTTGGGAGCTTTTTATACGGTACAAGTTTCTTTATAAGATTTAAAAGTATATTTGGAGAATTAGTATATACTTATGGAGAGCTGTTTTCAGCTTTTCAATGGTATAAATGACTATCTAGAGTTATCAGAAATGGCCCAGCACAGAGTTTGGGCTGGGCCACATTCCTGAGAGTCCAGCACATACTTTGGACTGGGTTGCATTCTTTAAGGCCAGCTTTAGCTACAGTTAGTGTAGGGTTTTTTTCTACCTGTTACAGAAATTGAATTTATTTTATTCATAGAAAGTATTGTAAAATAGGTCATGCTAATGTCAGGGAATCATGTTAGTTCAAGCATGACCAATCATGATATTTTGAGGTTTAATAAAAATACAGTTAACTTTAGAAATTTCATTGTCTCCATTTTCTACTTTTGTGGTTTTGGCCGTAGTACATTTACAGTTTATATTTGGGTTTTATTTTTAGAAGCTTTGCTGCTGATGATCAGCTTTATATATTAGGATTAGGAATTAGAAACTTTCATAGAAATTAGGATAGATATATAGGACTTTAGAATAGCCATTTTGTTAAGAGATTGTAATCTATTGTTCCAAAAAGTGGCCCACCGTGAACCTTGGACTGGGCCACATCCTGTAGAGCCCAGCGTGATCTTTGGACTGGGCCACATTCTTTAGGAATTGGCTTAAGCTATAATTAAGAGCTTCCGTACGTAGCGCTGTGTAAGTAGTATTAGTATAGAATAGAAAGGTAATAAAGTTTAAGTTAGTCATCATGGGTATTGCGTGAGCTTTAGAAGTTATTGATTATCAGAACATCATCATGCTAGTAGGGATTGTTGCACTGCTTTTGAAGAGCATTAACTAGCAAAGGGAACAATAAGACAATCTTGGAGTTTGTCCCTCCTCATACCTAAGAAAACATCTGGTGGGTGGGAGACGCCCCTCCTGCACCTGGCCTTGTGTTCACGTGAAAGACTTGTGAGACTGTCTAAAATTTGGAGATAAATACCTGCTGTAACTTTCAATAAACGGCTTCTGCTCATTTCACTGAACAGTTGTCCACGTTCTTTCTTTCTCTTTCTTCCTCTTTATATCTATCCTTCCATCTTTCTTTCTTTTAATATCTGTCCCTACAAATTCGCCAACGCCACCACATCTTCCAAGGGACTCCTCAAAACTTGCAGGGGCTGGCCCCCCACACACAGGCACAATCACTGAGCACTACAGCCTTAAACTCCTAGACTCAAGGAATCCTCCTGCCACAGCCTCCCAAGTAACTAGGATTACAGGAGCACATCACCACACTTGGTTCTTATTTCAACTATCTGAATTGTATGCTTGAAGACAGAAGCCACAAATTCCATTTCTATGAGTTACTCGTACAGGATCAAATACGTATTTCACATATAGATAAATTCAATAAGTAACTGATTATTATCTCATGTGCACATATAGTTTAAATGTCTAAAAAGTTTTCCATGTATGTGAGGAATATGTTTTAAAGTTTAAACAGCAATATGGAACCTAAAAGTTAAGCTCTCGTTATGTAGGCAACTGAATTCTGATCTATCCAGATGAAAGGGATAGGAAAATAATGCAATGAGTATAGAATGCTTGGCCTGTTTCTCAGGTGATCCTAGGAAAAACTTAAGTTGCCGGGTGTGGTAGCTCACGCCTGTCATCCCAGCCCTTTGAGAGGCAGAGGTGAGATGACTGCCTGAGCCCACGGGTTTAAGACCAGCCTGGGCAACATAGCGAGATCTCGTCTCTACAATAAATCAAAAAATTAGCTGGGTGTGGTGGCACATGCCCATGGTTCCAGCTACTTGGAAGGTTGAGACAGAAGTATCTCCTGAGCCGAGCAGATCAAGGTTGCGGTGGCCATGAGCAGTGTGCCACTGCACTCCAGCCTGGGCCACAGAGTGAGACTCTGACTCAAAAACAAACCAGACCAAAAAAAAAAAAAAACTTATGCTAATTATTTCTGTTTAACTGATATGCTAACTATTTTGTTTATACATTTCTTTTAAAAAGAATCAGTGAGATAAATATTCTCTATGCTCAAAACAAGCAATAGGCCATAGATACTGGACCGGTACCAGAAGAATTTTGCGTTCATCCTCAGTGGTCTCTGTCCTCACATATGTTCGGTTAGCCTGGGGACTGACAGATGTCTCATAGGAAGGTACCATAGGAGAACCAGATCGATCCAGTGACAGGTTAGTAATGCTGGCTGATCTGAAAATAAAAACAAAAAATGAAAGCACAGCTGTAAATTCTACATCAATATCCTAGAAAAACTCTGTGCTACATTTGCAGCTCTATGTGAGTCTAAAATGATTCGGAAGTCAGTTTAAAATAAGATAATTATGGAAAGAGCACAGAAAAATAGTTACATAGTTCATATATCAGTAATGTTTCAAAGGAAATAAATACAAAGTTTTCTTATTAAAATGCTGCAAATTAATTTTTTTTAACTGATAAATATAAAGAATGACAACTAATGCAGACATAATCTTGCAGATCAGAGTTGGGAAACTACGGCCCACAGGCCACATTCAGCCTGCCTCCTGTTTCTGTATAACCCATGAACTCAGAATGGTTTTTAAAACTGAACATCTGCAATCGATCTGATGATAGGGGACACTAATTTTGAACCCCAACAAAGCAAAATGTTATGCCCCAGAAAAGAAACCCTTTCTTCTCATTAATAGACCAACATTTAAAATGCTGTTTTCACAGGGAGATACCTCTTATCAACAAGGGTGCCTGAACGAAGCATATCTGTATATCTAACCCTTAACTGTACCCCACAATATCATAATAAAAAATACTGATTATAAAAAATAAAAAATAATAAAAAAATAAAATGCTGTTTTCAAGTACTACATTTTATTTCATCAGTAAAAAAATTGGTGGAAATTTGTTTCCTCTCGTTTTCTAAATATTCATATATATCCTTTACTTCGACTCTCGGTAAAGTTACCAGACAAATGGCTTATATGTGAACTATCAACAGCATCAAGTAAGTTTTCATTTATTGAGAAAAAAATGTTAACTAGAAATTCAGTTAGCTTCTACCTAGAAACAAAATAAAGGTCAGTTTTAGTTTCTACGTAAAGAATAAAAGGCAGAGGCATCTATGATGTGTTATATTCTATATAAGTCATTCATTTAGGGCAATATATGCATCTTCCCTCACTTAATCCTCACAGCATTCTAAGGCGTGGGCATCACTAGCTCCATTTTACAGATAAAGAAATCAAGAATTGGAGTAATTTGGCAAAGGATTAAGTAATTTGTCTTCAGTTAATAAATATCAAGGCTGCCACTAAAACTAGGTCTCAGTCGAAAAACCATGGTTTCCCCAATATGAGAATAAAGATATTTTAGAAACAATTAAAGAAATTATTCACAGGTTTAGCAAAGAGGTAATGAGAAACCACTGATGTCAAATACACAGTCTATAAGCGATTTTTAAAAAGTAACTAAATATTCATTTCCCAGCATATTCTTTTAGCGAAAAGGCGCCACCATGTCTTACTCAATTAAGGTGAATATCTCTTTTCCAGTGGGCATATTTCCCATGTATCCTCCTTCTCTGCCTACCATTCTAACTGGCCCTGCACATTCTCTAATACAGTGGCCCCAACTTCCACCCTGAGCTAAATCATTTCTCTTGCCTGCATTACTACAGTGACTACCTACATGGCCTCCCCAATTCTACTCTGATGTCCGATGATCTACTCAGCAGAGCAGCTGGAGTACTCCTTTCAAAACGTAGTTCAGATCACATAATTCTTCCAACAACCCACTCGGAAGTCTCCAATAAGGGAAAGTTTTTTGAGAGTAGAGTGACAGCTAATAAAAACAGAAGAAATGATGGGAGCTAGAAAACCGCAATTTTGCGAACGTAATAATAATATTTTATTTAAGCAAGAATCACATATGGATGCTAAAACTGCTGAGTAAAAGATTGGAAAGAAATAGGATATTTATGCAGTCTTGAAGTATCTACCCCCACATATTACTTATTAATTACAAAGGGGAAAATGGAACCCTTACAGTAGAGAAATGCAAGACACTTGATCTCCTTAATCAAGAGATCAAGTCAGCATCACCAATGAGATACAAATATAGTCTATCCTCCCTGACATGACAGATTGAAAACAATATATCACTCAGGTGGTATTCCTGTCCCCCCCCCCAAAATGCATGGCTTTAATCTAATCATAGGAAACAGTTGACAAGCTCAAAATGATGATGGGCATTCTACTCAACAACTGGCCTATCCTCTTCACCAAAAAAGGTGGATATTGTTACAGAGTAAAGAAGGCCAAGAGACATGAATTAAATGCAGTATATGGTCCTGAACCAGATCACAGACTGAAGGAAAATTAGTAAAAAGACATTATTAGGACAACTGGCAAAATCAGAATACATACAGGAAACAAAAACTTATCACTGTTACTGAAACGCGCAGGAAGCAGTCAGAAGGGCATCTCCCGAGATGGCGCTAAACACTATATGGAACCAAACAAAGACAACAAAGGCCCTAAGCTCCTGCTTTTCCCGTGCGTGCGAAACTTAAACCTATACACAAATATTATCTCCCTATAGGAATACTACCTCATAGCCCCCGCCAATAAAGACCCTAATACGGCACTGGCCGCCCCCTCTCAAACTGATAAATACAGACCTCTCTCGTCACCCTATCACTCTCCCTCCCCTACCAGGTGGTTACAACAGACCCTCTCCCTGTAGCAGCTGCTCTAATAAATCTCTTGGCCTCAAAGGGTGTTGAGTCTCGCTGCGCGCCACCGTCTTTCAGTTACAATTTCCTAAATTTGTTATGGAAGAGAACATGATCATTCAGAGAAAACACACTTAAAGTATTCAAAAGTAAAAGGTGGCTGGGTACGGCGGCTCACCCCTGTTATCCCAGCATTTTGGGAGGCTGAGGTGGGAGGATCACTTAGCCCAGGAGTTCAAGACAGCCTGGGCAATACAGCAAGACCACATCACTATTTTTAAAAAAAAAAGCAAAGGATGAGACATCTTATTTTTGGTCTAGCATATAAGGATTTTAGAAGTCTTCACTTCATCCTAACAACTAAAAAGCTGAACAAATTGAAAAACCAGCCCTTCTTCTTAGATCTGTCAGAGAAGTGAAGACACAGCAAAAGCTGCTTCCCTAAATATTGGAGACAGAAGCAGATACAGAGAATCACAACTTACTGGAGCAGAAACCTCCATGGCAACCGGTACTAGGAAGTAAAAATCTAAACTAACTCACAGCTTCCTGGAGGCTCAGTATGGACAAGCCCGAGAGATTAAAATCCTCAAGTGGGCCCAGTCACCTGAGAGGGCAGAGTGGGGGAGGTATATGCTTTTGCTGAGTTTTACCTCTAGATCTACCCTGTCCTCCCAGTGCACATTGGAAAAAAATCCCCTCTGGCTCCCAAGGGGGAGGATAAAAGAAACAATTTTAAGATATGCCAAAGCATTCTGTTCTTAACAAAACCTGCCCTGAGGAGAAACTATCTCACCACAGCCTAACTCACTGGGACTATATCAGAGCTTAATCTATGCAGGAAGAGAGAGATTCTCCAACCACAGCCCCCTCCAGTCATCTTGTCTTGCCTAAGTGGAAAAAAAAAACAAAAAACAAAAAACTGAGAAGCACTGATGAAGTTCACAGTCTAGGGGCACAGGCTCACCAAAAGACTGAGATCTAGGACTACAGAACACTTCACCGCCTCCACGTCTTATCACAACATCACTAAAGATCTATTTCCTACAGTCCCTTTTACCCAGTGCATCATGTCCATCCTTCAACAAAAAAATCACAAGGCACACTAAAAGGCAAAAAACATATCCTAAAGACACCAAACAAGTATCAGAAACAGATATGTTATGAATATGGGAATTATCAGTCCAGGAATTTTTTACAACTAAGGATGTTAATGGAAAAAGTAAACAACATGCAAAAATAGATCATGTAAGCAGAAAGGTGGATATTCTAAGAAACAATAAAAAAGGAAATGTTAGCGATCAAAGTCACTGTAACGGAAATGAAGAATGCCTTTGATGAGCTCATTAATAGCCTGGACAGGGCTGAGGAAAGGCTCTCTGAACTTGAGACTATCTCAACAGAAACTGCCAAAACGGAAAAGCAAAGAGAAAAAAGTGTCTGAAAAAACAAAACAGAGTATCTAAGAAATGTTGGACAAGGACAAAAGGTATGCGAAAACCCGAAAGAAAAGAAAGAAAGAAACAGAAGCAACTACTTGAAGCAATCGTGACTGAGACTCTCCCCCAAAATGTGAAACACTAACCACAGATCTAGGAAGCTCAGAGAACAGAAGGAAGAATAAATTCCAAAACACTACACTCAGGTATTCAGTGTATTCAAACTTCAGAAAATCAAAAATGAAGAAAAAGTCCTGAAAGGACCTAGAGGGAAAAAATGACCTTACCTGCAGAGGGTCAAAGACAAGACTTACTTCTGACTTCTCAAAAACCATGCAAGCAAGAAGAATGATGTGAAATACTCGAAGTGTTGAGAGGAAAAAACCACCAACCTAGACTTCTGTACCCTGCAATGATAACCTTCTAAAGTGAAGAAGAAATAAAAACTTTCTCAGATAAGCAAAATTTGAGGAAATCTGTTGCCAGTAGATCTGCCTTGCCAGAAATGCTGAAAGAATTTCTTCAGAGAGAAGAAATATAATATAGGCCAGAAACGCAGATCTATATAAACAAAAGAATATCAAAGAAGGAACAAGTGAAGGTAAAATAAATACTTTTATTTCTCTTATTCTTAATTGATGTAACACAATAATTTGTTCAAAATAATAACAGCAACAATTTACATGACTATATATACTATGTATATATATCTACTTATATTTAAGTGAAATGAATGACAACAATGATACAAAAACGAGAAGGAGAAATTGGGAATATTTTGTTATTGTAAGGTACTTGCACTACCTGTGGTTTAGTACTATTTGAAAATGAACTTGGATTAGCTGTATGGGTATACTACAAACTCTAGGGCAATCATTAAAAAGGTTAAGAGCTGATATGCTAAAAAAAAAAGGAGAGAAAACAAACTGATATAAAATGTTCAATTAAAATCACAGAGGCAGAAATAGTGTGGCAGACAAAAAAGAGGAACAAAGAACAAAAGCAACAGAAAACAGTAACAAATGTGGTAGATAGTAATCTAACTGTATCAATAATCACCTTAAATGTCAATATCCTAAATGCACCACCAAAAAGACAGACATATGGTCAGAGTAGATCAAAAAACAAGACCCAAAAAGATATTGTTCACAAGAAACTCGTTTTAAATATAAAGACACATACAGACTAAAAATAAATGGATGGTCAAAACATCACTATGAACCACAAATATGTACAATTATTATGTGTCAATTTAAAGAATACATTTTAAAAGTTAAGAAAATAAAAAGAGAATACATTAAAAAAAGTAAATGGAAGAAAGATATGTCATGCTAACATGAATAAAAAATAGTGGGAGTAGCTATACCAATTTCAGAGAGAGTAGACTTCAGAGCAAGGAAGGTTGTCAAGGACAAAAAGCAGTATCATATGATGGCAACAAGGTCACTATTCCAAGAACATAAAACAATCTTGAATGTGTATGCTCCTAACAATAGAGCATTCACCAAGACAGACCACTTACTGAGCCATAAAACACACTCTAACAAATCTAAAAGATTGAAATCAGACACTCTGCATTATTTCCCTTCAACCAAAATCGAATCAAACTAGAAATCATCAACAGAAAGACAACTGGAAAACTCCCAATTCCTGAGAGATGAAACAACACATGAGTCAAACAAGATATAAGAAGAAATTAAAAATATTTTGAACTAAATAAAAATGACAGTACAGCCTATGAAAAATTGTAGAATGCAACAAAAGCAATGCTTAGAGGGAAATTTATAGCACTGAACGTATACCTTCAAAAAGAAGATCTAAAATGAATAATTTTTTTTTTTTGAGTTGGAGTCTCACTCTGTCGGCCACCGCAGCCTCGACCTGTTGGGCTCCGGAGATCCTCCCAGCTCAGCCTTCCAAGTAGCTGGAACTACAGGCGTGCGCCACCACGCCCGGCTAATTTTTGATTTATTGTAGAGATGAGGTCTCACCAAGTTGCCCAGGCGGGTCTCAAACCCGTGGGCTCAGGCAATCCACTCACCTCGGCCTCCCAAAGCGCAGGATTATAGGCTGAGCCACTGAGCCCGGCTAAAATGAATAATTTAAGCTTCTATCTTAGGAAACTAGAAAAAAAAAGAGCACATTAAATCCAGAATGATGAGAGGAAAAGAAATAATAAAAATTAGAGCAGATGTCAATGATATTGAAAACAAGAATCAAGAGAAAAAACTAACACAACAAAAGCTCCAAAGTTGGTTCTTTGAAAAAATTAATATAATCAGTAAACCTCTAGTCAGGCTGAAGAAAAAAAACGGGGGAAAAAACGAAATAACATTATCAGAAATGAAAGAAGGGACATCACTAAGGATCTCATGGGCATTAAGAGGATCAATCCTTGAAAATTACAATCTGCCAAAATTTATATGACAAAATAGACAATTTAAATAAGCCTTTATCTATTAGAGAAATGGAATCAATACCTAATAACCTACCAAAACATAAAACACTAGGCCCAAATGGGTCCACTTGTGAATTCTACCACACATTTAAGGAAGACATTGTATCAATTCTCTACAATGTCTTCCTGAGGATAGAATCAGAGGAAATACTTCCTAACTCATTCTAATGAGGTCAGCATTACCTAATACCAATATCCTAATACCAAAACCAGACAAAGACATGACCAAAAAAAACACCAAAAACTACAGATCTTTATCTCTCATAGACACAGATATAAAATCCTCAACAAAACAGTAACAACTCCACCAAGGCAGCAGTATTGCTTCAGACCAGGAGTTTGAGACCAGTCTGAGCAATATAGTGAGACCTTGTCTCTACAAAAAAAAAAAAAAATTAGCCAGGCATGGGAGTGCAAGCTTGTAGTTCCAGCAACTTGGGAGGTTAATGCAGAAGGTTCACTTAAGCCAGGAAGGACAAAGCTGCAGTGAGCTACGATCGCATTGCTAAACTCCAGCCTGGGCAACAGAGACCTCATCTCTTAAAAAAAAAAAAATGGCCTGGCTCGGTGGCTCAGCCTGTAATCCTGTGCTTTGGGAAGCCAAGGTAAGTGGATTGCCTAAGCCCACGGGTTCGTGACCCACCTGGGCAACTTGGTTGAGACCTCATCTCTACAATAAATCAAAAATTAGCCAGGCGTGGTAGCACGCGCCTGTAGTTCCAGCTACTTGGAAGGCTGAGGCAGAAGAATGGCCGGAGCCCAGCAGGTGGAGGCTGCGGTGGCCGGGAGCAGCCACTGCACTCCAGTCTGGGCAACAGAGTGACACTCCAACTCAAAAAAAAAAACCTAAAATGTTAACAAATGCAATCCAACAATATATAAAAAGATTTACACATCATAACCAGTGGGATTTACCCCAGGTATGCAAGGCTGATTCAACATTTGGAAGTCAATGTAATTCATCATAGCAAAAGGTTAAAGAAGAAAAATCACATAATTGTATCAACAGATACAGAAAGAGCATTTGAGAAAATTCAACACCCCTTTATTATAAAAACTCTCAGTAAACTAGAAATAAAGGAAATGGCCCCAACTTGACAAAGAATATTCACAAAAAGCCTACAGTTAACATCATACTTAATATGGTGAGAAACCAGAAGCTTTCCTACTAAGATAAAAAACAAGATAAGGTTGTCCCCTCTCATCACTTCTTTTCAACATTGTACTGAAAGTCTTAGCTAATGAAATAAGACATGAAAAGGAAATAAAAAATAAAATGAGCGGGAAGAAAGGAATAAAACTGATTATATAGAAAACCCAAAAGACCTGACAAAAAACTTCCTGGAATTAATAAGTGACTACAGCAAGGTGGCAGAATGCAAAATTAACATACAGAAGTTAATTATATGAGCTAACACCAAACAGCTATTAGAATGGCCAAAGTCCAAAACTGGCAACACCACATTCTGGTGAGGATGTGGAACAGCAGGAATCACCCACTGCCAGAAGGAATGCAAAATGGTACAGCCACTTCAGAAGACGGTTTGGCAGTGTCTCAAAAAAATCAAACATACGCTTAACCCTATAACCCAGCAATCATGCTCCTTGGCCTCCATCAACCAAATGAACTCAAAATTTCATCTACACAAAAATCTACACACTATGTTGCTTACAGTAACCTTTCTTATAATTACTAAAACTTGGAGGCAACCAAGAAGTCCTTCAGTGGGCAAGGAAACAAACTATGGCATATCCAGACAATGGTATATACAGCACTCAAAACAAAACAAAGCAAAACAAAATACATTATCAGCCATGAAATGACACAGACAAAACTTAAATGCATATTACTAAGTGAAAGATGCCAATCTAAAAAGGCTACATGTTGTACAATTCCAACTACATGACATTCTCAGAAAGGCAAGCCTATGCAGACAAAAAAGGTCAGTGACTGCCATGGGCCAGGAGAGGAAGGGGTGAATAGGAGGAGTACAGCAGATTTTTAGGGCAGAGAAATTTTCTGTAGGATACTACAATGATAGATACATGTCATTATACATTTACCCAAACCCACTGAATGCACAACACCAAGAGTGAACACTAATGTTAACTGTAAACTTTGGATGATAATGACATGTCAAAGTAGATTCCCTGATTGCAATAAATATACCACTCTGATGCAGAATGTTGGCAGTCATGAAAATTGTGCATGTGTGGGGACAGGAGCTGTACTTTCTGCTTAATTTTTCTATGAGCTTAAAACTGCTAATAAAATAAACTTTATTAACTAAAAAACAATGAAGTAAAAGATGATGTCTGCAACTTACTCTCAAATGGTTCAGGAAAAAAAACAATGCATATTACATTATACAAAAAGTGATAAGCTAAATGGGCAAAACATAAATAAGCAAATCTTTTTTTTTTTTTTTTTGAGTTGGAGTCTCACTCTGTCACCCAGACTGGAGTGCAGTGGCTGCTCCCAGCCACCGCAGCCTCGACCTGCTGGGCTCCGGCGATCCTTCCGCCTCAGCCTTCCAAGTAGCTGGAACTACAGGCGCGCACTACCACACCCGGCTAATTTTTTGATTTATTGTAGAGATGAAGTCTCGCCTGCCCAGGCGGGCCTCGAACCCGTGGGCTCAGGCAATCCACTCACCTCAGCCTTCCAAGGTGCGGGATTACAGGCTGAGCCACCGAGCCCGGCAAATAAGCGAATCTTAATGAAGAATATATTAACATATGTTTCTCTATCTTGGGACCTTTCCGCAATTTGAGGTTTTTTTCAGAACAATTAAAAATTGATATCAAAAAAAGTAAAGCCCTCCACAGTTTCCCATCTCACTCAGAGTAAATGGCAAGGTCATTAACTGTAGGACTGCTCTACTCTAGATATACAGAACTCCTTGTGATTCCTTGCCAGATGTGTTCCTCTCAGGAATTTGTTATTCCTGTTTTCTTGGGACACTCTTCCATAAACTGTCCACATGCTTCATTCCCTCGCATACTTCAGGTCTCATTAAATAGGAAACAAAGAACTGTATAGGTTCCAAGCTCTGAAGCCAGTGGAGAACACTAAAAAGAGTCACTGAGATAAGAAAAGTAAGAGCTGCTGGGCGCGGTGGCTCAAGCTATAATCCCAGCACTTTGGGAGGCCAAGGTGAGAGGACTGCCTGAGCCCAGAGGTTCGAGAACAGCCTGGGCAACTTGGCCAGACCTCATCTCTACAATAAATAAATTTTTAAAAAATTAGCCGGGCATGGTAGCACGTGCCTGTAGTTCTAGCTACTTGGAAGGCTGAGGCAGAAGCATCGCCAGAGCCCAGAAGGTTGCCACTGGAGTGGCCATGAGCATGCTACTGCACTCCAGTCTGGGCAACGGAGTGAGACTCCAACTCAAAAAAAAACAAACAAAAAACAGCAAAAGGAAATGATAGTTTAACTCAGATTTTAGATCTAATAACTCAGTTAAGACAATCAATCCCTACCCTTTTTATCTGTCATCCTCGTTTCCACGAAAAGAAATCAAAATGTAACACACAGAATAGTGTGTTCTTTAGACAGTTTACCTATTTCGAGCAGGAGATTTCCCAGCATCCTCTTGAACAGATACAAGTCTTGTTGAAAGAGCAGCATTTGAGGAATCTGGATGAATCAAACTACAATGAAAAGGGGAAAATACTGAGATCACCTGGGATAGTAAGAGGCCATTTCAATCAAGTGCTTTAACATTTAAAAGCAGATTAAATCTTTTCCCAGCAATAATGAGATTACAGGTCACTTTTGTTCTTCCTTTATTTAGGATGGAAACCGTGCATGCTTTTTATCTTAAGTATATCAAATACCAAAAGAACAATGAAGAAAGTTTTTAAGTATATGGAATGCCAACAAAATAATAAAATTGGTTGGATGAGTGACTTACAAAACTTCTTTTCACGTCATAAATACAAGATAAAAGTGATTTTGGGGGGAAGTCTGAGTTCACGTATTTTATTCTCAGTTCCCATAACCCACTGGATAGCACCACAGAGTCAGAAAAACCTAGGTCCAGTACAGACTCTACATTTTACTAGCTAGAGGATCTTGAGTTGTTTACTTAATCTCTCTGAACTTCAGCATCCACATCCGTCAAAAGGAGGTAACGGTACCTGCCACAGAGATATGCTAACTCCAAGAAGATGAACATTAAATAACTGGCCCAGAACCTAGAATTGAACTCCTCTTCTGCTTCTGACACCTATCCTACATCTCTCAGAAAGCTTCATGCCTGGTTTATTTTGTTACATCACATTTGGCCACTGTGGGCTCACAACAAGGCCAGACACAACTAAAAGGCATACTAACTGAAGTCAGCAAGAACTGAAGAATCCCTGTACTTTGTATTGCTTTGTTAAATATAGAATCAATTTTTTAAATTTATAAATAGATGTAAGGGGTTAAGAATCATGATAGCCCATAAACACCAAAGTACCCACCAAGCAATTTAAGACAAAGAAAACTACCACCAACTGATGTTCCCCTAACCGATTCCATCCCCTTCCCTGTCCTCAGTGAAACCACTGTTATAATAAATATAATGTTTATCATCGCCTGCCTTCTCTTTTTTTTTACCACGTTTACTTCCCTAGACAGTGTATTAGTTTTGTATATTTTTGAATTTTATATAAATTAAATTTTACTGGATCTATGATGGCTTTATTTTCACTTTAATTTGTCATACACATTGAATGCAGTTGTAATTCATTCATTTTTTTTCCTATTTATTTCTTTTGAGTTGGAGTCTCACTCTGCTGCCCAGGCTGGAGTGCAGTGGCACCGTAGCCTCTACCCGATGGGCTCCTCCTACCCGAGGTGATCCTCCCGCCTCAGTCTTCCAAGTAGCTGGAACTACAGGTGTGCTCCACCACGCCTGGCTAATTCTTTGATTTATTGTAGAGATGAGATCTCCCCAAGTTGCCCAGGTTGGCCTTGAACCCGTGGGCTCAGGCAATTCTCTCACCTCAACCTCCCAAAGTGCTGGGATTATAGGTGTAAGCCACCGCACCCGGCCTTTTCTTTCTATTTAAATTCACTATATAAGAATTCCTAGGTAGGGCTCCGTGGCTCAGTCTGTCATCACAGCACCTTGGGAGGCCAAGGTGATTGGAGTGGCTGTGAATGTGCCACTGCACTCCAGCCTGGGCGACAGAGGGAGACTTCAACTCAAAAAAAAAAAAAAAAAATTCCTTACTCCCTTATGTAACTTATTGGAGACATGTCAGTTAAAACCCTAAGCTCTTTAAAATGGCCAGATTTAGAATAGTGGTTAAAGAAAATAACGTGGCTAAAGACACCAATCAGAAATCGATGGACCTAAGAGACTAATTCAGACAATTCCAGGTAACTCCCAGGAAAGGGTTGGCAGCAGCACTACCAAGCAGTGCAGCTAAACTCAAACACACAGAAAAACAGGAAGTGGCCCTTCAGAAGAAGAAAATCGATTTCATTTGGAAATATTACGAATGCAAATCTTACGAGCAGTCTCCTTCTCTAAGAAGGCAACATGAGGAATTAATCTCAACAACTTCTGCTGCCTCCTCAACAAATATCCTCCAGATAGTACACAAGCCATGCATTGTTCTGGGGGCCTGGGGTAGAACAGTGAGAAGAAAGGTAGAAAGTCTCCTCACAGGGAGCTACACTCCATTAAGCACTGCCACCACCGTCCATCAACTGCAATCCTCCTGGAGGCAAGCCAAGGAAAAAGGAGAAAACAGTGAATCAGCAGGAAAGAGTTCGAAGAAGGTAAACGTTAGCCAAAAGCACTCACAGGTCCAAAGACTACCCGTGTCTGTTAGAGTGACAATACCTCTGCCAGGCCAAGCCATCCTCTAAAAAGATGTTGCGGCTGGCTTTTCGACTCCCTACAGGCGTCCGCGGTTCACCTGGATCAAGGACAGACACCGAGCAAGCAGGGTCTGAAAGAGCACTCAGGTCTTCCCCGATGGAGTTGCTGTCTGTGGAATGTGCATAACTTAAGGCTATTTTTCTACAGTACGTGCAAGCTCGGAGGTCCCCTAAGGAAAAAAAAAGAAAAAGAAAAAGAAGAAAATTAAGTAGGGAACCAGTCATATGTTACTTACCAGAATATTTTAAAACCTTGGGTTAATAGTTAATCTAATAGCAGGGATATGTCTTCAAGTGAAGACTACCAAAAGAGACATTTTTTTTTTTTTTTAGTTGGAGTCTCACTCCATCACCCACACTGGGTGACCTGCTGGGCTCCAGCAATCCTGAATGCAGTTGTAATTCATTCATTTTTTTTCCTATTTATTTGTTTTGCGTTGGAGTCTCACTCTGTTGCCCAGGCTGGAGTGCAGTGGCACGCTCATGGCCACTGTAGCCTCTACCCGATGGACTCAGGTGATCCTCCCGCCTCAGCCTTCCAAGTAGCTGGAATTACAGGCGCACACTACCACGCCTGGCTAATTTTTTGATTTATATTTATAATTATTTGATTTATATTTATAGAGACGAGGCCTTGCCAAGTTGCCCGGACTGGTCTCGAACCCACGGGTTCAGGCAATCCACTTGCCTCGGTCTCCCAAAATGCTGGGATTACAGACTGAGCCACCGAGCCCAACCCAAAAAAGACATTTTAAAGGGAAATAATTTTGTTAGCTCTGGTCTCTATTTTGAGAACCATCACTATAATAAATATATACAAGTGTCCAAGTTACCTCAAATATTTGTAACTATTTAAAAAAAAACCAACCTAACAATACTAGAAAACTCTGCCTAAAAGTGTTTTATTTTCAAGGCTATAGAAGCGAAATAAGGGATCTATCCGTGACAGGCAGGCGTTTCAAGGAAAAACATTTTTCAATAGAATAAATTAACCAAAACAAATGGAATCAACATATATCCCATAGGCAAAGAAAGCAGGAAAATATCAAGGTCTTTACTGTGAAGCCCTGGAGAGCTGCCTCCACAAGAGGAAACAATTTTAAAAACAGACTAATAGAAAATAGGCTTGTGTATAATATGTGAGGGTAAAGAATATGAAAGAGCTGGGCTCGGTAGCTCAGCCTGTAATCCCAGGGCTTTGGGAGGCTAAGGTGAGTGGATTGCCTGAGCCCGCATGTTCAAGACCCGCCTGGGCAAGTTGGCGAGACCTCATCTCTACAATAAATAAAAACATTAGTGGGGCATGGTGGTGTGTGCCTGTAGTTCCAGCTACTTGGAAGGCTGAGGCGGAAGGATCGCTGAAGCCCAGCAGGTCGAGGCTGCGGTGGCCGGGAGTGGCCACTACACTCCAGTCTGGGTGACAGAGTGAGACTCCAACTCAAAAAAAAAAAAGAATATGAAAGAAATTCTTATAGTGAAAGTTAGGATAGAAATAAAATGTTACTCGGAGGACAAACAAGGTCATTTAAAACTTCCAAACACACATGCGCGCGCGCATGTATTAGGATGCGGTTCTTCCCAAATATAAGTTTTCTATAACATTGAGTGATTCTGTAACATTTTAGTATACTACAAAAGGAGGAAGAATAATCAAGTATTACTAATAACATGTTATTAACAATTTAATAATTCTACTGAAAATATTTTCATTAACTTCAAAAAATTGAAGTGATTCAAAACAGGACTTCTAGTGGGGGTGGGATTGGCAGTTGAGGGAAACTGCTAGGGGAAGGAGGGGCATACCTTATTAACAGGGGTACCTGCATGATCAGTGTTTGTATACCTAACCCTGAATTGTACCCCACATCTCTACAATAAAAATTTTAAAAAAAAAAACAGGATTTCTAAAAGTTAACTGGTACTGTGTTTTTACCGTAATTACTACCATGTAAAATTGGCCTTTTACTTTTTCATTTTAAATCTACTATTATATAGTACTGTTTTATTAAATTATGCATGCAAAATCAAAATAAAATATTGCCTATTGCATTACTAATTTCTGACACCACAATTTAACAAATGACATTTATTCAAACCATAAAGAAAAATAGGTCAGGCATGGTAGCTCACACCTGTAATGCCAGCACCAAATTTGAGAGGCCGAGGCGGGAAGACTGCTTGAGCTCATAAGTTCAAGACCAGCCTGGATAACACAGTGAGACCTAGTCTCTACAAAAAAATACAAAAATTAGCTGGGCATGGCAGTGGGTACCTGTAGCCCCAGCTACTAAGGCGACCAAGATGGGAGCATCACCCAAGCCCAGGAGGTCAAGGCTGCAGTGAACTACGAATGTGCCACTGCACTCCAGCCTGACTGTCAGAGTGAGACGCCAACTCAGATAAATAAATAAATAAGATATGTCTACTTCAATCAGCATCCCCCGACTGCACTCCCCTCCCCCAAAAAAGTGAACCCCAGTCCAGGATAAATGAAAGTGCTAGTATATACTACCATCAGCTGTCCAAAGCAGAATTACAGTAAGAAAATAAAACTACTCCCTGCAGAAAGACCTTCATTTACCACAAAAAAGGCTTGGTTTGTCTCTTACACTATAAGGGAAATCTCCCTCATCCAGTCAGCAATGAGAACTAAAATTATAAAATCAAAATGGAGACAAGCCTGACCAGAGGAGTTTTCATTTCATAAAGAACCTTCATCAGCGAGGGCCTGTGAAGCACATGCCTGCATCAGGTGTTGGGAGTACAGAGACTGATGGGACTCAGCCCCTTGAGCAGAGAACTCAGTCTACAGGAGGCAACACACACACACACACACGACCAAAAAGCTGCGTGACAGACACGGGTATTCTTGCCACTACCACCAGCAATTACAGCTTAATACTCATCAATCCTTATCTACGTGCCAGACATGTTTCTAGGTATTTTATATTTATTCAGAGTCACAAGGTACGGTTGTGCCCAGCGTCTGTTATCCCATTTGTGATGCCTAATCTGAGTATCAACTTCGCTAGACTAATTGTTTGGTCTAACCTAGATGTCATAAGGGTATGTTGCTTAGGCTGTGATTAACATTTACAACAGCTGTCTTGGCGGGCATGTTGGCTCACGCCTGTAATCCTAGCACTTTGGGAGGTGGAGGCAAAAGAATTGTCTGAGCTCAAGGGTTCGAGACCAACCTAGGCAACTTGGCAAGACCTTGCTTCTACAATAAATCAAAAAATTAGCTGGATGTGGTGGCACACACGTGTAGTCCCAGCTATTTGGGAGGCTAAGGTGGAAGGATCACCTGAGCCCAGCAGGTCAAGGCTGCAGTGGCCTTAAGCATGCCACTGCACTCCAGCCTGGGTGACAGAGTAAGACTCCGACTCAAAAAACAAAAAAACCAGGTGTCTTTAAAGCAGATTGCCCTCCATAACGTGGGTGGGTCTCATCTAATCAGCCGAAGGCCTTAAGTGCCAAGACTAAAGTTTTCAGAAAAAAGTCTATCTCAACACTGCAAGACAGAAATCTTGTATAAGTTTCCAGTCTGCTTGCCTGTCCTGAGAATTTCAGACTTGCTAGCCCCCACAAACACTTGAGCCAATTTCTTAAAATAAACCTCTCTCTCTCTCTGTGTGTGTGTGTGTGCGTGTGTGTATGTACACACTATTGGTTCTGTTTCTTTGGAGAATCCTATTACAGATTTTGGTACCAACAATGGTTCTAGAACAACAGAATCCTAAGGATGAGTTTTCTGAATTGGTTCTTGAGTTTCTGGAATTGGTTCTCTAATCTAATTAGACTTAAAGGCACTAATGGCTCTATTTCCAGCAGTAGCGAGAACACTGATAGCCCATGGTGTGATGTGGTGTTGGGAGCCGGCCTTGGAGGTCCACCTGATTGACAGGGTCCTGGTGGGCCGAAGACCCCGGGCCGCAGGGCGAGCCCGGGAAGCTGAGGCCCTTCTGTCTTTCACCTTTGCTCTTTGGCACGGCTGAAGAAATTCTGTGCAGTCGTGGAAGAAGAAAATGGCATGTTTATGCGAAGTACTCACACCTAACCTGGGAATGTCATGGTTCATTTTCCCATTTTCCCACTATGCCGCTTGGCCTTTTCTAGCATATGCAAGGGTTAAACTCTGAAGCACATCAAGAATGCTTTCTTTCACTTGGTTATAAGTTACTAGATATTGCTTAAGTAATAAGTGATATAAGTATATTCACTCATTTGATTTAGGATTATGCAGTTTAGACATAAGGTTTTTAGAAGCACAAGTTTATAGTAAGTTCATTATGAATTCATTATAAGTTCTAACACTTATCTAGGAGTTATATAGTTGATTTATAACTGTTTTCACTGACTTAGGATAAAGATTAATCGTTAAGGTTTTTACTTAATTCAATAGTTAAAACTCTAAGTTAACATTTATAGAGTGGGTTTTCACTGAATTCATAATATACTAATCAGATACTTTTATGATAGATTAGCTAAAGACAGAAAGCAAGCTTGGGCGCCTGGGAAACATTACTAAAAGCTTCTTTTGAGTTCTCTATAGAAACAAACACTGCAGGATAAGAGAAAAGTAACGAAGACACCTGGACAAGAGAGGCGATTACAAAGCTCTGAAGGTCACAGAAGCCCCAGATAGAAAAACTACTGCTACATGAAGAACTTTGCACTTGGAAACTTTCTTGAGACATTTCAAGGACTGTAATTCAGGACTTTGAACTAAAACTATCATTTTTGGCTTTATGATAAAGACTTATTAACTAAAAGCAGATAGTGTTCTTGGCTTGTTTGTTGCTTCTAGACCGCTAGATGGTGGTAACTTTTAAAGCGTATGTACGCGAAGGAATTTTGTCTTGCCCCTTTACGAATGGTATAAAAGCTCTGTGTTAACTAACATTAAATTGTCATCTGTTCAGGAAGCAGGTATCTGAGTATAAGATTTTCGTCTTTCGCCTATCCGTCTCTCTCCTTCAGGAAATCTCACGACCCTTGTGGGGCTGGACCCCTTCAATGTGGCCACAAAGACATGCCAAATATCACCTATGGATACTGCTAATCAAATACTTGTAAAGGGCAAGCTTCTGAGTGACTACATACTCAATACCTTAAAAACATTCCAGTCCTCCTAACAAGTATAATGACATTGCCTGGTTGATCCTAATTGCACTAGACAAAGCAGGGGGCAAAAGGATTACCTCAGGGATTCAAATTCCCAGCTCAAGAACTATACACATTACATGGAAGTTTCTATGTCTTCCTTGAAAGAAATCCCTACCTCCTGTAGCCTCAGCGCTAAGACCACTAAAAGTCAAACCAACAGTCTCACCCAGCAAGTGAATCACCAACCTTGCAGTATGTCTGCTATTAAGGTCAGGGCACTGATTGGGAAGAAATGGTATCCTGAAAACTGAATTGTGAAGATCCTGATGAAAATGGGCATATTAGACACCAAAATCCTGAGTCTTCTTTGCCAGCCTTTGGTAGCCCCTCCCATCTCATTTGAGGAAATTAACGCCGCTTTGCCTGAGGAAACTACAATGAACCCCCGCAAAACACTGCTAATTTTCCACAGATTCCACTCCCTCTTTGCTACTAGACCTATAAAAAAACTCAAGTCCCAGAAAAACCTGAAAGGTTTGACCATGAAAAGGTGTGCTACGCTCCAGATGGGAGTCAACTAAATTCTTATTCGACTTGAATAAAAGAAAGAATTCTACACCAAGTGGCTGGAAGTCTGACTTGAATCCTTGATCCCGCAGTCAATCCCCAGACTTGAGCCATTTAGATCCAAAACCCCGAGAGAGAGAGAGAGAGACTGGGTCCTCTTGAGGAAGAACCCCACTACATTGCCAGAAATGTATACTGTTAACCTCTCTCCCAACCATCCCCAAAGGGACCTGTGGCCTCTTACCAAGGTATACTGAGGAGAAGGAAACAGTCAAACTTCTCAGGGGTTATTAGACAGACTCTAAACTGGTACCAATTCCAGGAGACTAAAAACATCTCTGTGGTCCACCACCAGTTAGAGTAGGACCTTATGGAGGTCAGGCAGTCAGTAGAGTTTTAGTTCAGTTCCATCTCACAACGGGTTTAGTGGATCCCTGAACCTATTCTGTGGTGATTTTTCCAGCCCTGGAATATATAATTGGAGTGGACAACTGTCAGAATCCCTACATTGGCTTCTTGCCCTGTATTATGGTAGTTTTGGCCTCCAGAACTGTAAGACAACAAATCTCTGTTGTTTTAAGCCACTCAGTCTTTGTTATGGCAGCCTTAGGAAATAAATACACACATCATCTTAACAAGACAGGTTTCATCCTGAGGGTAATGGGAACTCTGAAGGGTATTATGACGCAGGGAAACACTCTAACATGATCAACTTAGATTTGACTGAATAAATAATGCTGACTAAAATACGGAAAATTAGCATAAAAACATCTTTTAAAACCTGTAGTCATAATCTGAGTAAAAGATAATAGGATTCTGAACTCTGTAGTTGTTTGGGTGAAAAAAAATGGGAGTAAGCCGGGCTCAGTGGCTCAGCATGTAATCCCGCGCTTTGGGAGGCTGAGGTGAGTGGATTGCCTGAACCCGCGGGTTCAAGATCCGCCTGGGCAACTTGGCGAGACCTCATCTCCACAACAGATCAAAAATTAGCCGGTAGCGCGCGCCTGTAGTTCCAGCTACTTGAAAGGCTGAGCTGGAAGGATGGCCAGAGCCCAGCAGGTCGAGGCTGCAGTGGTCAGGAGCGGCCACTGCACTCCAGTCTGGGCGACAGAGTGAGACTCCAACTAAAAAAATAATAATAATACTGTGAGTAAGACTAAGAGAAAGCACTGCCCAGTAACAAAAATAACATGAGAGAGTCACTAAAAGTGCTATTTTGGGGGTAACTTATGCCCACCTCCCACGCCCAAATCACTTTACAAATCCACACACCATTGCTCAGATTTTTTTGTTTCAACAAATAAGTGTTAGATATTGCTGAAATTCGACTATGTTTCTTATGGAAGAATACAAGTGAGATACAATTTGCCAAAGCACAGTGTCCTTTAAGTCAAGGAAGACCTGTACTTTGTAAAGTGAACACCCTCATAGTGTTAGTAACCACTTCAACCATCTTGCCTAATAAGTTTTAATGCTCCTACAGTTTTTGCTAGCATCTGTGATATCCTGTCTTTCACTCAAGTTAGTTATTAACATTCCCATCTATTTTATTATTCAATGGTAAAGGTTTTAAAAACAAAGCTATGTACATACCCCTCACCTTTGCATCCCCATGTCTTACACATAAAGCCCAAAATAAAAATTATCGTAATACTGGTCCTGTATTGTAACTATTTCACAGTTATGACTTTTAAAAAATTGTAAAACCATCAATATAATGCATTTACCTGTATAGCCCATAAATTTTCCAGGGATCTCTTGATTACAGCAACGACTGCAGAAAATCTGCCCACATAGTCGGCAATGGTGTCTGCGCCTAAAGGTTGTGAATTTCTCACTACAGTCATAGCACTCTTTACACTGGCTATCTGGCATCCAGTATTGTTTCAGGTCACTATCCTGTAACAATAAAAACATGTGAAGACTTCTTGAAAATACTGATTTTTTTTTTTTTTTTTGAGTTGGAGTCTTACTCACCCAGACTAGAGTGCAGTGGCCGCTCCCGGTCACCGCAGCCTCAACCTGCTGGGCTCTGGCGATCCTTCCGCCTCAGCCTTCCAAGTAGCTGGAACTACAGGCGTGTGTTACCATGCCCGGCTAATTTTTGATTTATTGTAGAGATGAGGTCTTGCCAAGTTGCCCAGGCGGGTCGCGAACCCATGGGCTCAGGCAAAAATACTAATTATTAAGATACAATGGCAAATGAAATCCGAGGTTTCTTCTGGAGAAAATAATACGTTTATTCAAAAATTAATGTGGAATGCAAAAGATCCAATTGATGAAGATAGTCTTAAAAAAAACCTGAAGGACTTATATTACCAGTTCTCAATACTTATTCTAAATAATTTTACACAGGATATTGATGCTATGGAAAAGAAAAGAGAGCCCTGGTACACCCTCACACACATATGGACTTATGAAATTTAGAATGCAGCTGGGCGGGACAACTCACACTTGTAATCCCAGCACTCTGGGAGGCAGAGCCATGAGGACTGCCTGAGCCCAGCGGTTTGAGACCAGCCTAGGCAACTTGGCTAGACTTCGGCTCTACTATAAATCAAAAAATTAGCCAGGCATGGTGGCACACACCTGTGGTTCCAGCTACTCAGAAGGCTGAGGTGAGCAGACTGCCTGAGTCCAGAGGTTCAAGACTAGCCTGGGCAACTTAGCAAACCCTCATCTCTACCATACAACAAGAAAAATTAGCTGGGTGTGGTGGTATGCACCTGTTGTTCCAGCTACTTGGAAGGTTGAGGCCGAAGGATCTCCTGAGCCCAACAGGTTGAGGCTGTGGTGGCTGTGAGTGTGCCACGGTATTCCAGCCTGGGCCACACAGTGAGACTCTTCTGACTCAAAAGAAATTTAGAACACAATCAGTCAAGGATGATCTTCTTTTCTTTTGGAGTCAGGGTCTCACTCTGTTGCCTAGACTGGAGGGCAGTGGCACAATCACAGCTCACGGTAGCCTTGAATTCCCTGACTCAGGCAATCCTCCCTCCTCAGCCTCCCAAGTAGCTGGAACAACAGGCACATGCCACCACGCCTGGCTAATTTTAAAAAAATTTTTTGTACACACGAATTCTCACTATGTTGCCCAGGCTGGTCTCAAACTCCTGGACTCAAGCAATCCTCTCACCTCAGCCTCCTAAAGTGCTAGGATGACAGGCGTGAGCCGCCACACCTAGCTGGGACAGTCTTTTCCAAAATAATGGTGTCACATCCAACTGGACATCCATGAGGGAAAAAAAGTCTGACCCCTATCTTCACACAAATAATAGAGCTTCTTGAAGAAATCATAGAAGAGTATCCACTGACCCTAGCCTAGACAAACACTTCTTAATCAGAACACAAAAAGCACTAAGCACACAGGGGGAAAAACCGATAAATTAGACTACGTCAAAATTAAGAACATATGTATAAAAACTCAATGTTCGTAACAGAAAGAAGTACTAACTAAACTTCCCTAACTGTATTATGTCAATTTCAGTGGGTATGGCATGATTCCCACAGGTACTTAATTTAAGAAGTGATCTTCCGCCGGGCTCGGTGGCTCAGCCTGTAATCCCGCGCCTTTGGGAGACTGAGGTGAGTGGATTGCCTGAATCCACGGGTTTGAGACCCGCCTGGGCAGCGAGACCTCATCTCTACAATAAATCAAAAAATCAGCTGGGCGTGGTAGCGCATGCCTGTAATTCTGGCTTCTTGGAAGGCTGAGGCAGAAGGATCGCCGGAGCCCAGCAGGTCGAGGCTGCGGTGGCCGGGAGCGGCCACTGCACTCCAGTCTGGGCGACAGAACGAGACTCCAGTTCAAAAAAAAAAAAAAAAAAAGAAGTGATCTTCCAAAGCCTCTAGACAGTACCTGGCTTTTCCCTTCCATGATTTCCTTGAGGCGTTTTAATACTGTGCTGAGGCTTCGAAGCTGAACAGCTGTACGAGGGTCATGACCTCCAAAAGCGGGTTCTGTTTTCCTTCTTGTGTCTGAGTCAGATTAAAAAAAAAACCATGTTAATAGTTCCTAGTATCTACTATGACAAGGTATATATGTGATAAAAACTGCCTCTTACTGTTAGCATATACTTAGGTTTTCCTAGCTAATGACATTGACTGAGAGCTAAAACTAGTCTTTAGAAGGGTAAGAGGCTGTCAAAAGTATTTTATTATCCCATAAAACACCATTTGGCAAGCAAGCAAGGACTACCTAAGACAAGCAATGTCTGAGACCATGGATAGTTTTAAGGCCCACGATGGGACCATCACATAAATGGCAAACTCACTAACAACTTCTTATGCCCTTTGGTCCCAGCCTATAGTGAATCCCTGCAAAAACTCAGCAAAAGAAAACACAATCCTAGAGCATTAACTTGGCTTGGTTTCCCAAGCCAAACAGGTAAGCAGTAGGATCCAACAGTTCAGCTCCACCTGCAGATCACATATTTAAATGTTTCCAGCAGAAAGAAACACGATGCCCAGCCCCCAAAGATTCCAGCAGACGTCACGACATCCAGGCGATACATTTTGCTATGGTGGAATCTGACCAATGTCCAAGCAGGTTAAAACTGCCAGAAAACTGCTGTACCTCCCGTCGATCCCCCAACTCTGCAGCTCCCAACCGGAAGGGGCCACTCACACCTGACGTTGTAATACTGAAGCCAAATCTATCAATAATAGAACAAGTCTAAATTCCAGCTTTGTGGCCGGAATGGGATATGCCTGCCAAAGTTGCCAATTATGACTTCTTTACTTTAGACCAAAATGACAACTGAAGTTTCTACCTATTCCTGGCAGCTATAAAACCTAAAGAGTAAGTGAAAGTGGTTTGGCCAAAAGGATGAATGTCCATTTAGCTTAAACCCATTAACCTAATAACCTAGATCAAAATAAGATGAAAAATACCCCATCCTGCCTCTTCCTCAAATTCATGACTTACTAGATTTGCTTTAGCTTGGAAGGAAAGCAAGGACTACACAGAAATGAGAGGTCGGTATCCAAATCTCGATGTATAAAGAACTTCCCAAGATAATGTAATTACTGAAATAACCATCTACACGATACCTATTTTAGAAAACTTTTCTCTCTCTATAAAAAGTTATATCTTAGCCGGACTCGGTGGCTCAGCCTGTAATCCCGTGCTTTGGGAGGCTGAGGTGAGTGGATTGCCTGAGCCCATGGGTTCGAGACCTGCCTGGGCAACTTGGCGAGACCTCATCTCTACAATAAATAAAAACATTAGTGGGGCATGGTGGTATGTGCCTGTAGTTCCAGCTACTTGGAAGGCTGAGGCAGAAGGATCGCTGGAACCCAGCAAGTCGAGGCTGCGGTGGCCATGAGCGGCCACTGCACTCCAGTCTGGGCGCCAGAGTGAGACTCCAACTCAAAAAAAAAAAAAAAAGTAATATCTTCGTCTCAGCATATGCCTTGGATATATTATTACTAATATGTAAGTATTAGAATGGGCAAATTTTTGAGTCTCAAAACAGAAAGCAACTCTCATAAGTATAAGTTGAAAAAAGAGACAGACTAAACTGCCAGAACCATAATGGCTGTGTGCCCATGCACAGGCAACAATAAATTACAAAGCCCCTTGCATTCAGCCACTTGGGAATATAAGAGAGTATTAACAGCATCATCCTCTGGGAAAGGATGAGCGAGACCCTTTCTGGAACCAAGAGAATCACAGATCCTGGATGAAGATGAAAGAGACGCTAGGAGGAAATCTGTTCTAGCTATTTGCCCTTAGGCAAATAACCTTAGCTGCTTCTCTTGTAAAATGGACATTAGAAAATTAAATAGCTTTCCTGACATCAGAGAGCTAGTGAATTGTAGACTTAACAGCCTTTAACAGGGAAAAGAACTTGACTGGCCAAATAGTCCCAGGCTTCTGAAGCTCAAATGCCTCCAGGATAGAATCAAACTCTCAAGACAGGGGCAGTGGCTCACGCGTGCAATTCCAGCACTTTGGGAGGCTGAAGTGGGCAAACTGTTGAGCCCAGGAGTTCAAGATCAGCCTGGGCAACACAGTGAAGCCTAGTCTCTACAAAAAATTCAAAAACTGGCTAGGCATGACAGTGTGTGCCTATAGTCCCAGCTACTCAGGATGCTGAGGTAGAAGGACTACTTGAGCCCCGGAAGTCAGGGCTGCTGAAAGCCATGATTGTTTTAAGTGTGCCACCGCACTCCAGTCTGGGAGACAAGAGTGAGACTCCGGCTCAAAACAAAACAAAACAAAACAAAAAACAATAAGGAATAGTGGGAACTGCAAATTAGACATTGCAAGCTATACCTAGAGATATTTATATTCAAGTTTATCATAACACCAATGACAAGGTTTGGCAGGCTGCCACTTGGTAACCCCACAGACTCTAGTCATACTCCTCAATATTACAAATAAAGAAATTTTGGCCAGGCTCAGTGGCTCAGCCTGTAATTCCAGCCTCTGGGAGGCCGAGGCAAGTGGATTGCCTAAGCCCGCAGGTTCGAGACCCACCCAGACAACTTGGGGAGATCTCGTCTCTACAATAAATCAAAAATTAGCCAGGCGGTAGCGTGCCTGTAGTTCCGGCTTCTTAGAAGGCTGAGGCAGGAGGATCGCCGGAGCCCAGCAGGTCAAGGCTGCGGTGGCCAGAAGCGTGCCGCTACACTCCAGCCTGGGTGACAGAGACTCCAACTCAAAAAAAAAAAGAAATTCTATGCTTCATCCAGCATAGGATTTAGTCAAAAGAGCTTATTGCCATGGGTCAGGTTCAAGAGCTAAGAGGCTATTAAGGTTAAACATTAAAGTGGAGATGATTTGAAATAAAAGAAGAGCTGCTTTCTCCCTCTCCCCTGCAGGGGACTTCTAGTTCTTCCTTCTGAACGGCTGATGTGACCCAGGCCGGGGTTCTCTGCCCTAGAAAACCTGAGTAGGTAGCGCAGTCAGCTCAACTCTAGTCCTCTGACTCTCACTCCGCCTGGTTCGTCTTTGTGCTTCTGGTAGACCAAGTCTCAACTACCACTAAAACAGCTGTCTCCCGACCACCACTTCCTGGGGAAGACTAGCCAGACCAGATCTGAGACACCTGATTCCCAACGCTGCATCCTTTCCCCTCATCTCGCCACCTTGATGGGGCAAACCGCTCCACCGAGTTGGACAATGTAACAGAAATGAAACATAAACCACTTCACTTTCTCCAGTTCATCAGTTCTGACTCATCCCCAGCCCATACCCTTCAGAAGAGCAAGAAAATGAAGATGACTGTGCAGACCAGGACGGAAAACAAGCAGGCAAGAGGAGTTCAGCATGTCCAGCCACACTGACAGTGTGCATCCCAACAAGACAGAAGGCCAAGAGCAAGGGGCAGCCCACTAAAGGGGTTGACCGAGTTCTGCAGCCAGAGGCATGCTGTCACGTTTCACCGCATCCCAAGAAGAGAAACAGAATTCATTCACAAGGTTGAAACTAACCTGTGTTCTCCTGGGGATGTTGCAAAGTGTTTTCTGCTGAAACCCAAGCAAGTAATTAATCAAAAGACAGTCAAGAGACCTGCCTAAATTAAAGCTTAATGACATGTTTAAAAATTTTGTTTCAGGCCTGGCACGGTGGCTCACGCCTGTAATCCCAGCACTTTGGGAGGCCGAGGCAAGAGGACTGCCTGAGCCCTGGGGCTAGAGACCAGCCTGGGCAATTTCGCAAGACCTCATCTCTACAATAAATTTTAAAAAATTAGCCAGGCACAGTGGTTCACACCTGTAATCCCAGCACTCTGGGAGGCAGGGGCGAGAGGACTGCCTGAGCCCAGGGTCTAAGACTAGCCTGGGCAACTTGGCCAGAATTTGTCTCACAATAAATGAAAAATTGGCCAGGCATGGTGGTGCGTGCCTATAGTTCCAGCAACTTGGAAGGCTGAGGCAGGAGGATCGCCTGAGCCCAGCAGGTCGAGGCTGTGGTGGCAGTGAGCGTGCCCCTGCCCTCTAGCCTGGGGAACAGAATGAGACTCCGACTCAAAAAAAAATTGTGTTTCAGGTACCAACAAATTATTCTACTACCTAGGTAACAGCTTTATTTTTTCTGAAAAATATCCAACTACTCCAAATAGCAGGAAAGTTAAACCAGTAAACAACCTCGGAAACACAACTGTGGAATACGTCTAGCACATGGAGAGGAAGGAAGTAGGAGCACTGCCTCACCTAAGGCTGCTGAAGAGCACCGCTGAAGTTCCTCATCAGCCTGCTTTTTGCGAGGCGTGGGTGAGTGCACAGACGGTGTCCTCGAAGTGAGCTGAGGGCTGGTCCAACTTCCACTCAAGGGCTGCTGCTCTCCCTGGCCTCCTTCTACCCTCTCTGTAGCAAGGGAAAGCTTGGCGTTACTCAAAAAACTAAGACTCAGGCCCGGGGCTGAGGCTCACAGTTTCAATCCCAGCACTTTAGGCAACTGAAGCTAAAGGACTGCCTGAGCCCAGGGGTGCGAGAACAGTCTGGGCAATTCGGCGAGACCGTGTCTCTACGATACATTTTTTAAAATGAGCTGGTGTGGTGGTGTGTGCCTGTAGTTCCAGCTACTTGGAAGGCTGAGGCAGAAGGATCACCTGAGCCCAGCAGTTTGAGGCTGTGGTAGCCATGAGCATGCTACTGCACTCCAGCTGGATGACACAGTGAAGCTCCAACTCAGAAAAAAGAAAAAAGAAACACTAAGACTCAGAGTCAGCAAAGAGAAAGAAGTAGATGAAATTCTCCAGGCATCAATGTAATTGCGCATAACTAAAAATCAGTGTTTTTTTGAAAAAAATTTAAAGAAGGGAACAAAACTATAGACCGATAATCACACCCCTGAGTAAATGTGATTTGTTTGTTTTACTTTCCATTAAGAATTTCTTGAGCATATTAAAGGAAACACAACTTTAACTTCACATGAAGACAGGGATTTTTTTGGTCTGTTTATGGGAGGGCTACCTCACAGTATTTAAACAGTGCCTAGCACAAAGGAAGGGGCTCAATAAACATTTGCTAAATAAGTAGAAGTGTCATTGTCTTACGACTACTAAATGAAATATGGTATTCTGAATGGGATCCTGGAACAAAAAAGAGAAGATCAGGTAAAAACTGAAGCACTCTGAATAAAATACATAATTTAGTTAATAATTATGTGTCAATAATGATACATCAATTGTAACAAGTACACCACACTAATGTAAAGTGTTAATAACAGGGAAAAGTAGATATGGGGGCATACGGAAATTCTAGCTTCCCAATTGTTTTATAAACCTAAAACTGTCCTAAAAAAACTTTTTTTTTTAAAAAAGAGATCATTGTCTTAAAAATGTACTACCAGTTTTTATAGCACTTCACACATGACCAGTAATAAAATCCAGTTAATTCTTAAAATTTACACTGAGTTAAGTAAACTATTAACCCCTTCAAATTCCTTATAACAGGGATTACTCTCTAACACATTTCAAATAATACAGACAAATAAAAGGCAAAAGTCAGATTTTTTTTAAAGTTTTTTTTTCCAGGTTAAAAAAATATTACTTTAAAAAAGCTCATTAAAAAGTATTTTTGAGCCGGGCACGGTGGCTCAGCCTGTAATCCCGCGCCTTTGGGAGGTTGAGGTGAGTGAATTGCCTGAGCCCGCGGGTTCGAGACCCGCCTGGGCAGCGAGACCTCATCTCTACAATAAATCAAAAAATCAGCCGGGTGTGGTAGCGTGCGCCTGCAATTCTGGCTACTCAGAAGGCTGAGGCGGAAGGATTGCCGGAGCCCAGCAGCGAGGCTGTGGTGGCCGGGAGCGGCCACTGCACTCCAGTCTGGGCGACAGAGTAAGACTCCAACTCAAAAAAAAAAAAAAAAGGTATTTTTGGCCAGGCTCGGTGGCTCAGGCTGTATGTAATCCCAGCACTTTGGGAGGCCAAGGCGAGTAGATTGCCTGAGCCCGTGGGTTCGAGACCCACTTGCGCAACTTGGCGAGACCTCATCTCTACAATAAATAAAAAAAATTAGCCAGGTATGTACACGCCTGTAGTTCCAGCTACTTGGAAGGTTGAGGCAGAAGGATCGCCGGAGCCCAGCAGGTAGAGGCTGTGGTGGCCAGGAGCATGCCACTGCACTCTAGTCTGGGCAACAGAGTGAGACTCCAACTCAAAAAAATATATATATTTTTTTTTTGGCTAGGCGCAGTGGCTCAGCCTGTAATCCCAGCACCTTGGGAGGCCAAGTCAAGAGGATGGCCTGAGCCTATGGGTTCAAGACCTACCCGGGCAACTTGGCGAGACCTCGTCTCTACAGTAAATCACAAAAACTAGCTGGGTGTGATGGCATGCGTCTGTAGTTCCAGCTACTTGGAAGGCTGAGGCGGAAGGATCGCCTCAGCTCAGCAGGATGAGGCTGCATTGGCCGGGAGCGTGCCCCTGCCCTCCAACCTGGGTGACAGAGACTCCAACTCAAAAAAAAAAGTATTTTTTCACATGATGTCATTACATGTAAACCTTAATCTAATAGTTTTAAGTCAACAGGCAACCTACTGACAGTTTCCAATTTTTGAAAATATGAACCTTTCCACCTACGGTGTTCCTTTTATTTCCACTGCTTTAAATCTATTGGCTGTTAACCCCCAAAAGAACAAAGTTCATTCTGTGAACTTCAAGAAGTTGAAGCATATTTTTCAATAAAGGACAACAACAAAAAGAATAACATTTTCTCTTTAAGAAGAAACATCCTGCCGGGCTCGGTGGCTCAGCCTGTCATTCCAGCACTTTGGGAGGCCGAGGCGAGTGTATCGCCTGAGCCCGCGGGTTCGAGACCCGCCCGGGCAACTTGGCGAGACCTCGTCTCTACAGTAAATCAAAAACTAGCTGGGCATGGTAGCCTACGCCTGTAGTTCCAGCTACTCGGAAGGCTGAGGCGAAGGATCGCCGGAGCCCAGCAGGTCGAGGCTGCGGTGGCCGGGAGCATGCCACTGCACTCCAGTCTGGGCGACAGAGTGAGACTCCAACTAAAAATAAAAAAATTTAAAAAAAAGAAGAAACATCCTTCTAATATTTAGTTTCAATTCAGACATTCAGTTACCAATAATTAATGCTATCACAGTGAAAATTCCAGCTTTCTCTTAAGCAGTAAACTCTGGCCACCTGTGATTAAAGTTAACACCTTGTTAATATTTTGCTTTCTCTCAAAGAAACAGAATGAAAGCTAAACAAAAGGATTTCAGAAAACCAAGCCTGCAAGCTCTCTGATCTTTAAGAGTCAGCCCTACCTTTGTTAAATCGAAAGAGATTCACAAAAGAACTATAGGCTGACTTAAAAGGTGGCCCATCCTGATCAGGGGTCAAAGGCTTGAAGTGTGTGAGGTGAGAAGGACTAGAAGGGGATCGAGGCAGATCGTCAGCAGAGTCCAGGGTGGGGGAAGCCTTATCATCTGTGTCCATTTCATGAACCTGGAAGACAAAGGAAACAAGCAAAAGGTGTGAATTCTGTGGGAAGCCCAAAAGTTGATTCCACACAATACCCAAATATCTGGAAAATCCTATTATGTGAAAATTCAGATCTATGAAAACCAGAGAATAAATAAATCTAGCTTGGTATACAAGGGGAAACCCCCAAAAAACCAATTTATTTATTAAAAATTGCGTTTATTCTTACACGTTTAAACTTCAGTCACCTTCAAAGTACTCTCCATTTGATGCAATACACCTGTCAAGACGCTTTTTCCACTGCTCAAAACAGTTTCTGAACTCTTCCATTTTGATGCATTTTACTGCTTCTGTCAGTTGTTTCAACTCGTCCACATCAGCAAAATGTTTCCCTTTGAGGACTTTTGTCATCTAGGAAACAAACAAAAAGAATTCACTCAGGGTGATATCAGGTGAATAGGGAGGGTGGGGCACAGGGTCATGCTGTTTCTGGTAAAAAACTGAACACTTTTGTAAATCACCCATCATAATATAGGCAAACCCGCTGAAATAATCTACAAAAAAATTTCACTGAAGCCGAACACAGCCGCTAGCTAGTGCATGAAGCCAACAGGTTCCTAGAAGCCTGTACAAGGGGCCCGCCCTCCAAAAAGTAATTCAGGTTTTTTGGGTCTCCCAAATGAAGTCTTGAAAACACTGCTATTTAGATCATACGGAAGACCTAAAACTATGATGAGATAGCAAACTTAATTTAAAACATTACTATTGAATTACCAAGAATATTAATAAAAATTTAGAGATAAAGCATTGTGAGCAGGTAGAAAGAAAAAAAGCATTTCACATGACTTAAATCTCTTTCATGATTTTTTTTTTTTGAGATAGGGTCTCACTCTGTTGCCCAGGCTGTAGTGAGTGGCACACCCCCAGCTCACCACAGCCTCGAACTCCTAAACTCAGGCGATCCTTCTACCTCAAGTCTCCAGAGCAGCTGGGACTGCAGTTGTGCTCACAGCTCACCACAGCCTCAGAACTCCTAAACTCAAGCGATTCTCTTATCTCAGGCCCCCAGTGCAGCTGGGACCACAGTTGTGTGACACCATGCCTGGCTAATTTTTGTGTTTTTCAGAGAAATGAGGTCTCACGATGTTGCCCAGGCTGGTCTTGAACCCCTGGATTCAAGAGATTTTTCCGCCTCAGGTCCACAAATGCTGGAATTACAGGCGTGAGCTATGGCCTCACTTTAACATTTTTCAGAAAAAAGGGTACTCGACCAGGTGTGGTGGCTCAAGCCTGTAACCCCAGCACTTGGGAGGCTGAGGTGAGAGGATTGCCTGATCCCAGGGGTTCCAGACCAGCTTGGACAATGACCTCGTCTCTACAATAAATCGAAAAAAAAAAATTAACCAAGTGTGGAGGCACACACCTGTGGTTCCAGCTCCTTGGAAGGCTGAGGTAGGAGGATCACCTGAGCCCAGCAGGTTGAGGCAGCGGAGGTTGTGAGTGTGCCCCTGCACTCCAGCCTGGGCAACAGAGTGAGACTTCAACTCAAAAAAAAAAAAAAGCTTTCATTTTCAAAATCCTACCTACCATGTTGCTGTCTTCTTACTATAGTCCTAGAAGGTACACTAAGCTGGCTTCATCGCTACATTTTACCCTTGAGGAAGCCAACATACACTGACCCGAAACAACTTTCCTGGGAGTCACACAGAGAGCAGAGCTGTGCTGTGACGACACCCCAAGTCTCGCCCCAGAATTCTTCTTTAAGTTAAAATTACTTTTGCAGTTCTTCACACACTTTCACTTTTCTACTCAGTAAGCTGCCTGATTTATAATTTAATTAATACATTAGTTAAAACAGAAAAACAGCCATTTACTAGAACAGAATTTTGGCAACAAATGTTTACTGGAGGGACGAAAAGAGAAAAGAAAAAGAAGAAGGGATAGGAATAAGGAAAGAAGAAGAGGAAGCAAAGGAGGAGGAAGGAAAGTCTCTAATGTCATCTTCTACTGGGGAGAGTAATCAAGTGTCAGGTTGGGTGTGGTGGCTCATGCCTATAACCCCAGCACTCTGGGAGGCCAAGGCGGGAGGATCCCTTGAGGCCAAGAGCTCAAGACCAGCCTGTCCCCATAAAAAAAATCAACCCAGCCGGCCACAGTGGCTTACACCCGTCGTCCTCGCTGCCGGGGAGGCAGGAGGCTCACCGGAGCCCAGGAGGTCGGGGAGGCAGGGGGCTCACCGGAGCCCAGGAGGTCGCGGCTGCAGGGGGCTGCGAGGGGGCCACTGCTCTCGGCCTGGCCGAACCTGCCTGCCAGATCTGCGACGCGTCCCCGCGCTCTACCTCTTCGCATGCCGAGGCCGCCCGAACACTCAGACGCGCCGCAGGCCCTCCTGGCGAGGCCGGGCAGAAGGCCCGTCGGGCGAGCCAAGACCAAACGTGAGCTCTGAAAATCCGGGCAGCCGCCCAGCCACGTCCAAGCACACACGGGCTGGGCTTCCCGTCTATCACTCGGGCGGGGGGCAGGCGCGCTCACGGCCCCCGCAGCCTCGACCTCCTGGGCTCGGGCTTCCCGCCTCGGCCGGACGACGAGTCCGGGCCCCCCCGCCCGGCGCCTTGTTGACGCTTTGTGGAGACGAGGTCTCTCCGTGCTGCCCAGGCGGGCCTCCGGCTCCGGGGCTCAAGCGGGCCTCCCGCCTCCGCCGCCCAAAGTGCCGGGATGACAGGCGTGAGCCACCAGACCTGGCCCATGCGGCTTTTTTCTTAAACACTGAAGATGCCTTAACGACTCAGAACGGCGGAATGCCATCGACCACGACCTCCCGACCCATCTCGGACCCACCGGGACCCCAAAGAAAACCACACCTTGCCCCACGCTGCTCTCCCGGGAAACAGAAAGCGGGAGGACACGGGCACGCAGTCGGCCCCGCGGAGGAGGCCAGCCCCCGCCTTTCGCCGAGAGGAAGACACCAACCACGGCTTGGCCGCAGTGCCGCCGGGGCCGGCG